CGAAATTGCGCACTTAAAGGCGGATTTTCTTAAAATTCATGTCTGCATCCTCACTAACGCAAATGCCTTCAGAAGTCTGTTTTAAAGAAAAAGTCATGTTGTGGTGATGTATTAAAAACAATGTTAATTAGATGGCATCGAGAAAGAAGAATCTAGAAATAGAAAAAAAAACGAAACAAATATAGTATTGCAAGGACAAACGTGTCCTTCCCCATCCCTTGGTTCGACAGCTAAAAACTATTTTCAGTAACATTTATACGGTAATCAAAATAGCATACCTCCCACGCTTAGAAAGAGATATCACAAAAGTTCTAGAGATGACTAATATTTTTTTAATTTGGTGACACCTTGAAACTCGATACTGCTTCAGCTTACGTGGGTAGTGTGGTGCCGCACACCTTAGGTCGCCTAACGGGTTGTGCAGAGAATATACCATGTTGACACAAAAATACAATGGATGCAAATACCTTCGAGAGGTGCGTCAATTTCATCTTGTTGTTATTATTATTTTTCCTTTTTCTGTTTATCGTTGCTCCTTTTTGACATGAATTTTTTCTTATTATTTTTTGTTTTTGGATATTCCTTATCGAGATAAGTGTGTTCGTAGGATGTAACAGACACACCTGTGGACATAAAATTTAATTAATTTAATCTTCAGGTGTGGCTAACTAGAAAAATCACTCAAGTATCATTTTAATAAGTTCATAAAAATGACCCCACGCCCGTTGTCACGCGCGGTGTTCAAACAAAAATGTGCCTGTTCTTCTTTTTTTCTAGAAAAAAAACCTTATCACTATTCTTTTATTGGGAGTTGTTTCGCTCAAACAAGAAGATTTCAGTTGGAAAAATATTGCAATTTCATTTGAATATCTCATTTATTTATTTTTTTATGTTACCCAGAGTTAATGCACAGCTCTCTGTTGCTATTAACAACATTGGGAGAATAAACAAGCATTCACTGAAGTTGCTACAACAAGCAAACAGGCACATACCATGTTTTGACTCATAAAATGTGTCAAATAGGTCTAAAGCTCCTAGTAAGTAAATAAATTCCGTATCCATAATATAAAAAAGCCAGGGTATATTTATGGTTTGACTCCGGGTCAAAGTCATGGAGATATGGCCTGATTAACATTTGTTTACGATACTATTTCGTGATCATCTGAAAAGTTATAGTTGCGGCTTTATAACATATTATCGGATTGTATACTCCACAGTTCGAAAATATCAATACTAGATATTTTCTCATGGGATTTGAACATTCCCTGAGTAATAACAACACAACAATTGAACGTAATGATCGCAGAAAGATTTAATCGCTATAGATATAATGTAGTAGGTGGTAAATAAAGGCAAGATAGAATTGTCGTAAAAGTGGTAAAAGTGCTGTTTCCCATTGTCCACAGACCTTTAGATTTTTTCTAGTTATTTTTAAATCTTTTCCTTATCTAATCACGGTATTATGAAGTAAAATAAAATTGCGTCAGACGGATTTATGAAAAGAATTCTGTCAAAATGTTTGTATCGCCTACTGTAAATATGCAGACAATTAGACATTTAATTTAGAACAATCCTTTTTTTGCGGGGGGGGGGGGGTCATGCTGCTTAACTGTATGTCAAAAAATTCATGCACACCCTCCAAATACCCTTCGTAAACAGAAGCACTCCGTTTGTCCACAAAGCCTGTTAAAGAATAAAAGAATCAACTTTTTTGTTTGTTTGATTCTGCATGGTCGCACGTTATACACGTCCGCGGGAGCTTTTGAATATATGGCCTTTAACATTATTTGTTTTTTTTTCTTTGCGTCATGTAATATACCATGTTGTGGTATCCAAGAGAAAAATATCAACACGATTAATTCTTTGGAAACAAGTAAATCAAGCCATTCCTTTTAATACTAAGCACTGGTAATATCTGGTGTTTGTCAGTCTTAATCGTTGCTAAATCATTTGTGCATTTTCTTTTACCAATTATATCTATTCTCATGAAGAATTTGAATTAAAAACTATTCATTTTTATAGCATTGAAGACAAAGGTATTAAAATGTGGCCGCAGTGTACTGGGTACTATTGTTCGATTGCGCAATTTCCCGGAAACCAATTGTGCGGTCGAGATATGGGAGACTTTGCCCTTATCTCAAATAAAAAGTGCGACATTTACAAAATGTGAAGATAATCTGTCACCCCCCCCCTCCTCTGCAACACACACACAAGCGCGCTAAATAATTAACTATTTTTCTTTATCACAGTGATTAAAAGGGTGCATGATTTCTTTGTCTCCTATTTTACGACACTGGAGATATAAGAATTCATATGTGACAGCTGTCATGTATCAGCCGTTTTATCTCTTATACTTCGACACATTCTCTCACGCTGTCTACGTTTACATAATCCAGGTGAACTGTTCTTCAATTACAAAACACTACTTTGTGGAAACCAATCAGATCCAGGTCAAATTTTGGGACGATATCGACTGATTTTTCCCCACAAAAATGCGCCATTGATGAGTTGACAAATAAAACCCCTCCCCCATCTTGATGTCGAAGGCGTACGAATGGCTCAAAAGGAATCTGGAAGGATACAAGACGTCGGTTCAAAGTTCAGAGGCAACCACCCACAACTTTCAATATTGAAAAGAAATACAAAAGAGTTTACTTCCGAAATTAGCAGCTTCCAGAACTCGGGATAGCCATGACGTAAAAGCCACTTGAAAATCTGTAACCACAAGGCCGTCTTCCGTTACCGCAACCGCGATAAGCACATACCAGTTTTTCATATGGCGTGCAGTGAAAGAGTGCAATGTTTTTCTCATCTTCTCTATTTTAGCTGCTGGTGCTTCTTTAATACACGTCTTACTTTAAATTTCATTCATAAATAACGAATTGTTAAAATATCGTGATTTTTTTTTTAAATGTAAAATATAGGGAAGAGGGGCTATGGGGAGGGGGGCAACATTGACAAACTGCAGATTACCACCATCTTTGTTGACATATCCATTCTAATCTCAGTGACAATACAAGCTCTAGTCAAAACCTCCCACTCTGATCGAACAATCCATAGTTACCAATAGTAAAATACATAAACAGATGGGTATTTCGACTGATAACCTGGTTTATGTTCTGAGGACCCTAGCATTTACCCCGTGGGAGAACCTTGATCAGGTCCCTTTGCTACACCTGTGGAAGTTGCGGCTTGTGCCTGGTTACCTGATGCCCACGTTAAACGCGTTAAAGCAAACAAATAACTTGTTTACTGAAAGGGCATTGATGTCGAAAAGAAAGAATACCAGTTTATAGCTATATCGAAAAATAAATTCCTGTCCAAACACTGATGCATTGATCGGTACACAATTTTGCCAGTTGACTTTTTCCTTAAGGCTTTCCCTCACTTAATTAGTACTGAGACTCGTATATCATCTCGTCTAGTTTAAACCTTAAAGTACTTTTCTGACTTAAGTTAAACTTATATGCGTCACTTAAAAAATTGCTGAAACGTATCAATAAGTAAATAATAGGATGAGTAAGAGCTATGGTCAGGTTTTGATTTTGGACAATTTTACATCAAATTTCCAAGAGATTAACGTGCAATGCTCACATTTAAAAGTGAGTCACTTTCAGCAATAATTCACTGTGAGAAACACGAGAAAGTAAACTCAGTGACTAACGGCCCAACTTATTCACCGCTACGCTGTTGATCTTTATAATATGACCCCATTCTAGAGTTTGTGTCTGGGAACGTTTCTTTCTGAGCCCCAGCCGTTCCCAAGGTAACCAGACGTCACTACGGAAATATATCCAAGCAATCTCCAGGGTTTCAGACCAGCAACATATGGAACTTATCAACCGAGAAGAGTTTAAAGAAAAAATATATTATGTCTAGGCTACTTGAACTTCATGTTTCAGGAAAATGATTAGTTTTAAGTTGAATATTTCAAGCGGTTTTTCAATTTAAAACACAGAACGGTGTTCTTGAATCCCTTTTTAAAACCAGTCTCTGCAAGCCGTAAATTATCCACCCCCAACTTTCCCCCCCCCCCCGTTTGAAATGACAGTAACTTGGCAGCAGTTAAAACATGAAGCAGAATATTTTCTGCTTTCATCTAAAAATAAATATATAGAAAATCGTCTCATTATCATACGTGCCCCCCAAAATACACACATACATACAGCTGTCAATATTCTCACATTTCACTTCTGTCTCCATACAATCTCTTTGTAGGTGAAATTTTTAATTATTTTTTTTCTACTCAAAAAGAATTATACGCTGAGTCAAATATGAGCGTATAATTTTTATTTCATTTTATTTCCAAATGCCCAAATAAATCTGAATCAGCTATTGCCAATGGGGCAAAAATCCAAGTACAATAAAAAAAAATGATCTATTATTCCAATGCCAATTAGTCTGACAGCTTAAAGTGTCATTCCATTGTATTGTATCGTGACTTTCGCAATGTCCGGCCAGCTTGTCCGTGTGCTCGTTCAAATGCCCAGGCGACACTGATCGACAGTCGAGATTCCTGAGCCCGCTTATATACCCGTCCAAAAATAGCAAACAATTTCCCACATCTAGGTCAGATATGATGCGGTATGTAAACACAGAGTTGATAGTTTGGCCAGTTTATTCAGTCTCGAGGTCACTCGACACCATTGGCCGGGGCATTTCCCGCTATTAAATTTGAAATACCAATTCTGCATTGCCACAAAAACAAGTTTTTATACATTCTAAATGTAAATGATTGTAAATGATTCTATTTGTCATGTGTGGAAAGGTCTTTGAACTTCCCGATTTTGACATTGGACAACCGGATGAGTAATTTTTACCTTTCGTAACTATTTATAATTATTTAGATACGAGCCAGGTAACGAGCTACAGCGCGTTCCGCTCTTGTACGTCATTTCTGGCTAATGCCACTCCATCAGCTAGCCTTTATATACCCTTCTAAAAATAGAGCAGGGTCCACGTGACTATTCGACCAATCAGATACGCCGCTGAGAAGACCTGAAATAAGAATGATCATAGTTGAACATCAATAGTCTATGACTCTCAGTGTGGGAAAACAAGTACATGATATGCTGTAGCTGAGACTTGTATATTTTGCAAAACACTTGGATACTAGTATCACTTCGATAGCAACCATGATCGAGATGGCACAGGCAATTGATCCTATGCTTAACGCTGAAAATACATTGACAAAGTGCGGAGACGATACGGTGAGTTACTACTATTTTATTTTAGATACAATGTTATACATTGTATGTCACTGGTTAAAACTTTTAAACAGTGTTTTTACTAATGGTGATAGAGATGTTACTGTCAGATCATTGGAAGTTGACACTGACATTGTCATAAGGTGTCTTCTTTTCACAACTCGGGATAGTGCGTTTGCCTTTTAAAACAAGAACACTATTATTAAAGAAAAAAGGCAATAACAAGTAAATAACGAAACAATCAATTTATTTAATTGACAAGTTGATATTTGAGATAATTTGATGATTTTTTCCGAATGGGACTGACATTGAATCTGACAGTAAATGGCAGAATTGTTAGTAGATGGATTTTCTGTGTTCATAAAAGCGCGCGGTGCTATACCGAAATATGCGGATTAGAGTTCACCTGTAATTATCGGTAAAAGGCGGTATAATCCCCTGAAGTACTTCCTTCCCACGACATCCTTAAGCACATTGTGCAATGTTAAAGATAAGTAACATAAGCTTTTATTAAACAAACTGAAATATCGAATGCGGTTGATGTTTCTTAATGATTTCATCTTTTATTTACGTATTCCTTATTTCTTAAATTGCAGACATGGCGAGATGTCGAATGTCTCCTATATCAAGATAACAGCCCATATGACAACATGATGTTTGGGAATAACAATACTCAGGCTGACACCTTCAGTAACCAAGGCAGCCCAATGAGCACTGCCAGCAGCAGCGGCAGCAGTTCCTGTGGTAGCCCGCAGATGCCTCAACAACATTCCATGCGAATGGGCAACCCAACGCCCCCTGCCCAGTGCACGGATGAGATCTATGACGATCTTCTTGACTTTGATTTCATTCTGTCCAACAGCATGATGCAAGAGGCTAACATGTACCCAGAAGACAGCGGGTTGAAGTCGGTGAAACAAGAGCGAATGTCACCAACCAATGCTGAGACGCTACCAGACTTTTCCTCCGCTTTCTTGGACATTCCTGACATAAAATTCGATAGTGAAAGTAACACTTATTTTCCCCAGCTGCAACAACAACAACAACAGCATCCTCCCCAGCAACAACAACAACAGCAGCAGAAGCTGACCACCCAAATGAAGCAGGAGTACCCAGCAATGTCTAACCAGTGTGCCAACTACAATGCCAGCATGACTGCCATTCCTGTGCAAAATATGCAGCAACAACAACAACAACAAATGCCTTACGTACACATCGGCAACATGACTCCCCCTGCCTCCCCAGAAATGAGAGAGGACGGACAGAACCCCATGAAAGCCATGCATTTCCAGATGATGCAAACGCAATACATGATGCACCCGCATCACATCCTCCCCAAACTCCCCCACCAGGCGCCGCAGATCACGCCAGTACCTCCGCACGTCATCACACCACCCAACTCTCCGCAGCTAGTCGAACTTCTCTTTCCTCAGGGTCTTGATCCAAATCAACCAAAGAAAAGGGGGCGCAGAACGTGGGGGCGCAAGAAGCAGACCACGCACAGCTGCTCCCACCCGGGCTGCAGTAAGACTTACACCAAAAGCTCCCACTTGAAAGCTCACCTCCGCACACACACGGGAGAGAAGCCATACCACTGCAACTGGAAGGGTTGCGGATGGAAGTTTGCCCGCTCCGACGAGTTAACGCGCCACTACCGCAAACACACGGGGGATCGCCCTTTCCAGTGCCACCTCTGCGAGCGCGCGTTCTCTCGCAGCGATCACCTGTCTCTGCACATGAAGAGGCACATCTAAACCGCACGTGGCTGGCATGAGCCTGAAATCATTGCTTTTTTCTATGCTGTATAGACATTTTTACGCTGAACTGCCGTTGATTGAGATTTCTTCTCTTTTAACTGGTCAACTTGTGAGCATGATATTGTGCGAGTTAGCCAATGCATGCTGGGATGGTGTGTCAAGCGTTGTCTATGCAAGCGTCGCCGTCGTTGGCGTCTGTCAGGCTGTCGGGGTACTGCGCCGAGGTCCGTGGGATGCGCAAGATGTCTTACCAAGAACTGTGGCTGTTCCAGTGAGGGACGCCATACCTCGACTTAACGGTCAACTTACCTTAGCTGCTCGTATGAGCCAAGGTTTCAATCGACGGTCACCTAGCCGAGTCTCATCTCTGGCGTTTCGTAATGAACGCGGTGACTGTTTTTTAGTTCGTTAACGATGCAGGTGTTCCAACAACGTTAAAACACTCCATAAGAGAGCTGATGGCATGTTTTGTTTTAATGCCCGTTTGTTAAGATCGTGCAATTTGTTTTGCATGCATGTTTTAATTTCTTTTTTTTTGTGATACCCTTGGATGAGGCAACTTTCCGGGTTTTAAGTTTGTACATTATAATTTTGTTTCATATACATATTTTGCTGGACAAATGCCTATTTATAGCGTGTACATAATGTTATTTTAGCGCTAGCTTGTCACTTAATGATTTTTAAATCATTATTATTTTTTATTTCTCCGGCTCTTCATTTTTGCCAATCTAAACCTTCAGATAGTGGGTACAGGGTATCCTTTTATGTCTGACATGTTAAACAAAATACGTTATTTCGTATATGCACGTAGCTACTTATGTAGTGGTCTATTATATACGCAGCTCACGAGGTGTAGGCGTCAAGTCCACGATGCAGCGCATCGTTTAAGTATATAGTAGGAACGCTGAAGCCAGTATATACTCAGTTATTGCCAAATATATATTTATGTAAATCTTTCTGTAAGCTGTACAAATTACGTGATTATGGTGCTCTACTGTTGATGAATTCCATTTAAAAGAATTTGTATTTTTGTACGAGAAATTGCATATATTCGCATATTTAATATTATACATTATCTAGTCACGCAATATACAGGGCAAGTACTGTACAGATGTGTCACGAAGGTACGAATGTCTGATTGTAACATCTTCACTCGAAAATGTCTTTTAAAATTGAAAAGATCATAGTATGAATTGTGATATATTGGTAGTCTGATAAAGTGCACATTTTCTGATCAGTTTTGTCACATTTATACATGTGAACAATTTGTACGATGTGCCAGCGTAGCTGGAACAATGTCATTTACAATGCAAGTTAAACTGAAAAATAAATTATTAAAACTTAATCACTATCATTGTTTTGTCTTCAGAATTTAAATATTTAAGAAGAAATAATATTTTCTACAATTTCAAAATATGATCTCGATCACAATACAATGACGCGGAAGCTTTACACCAAGAAGTTAATGTTGTCACCGGAAGTATTTTATAAGAAAAAACATTTTCGACAATTTTGATATTGACAAGGAAAACGGCAAAATGACGCGATAGATATTTTCAGTATAGTATCAGTTAAAGCAAAAATGTTAGAAAATCGCTTGAAAGCGGAAGTTTCATATCAAGAAGTAGGGTTTTAAGAGAGATGTTATCGAAATGATAAAGAGCCATTTTGTAGAGAATAATGATATTAATAAATCATTTGACCCATTACGTGGAAAATGACGGAATATTATCTCATCATAGTTAAAGATTGCAAAAATACCGACAGATGTAGCGTTATTAAGAATGTGTCAGTGTAATTCACAAAAGCAGCTTTTTTTTCAGAGAAAAAGGGTATGAATTCAACTAAAAAGATATATCACACAAGGTGCAAAGTGAAAAAATAGCTCGAGTGTACTGTTATCGAAAAAGGCCAGCAGCCCAACAAAATCTTCAGGCCTAATAGTAAACTAGGTTGAGGGATTTTCCCCGGAGACTCAGAAAAATGTTAGTCTCTAAGATGGCGATCATTTTCCCCGAGGGCCCGGAGTAGAAATGTGCGTGTTTGACGATTCCCCACACTCTGTTTAGCTTCGGGAATCGCTTTGCAAAAAAACAAAATGACTTAATCGATATGTATAAAACAGCTCACCGTAAACCTTGTACATATAAAAACTACACTTCAACAATGTGATATGTAAAAAAAAAATCCATAATTTTAAAACGCATGCACATTTTAAGAGAATCTGAATCAAAACCTGATTTCAAAAAACGAATTTAACTTTAAATTATCTTGGATCCTTACCGCCTCTCACATTTATAAGGATGCAAATTTCAGTTAAAGCTTCTTGAACGCGACCATCCAATTTATTAAACAATGAATTACCATGAACGGAAATCTCACTCTTGCGACATACTGGCTTCTGCACATCCTGGTCGCACACGTGTTAGCGCGTGCAATTAAATACCTTCTGTCGTGCTAAAGACTGGTATTAGGCATTATGTAGATTGGGATCTTTAGAAATATTTGACCCGGAATATATAATGAAGTTTTTTACTGTCGTGAATCATGTCTGAAGATTGTCTGTGTGAAACCGTTCATTGCTAATGGACAGGGATAAATTCAAAGTATATATTTTCAAGTCTAATATTCATTTTTACCTGACTAAGCGTGTAGAAATTTACCTCGATGTTGGATGTATAGCAAAATTGGATATGCAACTGCTTTTATGTTTTAATAATGACTTACAATAAAGCCGACATAAATGTTCGTATATATTATTCAATTTATCATTAAATTGCCCTGTGCATAAAAAGGAGAAAGAAAAAAAAGAAATGAAAATGCACGTAGATCTTGTTATTTAATGCAACCCCTATAATTTTTGTTGATTTTTTAAAAGACATCAAATGTTCTCTTCCTCTTTCTCGCAATTTGTATTTTCTCTCTCTCTCTCTCTCTCTCTCTCTCTCTCTCTCTCTCTCTCTCTCTCTCTCTCTTTGTTTTCAAATTCCCACTCAAACTCAACATCAAAACACTTGCAAACAGAAATAAATAAACCACGATGCTAAGCGACGTTGGCCTCAAGCATAATGCTGCTGGGATGAAGTAAAATATTTACACTGCTTCGTATCATCACTATCATGCCTGCAAGTTACAGTTACTTAGCACAACTTAATAAGTGGATTGATTAAAAAGGTCAACGCGTCACGACGACACAGTTAATGTTGTGTTTATAAAGTTGAGACAACCATTAAAAACAGATACACAAGCTTGCCTATGAAAAGGAAAACATTACTTTTCCTTAATAGCAAACATAAAAGATCATAGCTGCATGTTAACGATATACAGGTATCACAAATAAGCCCATTTATAATTTAAAAATGAAATGCGGTGCAATTAGGATATATTTTACGAGGCTCAGCAGTGCGGCACTTTTGTTGAAACGGTATTTATAAAGTGAGATATGCCATTCAGGCCAACGCCTGGAACACGTTTACAGGCTAACTTGCTATCAAAATCTATCAATTAAAAACACACCAGTACTGATAGCAGCTGTACAATTAAAAGTAAACATATCGCTAGGATTATTCACAAATCTAGCTGTATCTCCTTCTATTTGTGAAACTGTATATCTTTGAAAATGTGGTGCAGTTGGCCAGATCCCGATAGCACACTCTTTGAGCGATAGAAGGGTTAGATCAACACTAGCGGGACTCGACACAATCAGGTGGCCCATCTACCACATCTCAGTGAAACAAAATGATATACCGCTGGCCACACACGTTGTGCGCCGTACGCTCCTAACACATTTGGTCTTCTGCATATTTTCAATCCACTTTCACCTTAATATATAAAATAGTTCAAAAAAATAAGCCTACGACAAAATGCTGAACAAAATGAAAAAATGCACAGAGAGGTATACCAGCTGCTGGCCTACAAACTCGTGGTAATTCTAGAATTTTCAGCATGAATCGACCTAAATCTTTATCAAAATGATCAAAAACAAGAGTTTCTCCGAAAAAAGGATAAGAAGCCTATAATCAAGGAATTTTTATACAGGTCCAGGCTAGAAAAAATAAGTGCTCAGGTGAGCTATCATGCTGTCATTTTTGCTGTAAAAAATATGAAAGACTGGAAAACATTTTGAGCATCATTCAAAATTCCAAATGATAGATTTTCACGGTAATGATATCCATTGTCATGTAAAAATTGGGTCTTAACAGTAGGGAAGGACACCCTATGAGTGCAAATAGCAGCGACGCCCATCCATAATCGAAAGGAGAGAAATTTAATGCATTAACGAAACATAAGCAAATACACCTGGCTTGCCTGTATCATATTGAACCAGTATTTAAAACTTACTAGGATGTAATCTATCTTTATCATAGTTCACTGCTATGCAGAAGCGGATTAAGGGGGGTGTCAGGGGCAGGATTATTTGAAGAGGGTCCGGAACGCCTGGCCTCGGATGCGAAGCCAACCGTCGCCCCCTGGGTGTGGGGTTCGTGGCCTGCTCAAGGGCCCCGAATTTTTTTTGGTGTTTTGGAGAGCTAACAGTGCCCTTTGGTACGGTTTAGAACTATGATTTAGTTAGTCAAAATTCTAATTGCAAGAGGGGAATATTGGTGTGATATATTTTCCAGAAACCGAAGGGGGTGTCAGGACCCTCCTGACCCCCCTTTAAATCCACCACTGAGGGGGGTCCTGACCCCCCCCCCCCCCCTTTGATTTCTGAAAAAATCGATGGTCCCCTCTTGCTTAGAATTTTGACTGGCTGGTCCATAGTTCTAAACCGTACCAAATAGCACCGTTCATGAATCTAACATTTCTAAAATACCAAAATTTTTCGGGGCCGAACCCCACGCCAAGGGGAGAGGTGGGGGTCGGGGTCGGTTTCACATCCGCGGATCCCTCTTCAAATAACCCTGGATCTATGCGCCCCTGCTATGCAAATATCAACTCGAGTTCTTGCAAATGAAAACATACAAAGTAGGAGAATATAAAAATAGTACCCTGTAAGAAACAATCATAAGCAACATATGTAATTGAACACCGAATAAAAACCGACGCATAGAAGGTTGAAACGACGACTTACCTTACCGACCTTACCAGTCAGGTACGCCTTTAACAAGATATAACGAAGGCAACCAACATCCCAACATTCATTTGAAAAGAATCGTATAATTTGAACCATAAAATAAATATTATACACGATACTTCGTTGCACCAGAGCAGTAGTCGGAAGAATATACTAGTATATTTATATACAAGGTGTGTGCAACTAAAAATAGCACCAAGCTCGCATTGGACGTCGTTTAGTCATGTGACAAAATATGTGCTCTTCATTGGATAATAGTGCCCATGTGACGCATTCATTGATCAACATTCTAAAAATAGCAGTTCCACGTTGTGCTATATTTATAAGCTTTGTCGATTGTTTCAATATCCGTATTCAAAAGACAATTCCATCTACACAGGTCAATTGTAATTTACATCTACAAGATAAAAATCTAACAAGTGGATTAACATGTTTTATTGTGTTCAACTAGAATACATATCGATTAAATACCACAATACAGTAAATATATTAAATAAATACCCTTATTAGTCTTTGGTGAAATAATACACATTGTGTGATTATTGAACACTTATAACATTAAATTCAGCAGTTACTTAAAAAGCAATATTTGTAAAGAAATAAGTAGAGATTCAATGAAACCATTTTGCTCAAATATAAGGTAAGTATTGTTTCTTGTCTGTTTGATACTTGTCTTGTGGGCAACAACCATTGACTAGATCTCACTGAGACAAAAGCACTATTTCACATCTCGATACTCCACACTGGAATTCTAAACAAAATGACACAACCACATGAAAAAGATTAAAACTTAACAATATGGATTTCCCGCTGTACAACAAAATATTATAGAATTCCATAAATTATGACTGGAATGTGAAAATAAGAAGCCTTGCAAATATTAGATTCAAAACCACCCCAAACGTCATTTTGGACCACTAATATCCATCATATGATTCATTACGTCTCACTGATTAACATCAATATATACAGCACAGAAGAATAACCTTATAACTGGTAACTTCTTAAAAATAATTATACAAGCACATTCCTTCTTTTACTATACTTTCAGTACAATGCTTCCTAACTACACTGGTGCATTTAAATAAATAATCAATTACACATAAATTTCAGCTTTGATATCAATACAATTCTATATCATTTGATATCATTTATTGCACATTTCTAATCCATCTTATCTTAACATCTATGAAATATAACTAAACAATAATGTCTTCAACTGTACACAGATATTCTCCTTTTTTCTCTAGTGTGGGAAACAATGGAAAGATTTAAAGAGTACATATCCCATTTTCTGTGCACCAACTGGCTAAATATATCATAAATTGTATATTCGTCATTAGGATTATACATCATCAAATATTCCCTTAGGTGGTTTACCACTAACTGGTCTGTTAATAGAGAACTTACTTCCAACCCCACCCACGGCCTGGTACCCCCCTCCCCCTGCACCCCGAGACCCCCAAGGTCCCCTGGCCCCTCCCCCACTATTTGTGCTGGGAGTGAAATCCTCAAAGTCATGCTCGTCTCCCGTGTAGTCCACTGGCTCAATCTCTCGCAGAAGCCCAGTCCTGTCATTCTCCTCTGAATTTTGTGACACAAAAGATTTACCTGAAACAGATAACAAAAACTATTTACAAACATCCCATAAGTATTATATCAAATTTTCATGTGAAAAATATTGAAACCTATATGATATAGTTTGGTTTGCTTTAAGAGAAGTTTAAGAGAAGTTTAAAAAAACATTGAGCTGATTATTTTTACATTCACACCGAGTTCACTGAAGGTACTGTATATTGCATGCTGCTTAAGTTTCATATGAGCCTTTCATGCTTTTACGCCTAATTCAAATACTTTATGCTCTGTCTAAATTCACAGGGTATCAATTACTTCGTTTCATGTCACCCCATACTCAACATGATTATTCACATTTATGAAACCTGTTAATTTTTATTCAGGATATGTTTGGAAACCCCTTGTTTTGTTTAAAACAAAGGATAAATGTACAAGTATTTTTAAATCATGTCATTTTATTTTGAATACCCATCAGGTATTTAAGTAAATCAAATTATTTTTCACTTAACATACTTCACAAATCATTTATATGCACTGAAAGTGCCACAATCAAGTTAAAACATTACCTATATCACTGGAAACACTTTTGATAACTTTGCTCTTAGCTGAAAGCATACAAATGGGTATACAGAACTGATCATAGATCTATTTTCTCTATATTACAGGATCTGTGTGGAGTAAATAGCTGTTAGCAGGGAAGCAGGTGGGCAGAGAGGCAGGTTGTTCATTCAGTGATTAGTAATAAAGTGAACCAGGAATGTAACATATTTTCAATTGTTTTGTAAATTCACTATTCTTCTAAGGAGACAATGCAGAAGGTTGAACCCGTTTCCTGTCTAGTAACATTTCTGCTGCAAAAGGAGTGCTATGTGCACAGTTATTAGAGGGTTAGTTGAGTCAATTACAGATTTGTCCTAATACCTATATCTAACCTAAAATCTGTCATACAATTATGTCCTCAAAGCCATTGCAATGGGCATTTGTACAGCCCCCATATTTTTGTCAAACTGATAACTTTTACATCTTTTAAAATTGATGTCTGCTCCATGACCAGATTTGAATAGCTATCATGTAAAACAGACTGCAGATCTACCGAGAAGTGGCAGAGTCAGTTGTAAGTTAAAGCAATTTAAGCATTTTTGTTAAGCTCACATGCTGCATGCTAAATGAAAAGTTAGAATGGAGAAAAAAGTCAGAATGGTACTGCAAAGAATTCTATTGACCTAGATATTAAGACATTAAGATGAAGTAAATACAAAATTTAAGGGCACAGAAATCACATGCATGCAAAGAACAAATGGAAGAAGAATAAACTTTTAAAATTATAATAAAAACCATATCTTTTATTTCAAAACAATTGCACAAAAATTCAGCTTTAACAACACTGAAGAGATAACCTTAGAAATAATACATATTTACAAATGTACAGGAGAAAGTGAATACAAAGTGTCATTTCATTGCTCACAGCTACCAACATTGAATTTAAGAACCATCATGCAACAGTCTGGCATGTTAATCTGTATAATTTTGGTCTATTCAAACTGTGCCAACAATGGTCTGTACTGTATACCTTGTTCTCTGTTGCTGAACCTGGCTGCAGTGTCCGATTCACTAGCACTCTGGTCATCACCATAGCGCTCATTCCACTGGCGACGCCGGGTCTCCCCTGCTAATCTTCTTTCTATTTTCCTTCTCTCTGGAATACGGAGAAATCCTTATATCAATGTAGAAATAATTTTGAACATATGCTTATTCCATCATCTAAATACTATTGGGTAGGTAGAACATTAAATTAATCTCTCTCAAATAAAAAAAATATATATATATATTTAGAGTAGCAATGATTATAAAATAGGCTTCTGTACCTGTAGGCCTAGAGTTTTATATTTCTGTAATGTAATCATATTAATGAATATTAATGAATAAACATAAACTGCTACTTTTCATGACTTATTCATGAAAATTTTACATCACTCCGGCTTCCTTAAAATCATGCAGGAATTTTCGACCCCAGCTCTCAAAAACTATCGCCAACCTCTTTTCACAATCTCCCTCCCCTCGTCAACAAAGTCTTGCGTCATGTCATCATCACCAACAAACTGCTGGAAGCCCAGGAAGTGGAGACATCTGGTGCCAAGATTGAAATATGTGGCAAAACACAGCAGGACGATGGCAATGGGGAAGTATATATTGAAACCATCTGCTATGAAAGAGATCACATCCATGTGACCCATGATCTAAAGAGAGTCATGAGAAACATTTAGTAGTCTATGTTTTCATATACTCAAAATGTCAGCTGTTGGAAGCAGACAGAATTTAATGTCAATATGGAATTATCAGGCACTATGACCACTAAATAATCTTTAATTATCAGCATCCTTTCTAAAAAGTACCTACAAATACCAAATAAAAATGGTTTTATTTAAATTCCTTAATTGTACCTGTGTGTAAGATGTTTCCAAATTATCTTCATCTGCAGTGACATGGCTGTCTAAATGAATCAACCCCAAAAAGTTGAGACACAGTGGAGGAGTCAGACGACAGAGCAGGCTATGGGGGAAAAAAATTAAAAAGACACTGGTAATGAAAATTCAAACTAAATTTTCAGATCTGTCAAAAATTTTTCTTTTACTCTGATGATTTTCAACGTGATATAAATTTCAAAAAGTCAAAATCAAAAATCTTTAATCACTTACATGCCAGCAAAGAGCAGGCTGTTGGCATCAGTCTGGTGGTGGGAAGCAATGTAGTAGTAGTTGAACACACGGATCTTGAACACTGTGTAGTAAGCACACAGACTGAGATATGCTATGGTCACAAATGATGCAAGCTGAAACAAAAGAAAAAAAATAATGTATCAATGTCTGAGAACTTTTCAGTGTGACCGTACAAAAAGCAACTTTGCAAGCTTTACTATACTGTGCAAGACCCCATTTATCTTAAGACAAGCAAATGTTAGAATTCAGGATATTTAGTTAAACGTCAAACTTACCACAGTGAACTCAAATGAACTCAAAGAAAGAATGCATACATGTGTCACATCTTTTGAAATCAAAATAAATATCAAAGAATACCCCAGGAAAAATATCTGTCAGTCAATAAAGCATCCATATGGAAAAGACACCAATTATTTTTATCATAAATTACAAGATATGTCAGACTTCATACTTACCTCAATATACAGATAGTTATAATTCTCCTTGGCAAGATTGATAAATATAGCAAACAACGACAGAACAGGTTTCTTGTTGAAAAATGTGACCTCAGACCATACAACCATCATGGAGAAAATGGCCAAAATAACAGACACAATCTTCAGCACCCATGACTGGAACAAACACTTCCAGTACCACTCTGAAAAGTAAAAATTATATGATTAAATCATAACAATATATAATATGGAATAACAGTTACAGACAGTGCCTAGAACAGCTATAGTTGGATTATTCTCTGCTTATCATGTGACACTGGTTCAAAAAATAGACAAAGCATTACATGACACATTTCCACATCATAATAATACATGCACAATATTGCAGGTTCCAAAATTCTAAAATCCATTACATTATTAAACAACATGTGTTCAATATTCATAATCAGTAATTGTTCCCTTTATATCAGCTGCAGGTAGCATAAATCAATTATGCAGCCAAGTTTAATAGTGTCTGTGCAAAATAATAATAATAATAATAATAATAATAATAATAATAATAATAATGATAATAAAATCTAACAAGTCATACCAGCACAGGAAATATCTGACAATGCTCACCTACACTTGGACTGTGGCAAAGTTTAAAAAAGCCTTGATATTTCCCATAGGATCTCTTGAATCTTCTGTCTGGGCTCTTTAAATTAGACTCTATGTCTTCCAAGTCATATGCCTTTTGCACCAGCATGTCCCACTGGCAGTGAGTCCTGTGGTAGTTCTGAGAGGCCTGAAATAGGATAACAAGCTAGCTGTAACGACAAGAGAGAAATATGTCCACTGGTCTGGTTCTCAAGCACCATGAAACAATAAAAAAGATTTCTGAATTTTGGGGGAAAATATGTTTACCACAGTCTATGAAGGTAAAATAGGAAAGCATATTACTATAGGATAAGGCAAGTTTTGAATACCTTGAAGAAAGTTTTCCGAGCCAATCAATTTCTTGCATATGAACTGGTAACTGTAAGGTTTATTCCATGAATAACTTCATAATTACAAATATGCATGGCTCTTGAGAGAAATGTTGCTTAATACGTACTGCAATGACTTTCTTGTGCAACTTAACCAAGTATTTTTCAGACGGAAGATCTCTGGGCTCCTCATAATCCTGAAAGTCGTCCATGGCACCTCGCTTCACAGATTTCTGGAATTCTTCAGGACACTGGAAAACACATAGAGATACGTAAGGCTCTCTATTCACCTAATCCATTCTACCCTCCTCCCTCACCCCCACTTCCAAATTTAAAAAAAATCTATCACAGATCTATCACTCATAAAAATTATATACCATGCATAGTACTTCTTACCTTTTCTATCACAGTGTCCACATGCTTCCTCAATGGATTGTTATATCTCAGAACCTCTGAGGCTTTCCTGATATCCTTGAAAATAAGAATAAAGGCTTTAGTAAGTCTATTTATCATGCAAACATAACACAAAAGGCAAGCCAATTTTCAGTGACATCATTATAGTTGTTCAACAAAGCAAACACCAAAATGAGCCCCAGTTCAAAGCAACCCCTACCTCCAGTACATCCTCCAGGTTCTCCTCAGACTCTGTCCTCTCTGTGCTCAGCTTGGCCAGCTTGAAATAGGTGGTAGTCAGCTGGTGCCCTCTGGTGGAATTATACCACACTGTCCTGGGTACCTCCACCAGCCCATAGCCTAGCAGGAACACCAACAGAAACAACCCCCAAGTATTGCTGGCTGTGATGCCTATAACTTTTAACTTGTCCCTGATAAAAAATAGTATTATTTGTATTATTATAAAAGTGATTTTAAATGAAAAGCAAAAATATTAAAACAGAATTGTAAACTAAGGCTGCGTTCACATGAAAAATCTATTTTCTAAAAATCTAAAAATCTATTTGCTGTATCTTGTGATCACGGACTGTACCCTGAATACCCCGCGGCATAATTACTGGCAGCGACAAGAATTAATTACAGCTTTGGAAGTAACTGGCTCGCACTGCCCGTAATTACGCCGTGGGGTATTCAGGGCACAGACCGTGATCACAAGATACCGCAAATAGATTTTTAGATTTTTAGAAAATAGATTTTTCGTGTGAACACAGCCTAAGATATGGTGTTTATTTATTTACTCGTTATCACATTTCCATTATACTGTATTACCCAACATATCATGTCCACCTTTATTAAGGTTTCTTTCAGATACTAGCATACTTATTCAAACTTCATATTAAGTTTCACATAAGATTGCTACTTAAATTCACAGACTTATTCTGTGCAATATACATTGTACATATCCAGATTTCATTTCATGACCTGCTGACTGGCATACTGACTACGTAATGACAATAGCTGGACCAAATACCCTTCAGAACATTTTATGGGAAAAACAGTGTCTCCTTGGAGTACATACCCACTGAAATGAATATCTGGCCTTGCTGCCACATAGATCAGACATATTCCAAAAATAAGGAGGTAGCTTCCATAGTAGATAGCATTCTCAATGAGGGCAGACTTGATCTTTCCTGCTGCAGTGAAATCTCCAGCATTGGCATACGACTGCATCAAAGGAAGAATCAACCTGATAAGGAAAATGGATAAAAATTAAACAAAATTTCATAATATTTATCTGTACTACACACAAGCCACTCTGTGTTATAAATACAGCTATAAAATTTTAAAACATCAAATGCATCCTGTTTTTCAGCATTCTTTCATGATCCTGTTTATTTTTTTTCTTTATGTTAACCAATGGTTGACAAGGAATCAAAATGTGTGATGATGTGCATATATATCTGTAACATTCAAATCTGCTTTCTAAATGAGAATTACCCACCATACACAGTGACAATAAACAATACACCTAGTACAACTCGATACATACCATGTCAATACTTGTGATGTCCAGTACACAACATGCCACAGAGAAGGCAGGACATAGGCTGGTACAAATGACCAGGGGACCTCGCATGAACTGGCTGTAGTGCCCAGACCCTCTGCCTCCCTCCTGGCTCTAAATACTGGGGTTGCTGTTGTAGTAGAGCTACCATTGCTGACCACTGTCACATTGTCCAAAGGAACCGTGGTTGATTCATTCTGTGGGACAAGGGTCGTTGGGGGTTCATTCACATGTAAGCACTGTCTATAGAATGTCTGTAGAATAGAAACAAAAATACTTTGCTCCACAACATGTTGTTGTCAATGAAAAAAAAAATTATTATTATTATTATTATTATTATTATTATTATTATTATTATTATTATTATTATTATTTAAATAAATAAATAAATAACCTTATGCATTGCTGGTGTGACAGTTTTTATCTTATGAAAGCAGTTTTGTAACATGCTTTAGACAAAGTGGAGACGCAGAGATCCTTTACCCTTGTCTATATTAATAAATTTTAACAGGTGGAGAATATTATCTGTTCCTAACTTACCGAAGATACATCCAAAGGCAACATAAAAATAATCATGAAAGAGAAATACCATGACACAAATGTTGCTATGGTGACCAGTATATGTTGCTTTCTCCAGTTACCATAGTGATGCAGAAGGAAAGCTGATAACACACAGACTAGGCCTATGTCCACAATCAGTGGCCCTATGCTCATGTTGAGAACTCCACACCAGTTCAGTTGAACTTATCTGGAAAATTTTAGGGATAAAATATAGTAAAATGAATGCAAAAGACATATTCTTTAATCTCATTCACAATTGAATTTGGCAGCTCACATATTGTCCTAAGTATTAACTTATTTAAATGCTATCAAAACATCCACGTCGTCCATGGCATTACCAGCTGGAAGATGAAAATCTACAATCTTAAGGAAACCTTAACCGGTTTCACGGCCCTAGACATGTATATACAATAAAGGTAAAACGTGTACAAAAAGCGAAATAACCAAATCCATATGTGAATAGATGTCTGAATAAGTTGCAATGTTCTCTTATCCCAAACTTATTGATAAATACTGTCTTTGTTTAGATGTCAATGTCACACCAGTCTTATAGGAAAACATCAGAAGTGAAGTCTTTTTTCGGCAGTTGCATTCACTACCTACATAAACAAGCGAAATTTATGTATAGTTTGCATATAAGGATAATTTCTTTTATATTAAAAATCGTCTTACCTAATTAACATACAGACGCGCCAGCGTCACAAACCTTTGCCATGAATCATAATGCCGTTAACTATGTCAAAATTATAGATTTTTCACTTTTTCGCTTAGCAGTAGAGCGGAAGTGCCACGCGTTCGCATGCGCAATATACTTCCTTTGATAGTACGCGCAAAGCAGATGCGCAAACAAACTGCAGCTTTGTATGGGTAAAAAACTTGCCTTTTTCGTGATATTGCGATGATTATTGTAAGCAAACAAGCCGTCACGTGGATAGAAACAATCGTAAGTACAAACCCATTGTTTACATACAGATATCGTATCCTTAAAAAATCTTTTTGTATATGAGATATCATAATAAGTAAAAAAACAACAACATGGACTTTGACACCAACCCTTGCCAAGGGACTTGGTACCAGGAACTTTGCCACAATGTTTTACTGGGACCAGCTTCCTGATTCAAGTGCACTCAGTGACCTAAAAGAAATTTTGTGCAATACTAACAGCAAAAAGTAAACTATTTCAATTAAATGTGAGTCATTGTGTTCAGTAATGCCTGGGAAATAAAGATAATTCTCAAATAGTAATTTTGCTTTGGTTGAATAATAATTGAATATCTGCAGTCGTGCAATTGGGTGTACAATGAAACCTTTCATTACAACTTACTTGCACAAAGCACCATGTTATCTCAGAATAGTCAATACATTCAAATAATTACCACATGCTAGAATTTCTAAAATGTAATTGCGAGTGGTCACTGCTGTACATGAGATTTTTATGATCAATGCATTAAAATGGATGGTTTTACACACATTTTTACACTCAACTAAACTCCATCCCCACATTAATTCGTTTAGATATTCAAGTATGGAAATGGCATGTACCCTACATTGACTAAATATGTTAATTCAAGCTCCATGGTGCATAATGTTTGGTTTCCATTCTTGAAAAAGGTCTCTTATTTACCCTATCATATAGGCTTCTCTGCATGCTTAACAATAACAGTCACTGCCATGTATAAAAAGGTCTTAAAAGAGAGCTTTGCAAACCACATCTTCGTATGTGTAAAAATAATATGAAAACGTATCTTACAACACCATATTGTGTTGAAGATTTGTATCCAAAAACAAAAAGTAAAAATAAAACAGACTAAGAAAGGAAAAGAAAAACACCTGTTTTAATGGCTGACAAATATCAGATTTTGCATCAGCATTCATTGAGCTTGAAAGCGAGAGCACCTGCTTTTGGAGTTATGTCCATCTACTACACATGGAAGTGTTTTATTTCATGCCAATATAACCGAATCATTACCGATCTCTGATTTTCTACACGTCATTTTAGTGGATAAATGATCGTTATCGTTCTACAATTAGGACAGTTAAATTTTATTATATGTAAAACACATGTTCAGGTGTCTTCTGATTTGAAAAGGTAGTAAACTAATCTTAAGGGTTAGGCATTGCAGAAAACATAACAATCTTCACTTATCTCTCCATATCCTTGTTTTGAAACATGACTTTTGGCAACCTATGCCTAGCCAGTGTTAACTTACAATGTAAACAGTGCCCAATTTTTTCATTAATTTCAGATCTTGGCAGTAATTGTGATCACATCTTGGGTTTATGTCATTGCTGCAGGCAGGTTTGCATCTCTGAAGTTTATACCTGCATCACAGTGAGAATTACCAGAGAGAAAGAAGCCTTGAAAGACAAGTGATTTATGTGAGATCTCCAGAAATTTTTTAATTCACCAATCATTTAAAAATTAACAGAGACTTAGCAGTTCGCTATCACTTGTGAAGTAATGAAATGCCCTGTTGGCCCTTCAAGAAGGTTCCAATGGATGCAAGATGGAGGTGATAGATGAGAATGCTTCTATGCTAAGCAACTTTGAGATTTACACTCTGTTAAAAGATATTCAGCAAGGACAACACGGGCAGAAAAAACCAAGCAAACAGCAGCAGCAGCTTTCCACCATTTCCTATGAAACAATCAAATACTTAGAGAAAACACCCTGCAAGCATCAAAGCTCAGAAATTATTGCTGACTTTATCAAGGCATTGGAGCCCTTCAAGCTGAGTAAAGCTGAAAAGATACAGCTGCTAAACCAAAGACCCTCCACTGCTGTAGAAATCCAGTTACTGATCGAGGAAAGTGAAGAGAGACTGACAGAAGAACAGATTGAACAGCTTTTGGATTTGATTCTCAGTAAGTGGCAATTTTTTTAACAACACTGATAAGTTATGTTATGTTTTTACTTGTTTTTTTTTTCTTTCTTTTTGGTCACGTATTTGTAATCACAGTCTCTTTAACTCTTATCTTTCGATCAGAAAGAATATCTCCCCTTAAAGGGTCTTTAAAGTAAAAAAAATGTATTTGAATGTTTAGATTTTTACAGTACTTCACTACAGAATTTCAATTTGTCTTTGTGTCTGATAGAGAGTATGTCACTGTTAAAGATCTGCATTCCTTTAAGTTTTTGCTTGAGTAATTAAATAATATTTGTACTTTTTTCAGATACACTCCCAGGAGACGAGACAGCTGAAGATTGTAGCGGGAACGAACCAATGGAAGAGCAGTCTTGATGACCACAGAGATTAGTTAAAAAGGACACAAAGTAAATAATACAGAGACCTGTGAAGTAGTCTGACTGATTCTGTTAGGAGAGACTGAGTTGAGACAACAACAATCATTATTGCGTTGAGTAATAATACTCCCAGACCATAGCATAGACCACTGATCTCAAGTGAAGACAGTCATTATTGAAGCTAAGGATAATTCCCACTTTTTGATATCCAGCTAACTTTATCAGGTGATCCAAGCACACATTCCACGGTGTAAACTGTGCACAAACCTCTAGACTTTTCATTACATTGTATAGCCACAGCCAGCATAATGTTGGAGTTGGACCTAGAGTCCCAGCTTGTGTACTATGTCATTGTGATCCCTATTACTGTCATCATTGTGGCCTTGTATTCCTACATGGCCTGGTTTGGCAGGCAAATGTATGCTAGTAATGGGTAGTGGACAGGCCAAGGAAATAGGACAAGGGTTAAGTAAGGCAAAGTCAATTGATGTGAAGATAACATCTCGCAAGTCATTTGGTGTGGGTTTCACGAAAAAACTTCTATTAAGATAAATTGGTCTAAGTTTTTAAACCAGAAATCTAGTCTAGTTGAAGATAAATCCAGAGCAATCCACTTAAATAGTTTTTGTGTGAAACATTGTCCCTCTTGTTTTGAAATTGGGTGCAGTATTTCATATTACTACTGATTTTTCTTGGGTCACGGTGGTTTAAATTTTGGTTTCAAGAGTTTGGAACAATTTTCGGGCTCAAGTAATTTTGTGGAATGCCCTTGATTTATAGTCATTGTAAGTTGAATCTTTTTATCTTTGAAAAATTTTAAGATGGTGGTTTTTGAGTGAATCTTGTATTCAGTACAATGAAGAGCGTTGTGTCCTGTCCAATGAGTCCTAATCATCTTTTACCTTTTTATATATGCACTGAATAGTAATAAGTATGAAATAAGTTTTCAAAGAAGAAAACCTATTCTTTACTTTATTCTAGTGAGACATGTTGCCCAGGTTAATGCATTTCAGTTTGCAAGAAAAAGAAGTTCAAGATACGTTACACCAGCACCAAAGCACAAAAGTCTAACAGTACTGCATCTCGTGAAAAAAAGACATTAAATGATGTTACCACATTAATAACAACACCTGCCAGATCGACCGACTAAAGGTGCTTTTTTTTCTTTTGGTAAACTATGGAAGATAGCCAGGAATGAGTCATTGTAAGACATAGTAGTTCCACCTGAACATGTTTAATGTATTTTTGCCTATGGCTTGTAGAGAGTTCGTCACCAACCACTCGCTCGCTACTATGTATCATTCTACACATGTCTCTATAGTTAGACGTTATTACTTCAAATCCAGATTTTCTTTTTGTTAATATATGATATTTATCTATTTACTTTTGATGGTTAGATGGCCCTATAAGATGGCCTAACGTGCCTGGTGCTTTTGTGTACATTCATGTCGAAAAGATTATGGTTTGTAAGTGATGGTATTGGTTTTTTGTGTTTATAAAGAGCCACAGGTAGACATTTTTGAAATTTTTAATTCACCTTGCAAGATCTAATTTAAAACGTTGCATTCACTATTTATAGTACTAGCATTTCATTCGTTTTCTTATTCAAATATTCTGCAATACGGGCCTTTGATCAGCAGATTCAGAGATCGAATTCTACATGGTGTCATGGTCAGCAACCTCGGACATTTGGTATTGAACCAGATGTTAATGGGAAAAGGAATATTTCATTGTTTGAGGACGTGTTGGTCACAGGTCCCCAACGTACTACAAGCAGTCAAAACATTTTTATGTTCCTCCTTTTTTGTTTACTTCACTATGTGATATGATTTAGTTACAAGTTATAACTGGGCACCTTTGTTGTGGTATTATTATCACAAAATCTTAATTATGTAAATAAAATATCAGAAAATATGGCGAACTGTTTTCAGTATGTTACTTCTGCTATATTACGTTATCGGAAACACGATGTATTGGACGATAAATTTTGCTATTATAATGCGACACCTTGTTCAGGAGGTAAATGAACCTACCCTCAATATATTAATTCTATCCAAGTCTGTATATCATTAATGTAAATGTAAATCTAAAAACAGGTTTGAGAGGAAAGGAGAAATTGGAGGGAGCGACATTCAGGAAACCCTCGCTTCTGGACGGAAATGCAATCAAGATCGCATGTAAGACACGTTGGCTTTGATGTTGTAAACCAGTAGCGCTGGTTTTGTACCCGCTACTTCACCAGTCACGAGCACTATTGTTTTCGAGCTCTTGGTTGACGCATATATATATGTAAGCTTACTCTATCAATAACTCTCTTCGAAAAGTCACTCCATACATAGCCCGACGCGAGTTCACTTCATTTTAAAATTCCCTTACACGGCTATATCTCCCAAGAAGCGTGCATATATGGAAATTTGAAAATAAAGAAGCTGGCACCATCGGGTCTGGAGCACATAGTGAATATAGAAAAAGGGGTTTGAATTTGATTAAAATGTCTTATGTGATGTGAGACACTTAAAAATGCAAGACAACAGTTGATCTTAAATTTTTGCCGACAGTTGTGGCCCATTTTCGTCCGGAATAATACAGAAGTCAGGGTGGTCGTAAATTTTCGATCTTGAAAATAAGACCAACTTTATGGGTTAAGTTGTTCGGAAGACGGGGTAGGTTTACTGGTCTTAGGTCAAGAGTGACCGAGTTCATAGGTACGTGAAGTCAAAGGCCACACTGTTCAACCTCAAGGACATCCTACCTATCGAAAATACAATATCACGCGATGCTATCTAAGGCAAAGTTGTTACCAGTTATGTCCAAGACGGGTAATTGACCACCATTCATAAACCTCAAGAAAATTTAGGATAAGTTTGACTAAACTTGTTGATATTTGGTTACAATTTTTTTTCGGGACTAGAAGCACATTGCCTAACGCGATTTTTAGTACTTGTTAATTTTTTCCCTATTGTCAGCACTCCAGGTGCCAATAAAATACTTCATTAACAACTGGAATTAAAATTGAGTCATCAGCAATGATGTAAAGATACCTTGCTAGAGGTAAAACTATTAACATGGTACCAATCTGTTTAGATAGAAAAACATTCACTGCCTGTTTAGAATAAAAATGTTCGTTGCCGCTCGCTCTTAATCACATTTATTTCGTAACTTGAATTTGAAAATATAGATATAGTTTATCCCACTCTTTGACAAGCGTGTTAATGCAGTAAGTCCCAAAGTCACGCGGCCGTCCATGTGCCTTCCCCCACGGGCAGTGTCTTGTTGCAAATGTACAAGGGTACTTTTCCATAGATGAGCGTCTGACCGGAAGATGAACTGTAAAGAAAAAAGATAGGAATAATAGGGACAGTTTATTGGATAACAAAATATGTGTAAACCATAAATTATGTTGTTTACCGTGCTGTGTTCGTCGTCTTCTTTTTATAGGAACTATCAGCAATGTAATTTCCTTATGATGCTGGAATGTGTCTTCTTTGTCAGTTCTCTTTTTTCTGGCGCCGTGAGTATAATCTAATATGCTTGATGAAATTTTAAAAGATTTTTTTCTGTTTTCTTTAGCATACCTTTCTATATCATAGCAATTTAATCACCAGAGAAAGGGACTCAATGAAATAGATTGATCCAACAGACTTAGAAAGTATGACGTAAAAAGACCGTTATTCAATCAAATATTGCATAACAACTGAAACGTAGCGAAATTACTTCGTCTTTTTGCTATTTAACTCAACCTTTTCCTCAGTTTGGCCACGTAGTGTATTAATTCCTTTTCTTCCTCACGAAACAAAAACGTGATGTTACCTGTCATTTTTTTTCACGTGGCATTGAGAACGAGGTCACTCTCTGGAACACGTTTCATTCATTCATTCATTTTTTTGTATTGTCGTAAACATGTTGTGGACAATTTTATATGTTATGGTCATTCACCTACTCGTATCTCAATTTAAGTATATGTTTCAGTGTGGTGACACGTCCCTTTGAAAAGTGGGGCGTGGTGACATACGGAACGGTTGGTGGGTGACCGTCCACGCGTAAACCTCGTGTGCGAACCTCTTACCATACCTTCCAACGCTCCGGGTCATAAATTACATTTACAAATCTGAAAAAAAAAAACAATAACGAAAATTATACAGAATAAATTATCGCATGGATCTTCTTAATTCGTCAATAAATGTCAGTGAAACGGAGGCAAACTTTATATAGCGTTCGCGTCTAGGCAATGCTCCCATAGTGTGATTTTGCCGAAGTTACAGGGCAGGTAAGGTATACGTCATCTTGGGAGGTATAAAACCCGAGACGTTCAAGTATACGGCACATTATAGTCTTGACACCCGGTGTGTATGGGGGAGAACAGGTGAAGAAAAGGGTCGCACTCTCAGGTGGGCTATTTTCATCGTTATATTTGTTTGTTTCCTTTGTTTATTTTGCAAATATGCCGTACTCATGTGTATATATTTGTATCATCTTAATAAGTATACAAAATTGTTTTTATTTTGTTTGTTTTTTGTTTCATATTTCTATTTATTTATTTTTCTTTATTTTCTTTATCGTATTCTTTTATAATATTTATTTTTAAGCATAAATCTGTACATATTTATTGATGTGCATTCAAGATCAAAAGACAAACAACATTTATTGCTAGGTATCTTACCAGTTAAAAGTGGTGTTGTCACATTTTTACAGAACAATGGAGGATATTTACATTGAGCAGCAACAACAGTTTGCAGATTCTTCTGTTCGCAAGAGAGGTGTTTCAGACCCATCCAAATTACAAGTGGACCGACCAGTCTTCACCCAGAAAGAGTTCGATGATGGCTACGACTTTCATGAAGACGAAAAGAAGACACTGAAAGAGCGCTTGCGAGCCTGCAAAAGACGCTGCTGCTTCTCGTCTGGCAAAAAAACGCGCGATTTCTTCCTCAGGTTATTCCCGTTTATTTCCTTGGTCAGAAACTACAAATTCCCGGACTGGATTCCAGGTGATATCATCTCGGGGCTGACGGTGGGCGTGCTGCAACTTCCGCAGGGTAAGTTAACGAAAAGCAGGCGTTTTCCGAGCGACCTATCACTTGTAATGCTTTAGATTGTCATTAAAACACACCAGTTGTAATTTGAGTTGATAAAAAAATTATTTTGGTTATTATTAATTTTCTTCTTCTTCTTCTTCTTCTCCTCCTCCTCCTCCTCTTTATAGAACACATTCTGTAATTTTTCGAATTTAAAACGTATATTGGACGAGCTATTTATCGAATACGATTGCGGTAAGAAATATTAGTGTTATTGTCTCATTTCACTAAAAGGGCAATTTAGATACATCTCTATATATTTTACGCTTCACAAAATATCTTTAGTTGTAAATTGTAACCAATGGACATTTTCGATTTGGCCAGGTTTAGTTATTCAGTCCGCCTTGGGGGCAAAATTTGACTGATTTCGTGATATCCGTTTCGTTTTGATTATCTAAACAGTATATTGCGCCGGATCATTACACCCCGAAAAAGGGTGGCTTGAAGAAATTTGTCATGAACACAAAATATGGCAATTGAGCAAACAATGCGATTTAAGCCTTAGTTCGGAACATACCCATTAACAAAAACTGACGAACAGACGGGCATGCAGGAAAGGACGCACGCGCGCACACGCACTCACACAGAAACACGCACACGCGTACCAAGAGAGAGAGAGAGAGAGAGGGAGAGATAGGGTGAGAGATCGTCCTTTTCACTGTATACTCACACAACGACAACGGTGCAAATGAGATATACCTTGAACAAAAAGGTACACTTACGTTGTCAACAATCAATCAAATCTATCGAGACCGAGACAACGGTAACAGGGCTTTTATCAATGAAAAATACAGCCGCTAAGTAAATTCCTCCCAACACGCACGAATGCCTACTGAAAGAAGGACATTGTTATACTAGCAACTATCAAAACTTCTTTAAAAAAAAATGAAAATGTCCGTCGTTAGTAAAAAGCTTTTTTTCGTAAATGTGTTGAGTTGCTTGCACATCGTTTTATCCCGAAAATTCGTAGAATGATGGAGAATGGTATTTTTCCCGATAATGCACTGTGGTTTTGCTATTTCCTTTTTTTTTCATTACCGCACAAAATTACGTTGTGCTTCAAAAAATTAAAGGACATACGTTTATTGAAAAAATAACCATTTATATCGCATTTTAAAAGCTCGTAACAAGATGGTTATATCATTCATAAGAGGTAGACGGAAGGATAGGCAGGCAAGAAGGAACCTTTTGATCCATTATTTTCGATTGTCCATGGTATTTGTTTTTTGTTTAATTTTTTAAACTTTCATCTTTTTGTTACATTTCATGACGTTTATGAAATTTGTCCTTTTTGTCTGTGTAATTAATTTATTTTCTATTTCAGGTGTTGCGTACTCCTTGCTGGCCAGCTTGCCACCAATCAACGGCCTCTACGTATCGTTTTTTCCTCCACTCCTTTACTTTTTTATGGGGACATCAAGACATGCGTCTGTAGGCAAGTTAACGGCGTGTACACCCGCTTTGTTCTTAATATTCTTATGTCATAATTCTAATGCCTTTTCAGAACAACTTAATTTCGATCATGAAGACAATTTATATTGCATCATATCACGCGATTTTTGAGAGCGGCATGGCCAACCTAAAGTTCTGAAACAGTCCAAGGTCGGTCGTTGCATAAGCTCAGCTAATCATTCAACATTTTCAGTCAGTGCTTTTTTTCTGAACAATGCCACTTCTGCTACGCTTGCGCAAGATGGATAGATTAATGTTCAAAACAAAGAATACTTTGTGGATTGGTACTGTCCGTAGATGTTGCGCGTCGTTACGTGTGGTGCAAAATAAGACAAAAGCTCTCTTTGATTACACGCACCTTGGACCTAAATATAGAAGGANGTGAACGAAAAGCAGGCGTTTTCCGAGCGACCTATCACTTGTAATGCTTTAGATTGTCATTAAAACACACCAGTTGTAATTTGAGTTGATAAAAAAATTATTTTGGTTATTATTAATTTTCTTCTTCTTCTTCTTCTTCTTCTTCTTCTTCTTCTCCTCCTCCTCCTCCTCTTTATAGAACACATTCTGTAATTTTTCGAATTTAAAACGTATATTGGACGAGCTATTTATCGAACACGATTGCGGTAAGAAATATTAGTGTTATTGTCTCATTTCACTAAAAGGGCAATTTAGATACATCTCTATATATTTTACGCTTCACAAAATATCTTTAGTTGTAAATTGTAACCAATGGACATTTTCGATTTGGCCAGGTTTAGTTATTCAGTCCGCCTTGGGGGCAAAATTTGACTGATTTCGTGATATCCGTTTCGTTTTGATTATCTAAACAGTATATTGCGCCGGATCATTACACCCCGAAAAAGGGTGGCTTGAAGAAATTTGTCATGAACACAAAATATGGCAATTGAGCAAACAATGCGATTTAAGCCTTAGTTCGGAACATACCCATTAACAAAAACTGACGAACAGACGGGCATGCAGGAAAGGACGCACGCGCGCACACGCACTCACACAGAAACACGCACACGCGTACCAAGAGAGAGAGAGAGAGAGAGAGTGAGGGAGAGATAGGGTGAGAGATCGTCCTTTTCACTGTATACTCACACAACGACAACGGTGCAAATGAGATATACCTTGAACAAAAAGGTACACTTACGTTGTCAACAATCAATCAAATCTATCGAGACCGAGACAACGGTAACAGGGCTTTTATCAATGAAAGATACAGCCGCTAAGTAAATCCCTCCCAACACGCACGAATGCCTACTGAAAGAAGGACATTGTTATACTAGCAACTATCAAAACTTCTTTTAAAATAATGAAAATGTCCGTCGTTAGTAAAAAGCTTTTTTTCGTAAATGTGTTGAGTTGCTTGCACGTCGTTTTATCCCGAAAATTCGTAGAATGATGGAGAATGGTATTTTTCCCGATAATGCACTGTGGTTTTGCTATTTCCTTTTTTTTTTTTTTTTTTCATTACCGCACAAAATTACGTTGTGCTTCAAAAAATTAAAGGACATACGTTTATTGAAAAAAATAACCATTTATATCGCATTTTAAAAGCTCGTAACAAGGATAGGCAGGCAAGAAGGAACCTTTTGATCCATTATTTTCGATTGTCCATGGTATTTGTTTTTTGTTTAATTTTTTAAACTTTCATCTTTTTGTTACATTTCATGAAGTTTATGAAATTTGTCCTTTTTGTCTGTGTAATTAATTTATTTTCTATTTCAGGTGTTGCGTACTCCTTGCTGGCCAGTTTGCCACCAATCAACGGCCTCTACGTATCGTTTTTTCCTCCACTCCTTTACTTTTTTATGGGGACCTCAAGACATGCGTCTGTAGGCAAGTTAACGGCGTGTACACCCACTTTGTTCTTAATATTCTTATGTCATAATTCTAATGCCTTTTCAGAACAACTTAATTTCGATTATGAAGACCATTTTTATTGCATCACATCACGCGATTTTTGAGAACGGCATGGCCAACCTTAAGTTCTGAAACAGTCCAAGGTCGGTCGTTGCATAAGCTCAGCTAATCATTCAACATTTTCAGTCAGTGCTTTTTTTCTGAACAATGCCACTTCTGCTACGCTTGCGCAAGATGGATAGATTAATGTTCAAAACAAAGAATACTTTGTGGATTGGTACTGTCCGTAGATGTTGCGCGTCGTTACGTGTGGTGCAAAAAAAGACAAAAGCTCTCTTTGATTGCACGCACCTAGCAATAGTAACGATGTCAAGATCTTAGACACGGTGTCTAACGAAGACGGAGATATACTGTTTTAATTGATTAATAACAAAATGCACGTTATACTCTTTCATTTGCCATAACTAAATGGAATTACGCATGCTTGTTTGAAGTACCTGTCACGTTTCACAAGAGTGCATCTAGTAATGTGCAAACGTTGGTTCGACGAAGGTTGAATGAAGGTTAAAGAAAATACAAAGTTGGAAAAATAGATATAAAGAAGTATTAAAATTTCTATTCATCACGAAATAATGAAATGATGGAAAAGAAAAAAAACATAAGGACACTAAATTTTAAAAAAATCATTAAAAATGAAAGAAAACATGTTTGTAAGAGAAGTTTTTTCGTTATCCAGGCACGATGGGCGTGACCTCCATTATGGTAGGGTCCGTAGTGGACCGGGAGGTGCTCAACTACTTCAGCCACATCAACAACACACTGGACCACTACAACGACGACCAAGACATGACGCAGTTTAAACTGGGCGTGGCCACAGCTATCACATTCCTGGCAGGAGTTTGGCAGGTAAGGCGTGTGTGGTGTGTGTGCGTGTGTGCGCGCGCGCGTGCGAGCACGCGCCAGTGGTATATGTGCGGATGGGGCGGGTACACATGTAGGTGCATAGCACAACTGACTCTTGCTTTAAATTATTATTATTATTATTATTATTATTATTATTATTATTATTATATGCAAGTTCAACCCAGTTTTACAATATCTCTAGTAGTCGACTTTCAATCAACTACTCTGACCACAAAAAACAGATTATTTTCTTACTTTAGATGCTGATGTGGATCAGTGGTCTGTCCCTAGTGGTGGACTACCTCTCTGACACCGTGATCAGTGCGTTTACCTGCGCTGCCTCCATCCACGTCATCTCGTCCCAGCTGAAGTATATATTTGGCGTCGATATACAGAGACACGCGGAGCCGCTCAAGTTGGTAAAAGTAAGTCTAATGTGAAATAAAAAACGGAGCCGCTCAAGTTGGTAAAAGTAAGTCTAATGTGAAATAAAAAAAGGTTCGTGTCTGTGTTGGGGGGGGGGGGGGGGGGATAAAATCTTTCTCGTTGTGTGGACATTCGAGGAAATTTCAAAAGAAAATCAGCCCTTCATTGCTATCATTTTTGCAAAATTTAAGAAGCAGTTGTTGCTTTTTTATGAGATTAGTTGGTGTCACAGCTTTTTTCTGTCACGTTATTAGTGCAAAACAAAAAGGATAAAAAATAATGTTAACCAACATCTTCTGAGGGACAAGAAGAAAGTTTGCTTTCTTCAACATTATTATTTTTAATATTAATGATAATGATAGTAATAGGCAACTTTCTAGACAGGAATGAATTATAATAATATTATTATATCTGATTTTCCTTGTAGACGTACAAAGACATCGTCCTAAACCTGTTCAATACCAATGTATCAGAGCTGGTGATCTCGCTAATCTGTATTGCCAGCCTGGTCATAGTGAAGGAGTGCATTAACGCCAGGTGTAGGAGGTCCAAACTCAAGGTGAAGATACCCGTCCCTGTGGATCTCATCGTGGTATGTAATATATATATATACATATATGGTCTACCTATCCTATGCTCAAATATAAAAAAGTAAATGCCTGTCACTGCGGATCTGATTGTTGTACACCAACTAATAAATATGGTCTACCCATCCTTGGCTCAGATTTAGGAAGTAAATGCCTCGGGATCTCACTGTGGTAAGGAACAGGTTCGCCCTCCAATCCTATACCCATATTTAGAGAGTGAAAAAAAAAAAAAGAAAAAAAAAAAAACAGAACAAATTAAATTGATGAATACGGCGTACAGCAACTTGACTTGCTTATGAATATGTGAAATCCGACAGTCATATTTTGAAACGTTTCTACAAAATGGTCACATTGAACCACTAATTACCTAGGCAAAAAGGAAATAAACATGATTTATTTATTACAATTCTTCATTTGTTGTTTTAATAGTGTTTATATAAAGTCTGAATAAATGAATGAAGTAAGAAAAAATCAAACAAGATATCAAAGAATACATACAGATCAAAGATTCTCTTACCTTCTGTGAAAAGAGACAGACTGTTTACTTCCCTGTAAATAATTATAAGCAAAGTCAAAAGATAAATATAATTGAAATTAAAAATGAAAATAAATAAATAAATAGAGCTAAACCCACTGTTTCTTTCCCCTTTTAAGGTAGTTGCAGGCACTGTGATTTGTTACAGTCTGGACATGTCGGAACAGTTTGGGGTGGCAATAGTGGAGGACATTCCAACAGGGTGAGACCTGACAGGCCATCTGTGACTTCTCTGTCACACAATGTCTACCCTTTGTTCCTCTTGGTGGCGCTCAGACAGTCTGGTTCATTTTGTTGTGATGTTATGCATGAGACGACAAAATGTCTCATTCCCTTTACGCACTCACCTGATGGTGCCAGCTGACATCATGTAAAAGATGTTCTTGCATGCAAAAGAATGTTGCCTCTTCCATAAAATGTATTGCTCAAGGTTGAAGCATTTAATCATTTCATACTTGAAGGATGTATGCCATTGCAGCACCATTCATAATTTGCATTAAAAACAATGACTCACAAAGCATTTAATAGCATTTGGAGTTCCCATTCAGTTTTTTTTTTTTTTTTAATAATTGAGCCATTGCAACAACCAGTAGTTTTATGGTATAATGGACTTAAAACAACAGATGATTTTACTGAAAATTTTATGGTCTATTTAAAACTTTTATAAAGAACTCCTCTTTATTTCATGTTAATACTTTAAGAGTATGTTTAAAGAAAATTTTTAAGAAAATGTTTAAATTTGTTCATCTCTTTTTTTATTCTAGCATTCCAGTCCCCAAACTCCCACCCCCTGAATACCTCATTAGCATTAGGTTCATAATCGATTCATTTAGCCTGGCTGTGGTTGGGTTTGCCATCTCTATCTCCATGGGCAAATATCTGGCTAAGCTGCATGATTATGAGATTGATGCTGAACAGGTACTTGGCCACCAATCTATCTAATGCACTAATTTAGTATTTGATGAAAAATATTATTTATATGCTATTTTTTATTAAGGAATTTATGCTGAAAAATAAAACTTGATAGAAAAACAAAGATGACTTTTCTTATATGATATAAATAAGTTTTTTTTTATTCAATTTTTTGTCTACAGTATTTATTACACAAATTTTCCATTATTGTGATACATGTCCATCTTTTGAATTTTCAATTTGTCAAAATGTAATTAATGCAACCGTATGTGTTTATTCACATGGTACAGTGTTGTGTTTATTTTTTTTCATTCCCCAGGAACTGCTAGCCTATGGTTTGTGCAATACATTCAGTTCATTCTTTAACTGCTTTGCCAGCTGTACGTCACTGTCCAGAAGTTTGGTGCAAGAGTCAGCAGGAGGAAACTCTCAGGTATTGGGTCTATATATCTGTACTCTCTGGCTACAGGGTCCTACTAGTAGTCTGTTCCAAAATTATAGTATCTGCTTATACTTTAATTTTGTATGATATTTTAGAGGACCCTGATATCAGAGGCTAGTCTAATTTGTATGTTGGTCAGTAGTTTTGTCAAAGAACGTGAAATTAATAAAATGAATTTATAAACTGACAGGCTGACATTCAGATTTTGAATCTGAATTGAATAAAGTATACTTGATATCTCTTGAAGGAATTGTCTTGTTCTTTTTGTCTAGAAATTATTCCTTTTTTGATAATTATTATTATGTACATCACTAAAGGGGTATTTGTCTTAAAGGCAACTGTTCAGTGCCAGCAAGCTATATTTATATTAAAAATTTAAACATTTCTGTGTAGTTTGCCAGTCTCCTAGCCTGTGGTGTGGTTCTGGTGGTGATGCTGTATGTAGGACCTCTCTTTTACTATCTCCCTAAGGTGAGACAACTTATAATTGTAATTAATGCCACATGTACAAACTTAATGTACTTATTACATATTACATTTATTTCAGCAATTTTTTGCAGTTTGTCAGTTATGATTATTTTTTATGATTTATGATTTATTTATGGTTATGTTTTTCTTCTTTAACCCTGCCCCCTACATTACACACACATGCATGTACATGAACACACCAACACACGTGCACACACACACACACACACACACACTGTTGGCTGATTTTTCATCCATTTAGCAATTGCATTATGAACACAGTGATGATATATATGGATTATATTGTGGATTTGTATGGCTTTAATGTGGACTTGTACATCTTTCTACTTCAGTGTGTTCTTGCCTGTATTATTGTGGTTGCCATGAAAGGCATGTACATGCAGATGGGAGAACTGAGAGGACTGTGGAAAAAATCAAAATATGAATTTGTAAGTGCATATTAAAAAAGTCACCAACAAGGTAAAAATCAATAATGAAAACCATTTGCAAATTACTAATTAAACGTAATAATATAGTGAATTGATTTGCAGAGACTAAATATATGTTTTAAGGATGTTTCAGCTCTTCTTTTAATACCTATACTATATTTACACAATAAACAGTGAAATTTCTATTTCATCATAACTTTTAATTTTAATTTTTTTCCCTAACTCTGATTGTTTGATTTTAAAAGGTAATTTGGCTGGTGACTTTCCAAGCTGTGGTGTTGCTAGGCAACGACATGGGGCTGATGGTGGGAGTGGGATTTGCATTGATTACAGTTGTCTTTAGAACACAAAGGTCCGTCTATTTTTTTTAAAATTTATTACATTTATAGGGAAAGATTTTGGGTATTTGGTAACAATGGTAATGTTATATTACCACTTGACGAAACCCAATCACATGTAATAAAATAAGGCCCTTTTTCCCTCCATCTTTGCTGAAATGTAAATTATATCTTTAAGCTTGAAAATTATATAACATACATGATTGTCATTCATAGATTTATATCTAACTCTCAGTATTTTTCATTCGTACTTTGAACATTAATCAAAGTGCAAATGTCAATAAAATGACATTTTCAACCTACATCTATTTGATTCTGTTGTGTTGTGTATGATAACAAATTTTGACAGCAAACTAGCCTCGGCGACTCCTCTCAATTCATGCACTCATAAAATACTTTTTCTGACTACTTTTTAAAACCGGACAGTTGCTCCTCATCGGAGAAAACTTTAAATCCTTGCTCCCAGTCCACCAGAGGTCTCTTACTTTTCTGTCTGTCAGTGGCTAGAGGAGTACCACAAGAAGTAAAATTTTTCTTATTACATTTATTGTAGACCTTCAACAGCTCCTCCCCAAGCATTTTTCTCAGCTTGTGTGTGTTTTCTTTGACAGAAATGAAACTTAATTCATATACTTATTTTCAGACCATACACTTGTCTTCTGGGGAATATACCAAACACAGAGATTTACCAGGATAAACAAAAGTACCAAGCAGTAAGTTCTTTATTGCTTCTTTTCTTCATAATTTCAAACATAATTTACAAACTTTTTTTAAAGATCTAAATCGTTTAAAAATGTAAATATTTAAAAATCTCAATAAAACACATTTCAAGCAATTGTTGAGAGATTGAGAAAGGATGAATGATTTGTTCCTTTATTTTTTCTTTCTTGATAATTTTTTATCAATTCTTTGAAATACTTATTCATAAGAAAGTCATCATGTTGAGGTGTCCAGATGGTTTATTCACACAATATAACACATTTTTTTCATTACCTCAATAGGTCCAAGAAATTCCTGGGTTGAAAATCTTTCATTTTGAGGGCTCCTTGTACCATGCCAATGCTGAGCATTTCCGCAAAAAGCTGTTTGAACTCACAGAAACATACCCCCTTAAACTGAAGAAAAAGAGACAGAAACAGGAAAAGCAAATGAAGAAACACAAGAGAAGGCAAGATGTGTTGAGGACTGAGGAGGACAAGAGAGCCAAGAAAGCAGAGAAACAGAAAAGAAGGGAAATGAAACTGGTAATGGTTGAAAAAAGCTGATTTTATTTATTGCACAAATTTTACATTGTTGTGATTTATGTCCTAAGTACATATTTTTCAAATCTTTAGTTTAGCTCAAATAAGATGCAGCATTAGTAAAATAATAGGATACAAAAATGTCAGAACAATAATGCAATTCAATTCAAGGCAGTATGGCTAAATATTAAAACCAGTGTTAATTCTGTAACTTCAGGCTGGACACAGACTCCAAAATGACTTGGATCCTAACTTCATCTGCAGCATTGTTGATGAGTCAGAAGATGACCTTGATGACATCTATGCTGTCAGTGGAGCTAGGGTTACTATGAACAATTTTGAACTTCGTCACATCATCATAGACTGCTCTTCTATGGTTTATATTGACTCTGTTGGCATCAAAATATTGAAACAGGTAATTTGGGTCACTTTCTTTAAGATTTGAAAACTTTAAATATCTGTTTATATTTTCCTACTATTGTTGTTATTAGTTTTTTATTGAAGAAGTTGATTGAGAAGGTACGTGACCAACTTTCATGATCACTATTGTTGTAAAATTTTCCTAAAATTCACACAATGAGGTGGGAATGAGTGAATTTCACTTGTGATGGTATAAAAATAGAAACCAAGAGCTGGAAAACAGATTTAAAAATTGTAATTTTCTCAACACTTTTGGATATGTTAAAATTTCAGTAATGAAGAGAAAAGTGTTGAAATTTCTAGGGATATTAAATTGTTACTATATTTAAGCCTCACGCTCATTGTATGCTTATAAACAGTTTGTATTATATATACTAACAGCGCTCTTTATTCCCTTACAGATCATGACTGACTGCAAGGAGGTCGGCATTACAGTGTTATTATGTGAATGTAGAGGTAAGTGTATGTTACCCAGATTACAGTGTAAACAGATTACAAAGGAGCATCACAGTAAAATATCTTGATTCTTAAAAATATTCTTTTCTTTTAGCAATTTTACCAGTTTGCAAAGCAAAAAGAGAAGGAGATTGTACAACTTCATAAAATTTTTCAGTCAACCTGCGAGAATTGTTTCATAAACATCAGCTATTTGAGAAGCTTAACAGTAATGTGATCTACCTGACCATACATGATGCAGTTATCAAGGCAACTTCAGCCACGGAAACAGTACCCTCAGAAGTAAGTTAAAAAAAAGGGTAAAAAAAAATAAATCCTTGAATGGTTAATTTATAATTATCTAAATTTTGTAATACTTTTGACCCTGCAATAACTTAAACACAGAGGTCTATCATGCTCTTTGTGTGCCTTTAAACAAACTGTTCAAAACGTTGATTTTTATTTCAGTTTTTGTTTTATTTTTATTTCAGTTAACATCTTCCCTGCCACAGCCTCCCTCCATGTGTAACATGCTGGACTCTGTTCCTGTGCAACTGAGCATGCCATACAAGCCACTGACTAGATCGGAGACAGCATGCACAACTGTAGCCCTAGAGATGAGTCCCCAGAAGAACGAGGATCAAGTTTCAGCGGACGACTCGGCGTACAATTCCGCAGAGAAAATCCGCTACGCTCCCGAGCGCAGAGAGGCTGCAGTCCAGTACAATTCACATTCCCTCGCTTCCTCAGAGAAGTTAAAGTTTCTGTCTGGCACTGACATGGAACTGCCGGCTGAGTTGAACGCAAATTTTAGGGCCTCAACGGGACAGATATATTTCCCTGAAAAAGACGAAGAATTTGAAATTGACTTCACATTGAGGACCTCTGTTGAGGGCATTCCTCAGACCAGTGATACCGTCTCTGGTCACTTCCAGGCAGATTTCAGCAGTGCCCCATCTGACCCCCCACACCAACAACAACAACAACAACAGCAGCAAATAGCAGAGGCTCCATTAATAGCAGACTTCAGTGCTGTGGAGAAGCAGCGTTCAAACTCTTGTCTTGCAGAGCCCCTGGGTCAGTTTGAGGCAGATTTCAGCACACCCAAGGAACAGCTCGAGTTTCCACAAGTCCCTCTTACTGTAGCACAGTTCAACACTGAGTCTATGGAACAGTTAAACATGCCCCAGGTGAGTGATTTATTTCTCTCGCGTTCTAACGTGAAAGATAATACTTCTACTTCAAGAATATTCTTCTTAAATGTGACAGATGCTTTATTGGTTAATCTTAGTGATGAATATTTCCCTTATTCTATCAAAAAAATAGAATTTCAAAAAAAATCAGCTATTGATTGTGTTGATGCATTTAATGATCGATGAAGTTGATAGCAATGATTTCATTGCATTTTGAATTGGTTAATTACATATATCATGACATTTATATTCTATTAATTTTGTGCATTAACTTTTTCATGTGAAAGCTGTTTGATGATGATGAAGAACCACTGTCTCGGACATCAAGCAAAAGAAGCTCCAGGAAGAGCCGAGGCTACTGTAATCTAGCTTGTTCTGCAGAAAGTTCAGAATGCTAACCGAACTGCCTTTAACATATAACATAAACTATATTTAAATGCTGAAATAATGTTACCTGTAGAATTAAAGCACAAGAGATATTTATTGTGAACCGTGTGTGACTAAAGAATTAACATGGAATGAATGTATAGGATTGAATCAAGACAGTTTTATAACTGGTCTGCTCTTGTATTACATATTGCTTTGAATTAAAAGATATATATTAAGGAAGTATAATATCAATGATTAAATTATACAAGCAAACATCATGGTATTTTTGTCTGCGAATTGTTTTCTGTATGGGTTAAGCCTTTAAATTGGTGGTCAGGTTTTATATGTTGTAGCTATTTGTTGGAATCATCAATTGTAACATATTACCCATTTATAAGCATTTTTTAGTTGTCCAGGCTGAATGCTTACTGTTGATGTTGGTGTGCTTTTTTTTTTAAATACTTTGTGCCAGTCATACTGAGCGGCAGTCTTAGATCCTAAATAACGTACTCAGAGGGGTCGCCATCCATGGAATTTATGTCCTGTAAAGTGTAACCATTTTTATTTTAATTTTGGCTCTAATTATGCATATTTAAGAGGGGACGCTGAAATTACTGTCTAGTTTCCAGTTTAGTTTTTCAAAAAAACTAACCTGGCAACCAGAAACTGGTGTCCTTATTCAAAAACGATTCTGATGCTGGGAAACCAGAGTGTTTTTTGCGGTGGGAGACAAGACTGGGCTGAGGAAGAGGCGTCAGGCGATTAGCGTCTACTGCAACAGGTAATCTTACCCGTGAATGTCGGCCATGGTGTTATGGACAATCTCCGCCGTGCAGGAAGGACGTGATGACCGCCGATCGATCTTTACAGCGCACAGGTCGGCCCCTGGGTGTCTCGTCTTGTTGTATGGTTGACTAACTTGGTTATATTTGATAAGAATAAACAATTCTGATAATTAAAAAACTAGTGCCGTTTTTAAAAAACCGGTTCTTCCGCCTTGCTGCTCTTGCTTGCTGCTAATATATATACATATTTTGAACCCTCATGGAAAGCTAAAGGTATCACAAACAAAACGGTGCCCAAAAGGCACTGAGGAAAAGTTAAGAGAAAGTATCCTTCACGTCAGTTAGATGTCCCCATGTTCATTTTGCCTGAGTGCATCATTCTGGAAAAATATCGTCAATGCGAATCTAAGAAATACTGAAATACATTTTCTAACATCTTACGAGATATGCAGCTGTCGATTTCAGTGCCATCTTTTCGGCGTACATGTGGCAGTAGCAGTAATATGGCATTGGACATCCTTCTCCATCTTCTACTGACCTCGGTTCTATCTGAGCATCTCTCACCAAAACGCTCACCTGATTTTGATGAAGAGGTCACCTACGAGTTCTTTCTTTGCGGACGCTTCGGTACGAATAACTGTCTGATTTATGAGAAGGCACAATAAGTCTCCATCTCAAAAAGAGGATTAGGGGTTGATAAAGTCACAATGACACACACACACACACACAACAAAAATAAATAAATAAAAATAAAAATGCGTTTTCAAAGTCAACATACTTGATATTGCCTGACTGGGCATATCAATCAGCTTTCATAGGTCGAAAGAACCAAGAAGTTATTTTAAGCTCATGGTCAAAGTCAACTGGAAAGGGTGCAAACTTCTTGGAATATACCCGTGAATGGACTGAAAAAGTTAATAGGGGTGGTGTGTTTGAAATAAATGATGACATATTTTTTTCGCAGAGTGGAAATGGTAGTTAGGTCGATGTTCAATGTAGTTTCTCAAAGCAAATTGTCACTTGCCAGTAGGGAAAATTATCCTATTCAACTTGCTGTCCTCAAAGCTAGTACAACTTGGCTGGTCTGCAATAACTAGAGATGTTGCGGAGGAATGCCACAGCACCTTGCTTTTTCATTGTGTTTTAAAGAAATTTGTGGCCATCAGAGGATCAGCATTCACTCGTGTATGGAAAACAAGGCAGCAAAGCTGTCAAATGTACAGACAAAAAGCAGAAAATAAAATTGCACAAAATAGGCTACTGTCAATTCTGATGCAAAAGTACATTATGCTTAACTGCAAATTCAACATCAAATTTTAATTATGCTCAACAGGCAATACCAATGTAAGTAAAATGTGTAACAAGCATAAGGCTTCAGGCCCATGGGGGTTCAAGTTCACACTTTGAAAATGCCAGAATGAGAAAAATGAAAATTTCATACAAAACTGCATAAATTCAATAATAAATGATAACCCAATTGAGCTGGCTTTCTGATTTGAACTGCATGCCAATCCTAAAAATCATACTTGTAAGTTAAAAATTATTATAAGTAACACAGTTTTCTTTTCATAATGTTTGTAGTAGCAGTGCAAAAAGATTTGTCAATTTTGATTACATAATTATCTAGAGGATCAGAGAGGCGATACCGCCTCCGGATATTGTACCACCAGTTGGAGTAAGCGCATTCGTATGGACCCCCCCCCCCCAAAAAAAAAAGGGACACCACCACCAGTCTTGTGCTTGACAAGCTGTGTAAAATGCAATCAACAAGAATTCTCAAAATATGCAAAAAAAAATATATATAACTAAAAATGATACAATCAAAGTTCAGTTCATCGTAAAAAGTAGGTCAAAGGTCAATTTTAGGGTCACAGTGAATTGCCAGTATATGACTTCCTATTCAAGTTCAATAGTAACTATGAAACTATCTCTGCCAATTTTTGAGATAAAAGGGAACCAAAATTTGCAAAGTTCAATTCATAGTGAAAAGTAGGTCAAATGTCAATTATAAGGTCACAGTAAATTGCCTCTAATGACTTTCTATTCAAATTCAATAGTAACTATGGACCTTTCTCTGCCAATTTTGGAGATAAAAGGGAACCAAAATTTGCAAAGTTCAGTTCATGGTGAAAAGTAGGTCAAAGGTCAATTTTAAGGTCACAGTGAATTGCCTCTAATGACTTTCTATTCAAGTTCAATAGTAACTATGGACCTATCTCTGCCAGTTTTGGAGATAAAAAGGAACTAAAATTTGCAAAGTTCAGTTCATGGTGAAAGGTAGGTCAAATGTCAATTATAAGGTCACAGTGAATTGCCTCTTATGACTTTCTATTCAAATTCAATAGTAACTATGGGCGTATCTTTGCCAGTTTTGAAGAATAAGCATTAAAAAAGTTGCAAAGTTCAGTTTATGGTGTAAAGTAGGTCAAAGGTCAATTTCAAGGTCATAAGATTACCAGTATAAGACTTCCTATTCAACTTCAATAGTAACTAGTGACCTATCTCTGCCAGTTTTGGAGATAAAAGTTGCAAAGTTCAATTCATGATGAAAAGTAGGTCAAAGGTCAATTTCAAGGTCACAGTAAGAATACTGCATCAGCAATAAAGTACAGTTTAAGACCTTGTCCATATAGATTTTCTGTCCAATAAACTACAGCATCTGGCCTGTGATTCACTGTGTTATGCATGCGGTAAAATCTGCGGTTTGGTGTTGCTGCATTGCAAACAGTAGCTCTCACTTTAAAACCTGCAGTTTCCAAGACACGGACATTTTCCCAAATTGTTGGATAAAGTTGTTCGGCATTGAACCCTACACAGGGGTAATGAGCCAATGTAAAAGAGTAGCTGTCCACAATTCCCTGATCCATGGTCACCAGTACATGAGTCGCCAACTGGGGTTCTGCATCCTCTCCCTTTTCTACAAGGCTGCCGAATGTCCACAACTGCTCATTGAAACTGCCCATATTACAGAGCCCAACAAGCTCACCACTATTCTTTGAATACACAAGGTCCGACTTGATTTTCACTTCATCAAAAGCAGAACAACATTTTTCTTAGCTTCTGGGAGTTTGGAGAATTCAATGGCTTCCACTTGCTGCTTGAGAAAATGAGCATTCACTTTGCCTGGGGAAAGAGAGGTGTAATGTTCATAGTCACATAATGTCCTGGATGTTGGCAGAGAAAAAAATCCTGACTTATTGATCAAGTCATAAGCTGCACGAGAAATTGATTTCAGCTGCAGACACCAACGTATCATCATTGGATGCCATCTCATGCTCTTCTTGTTGCTCAGCTCAGCTTGTTTTTTTTTTTGTTGATCCCACAGCAGAATCCGGCTGGAAGGTCCTACCAATGTGGGCATCACTGTCTGTCATAATCTTTTGTAAATCACTGGATACAGATTCATGCAGAGTTACCCCTTCTCTCTCCACTAGTTTCGCCACATGCTGCATTAGAGCCTTCTTCTTGTTTGCCTCCAATGCTTGTTGAGATTTGACATTTGCTAGTCTCTCTCAAAGTTCCTCCGAATCCAAAAGTTTGAGGGGAACATGTGATGAAGCAGATGTTTTGTCACTTTCTTCCACCTTCTTGCTTCTGTGTAGTAATTGTTTTAGATTATTTCGAAAATTTACACAACTGATACACCTGGTCCCCTTCACTAAAATTGTACAGTTTTTGTGGCGGATTGTCCTTTTAAAGGTTAAATTTCCACTGACAATTGGAAAACCCTGTTCTTCAGAAGCAATGATATCACCCATGGAATTTTCAAACTTGGCATTTCCAGATGGACTGCGTTGTCGGCAGATTGGGATATATTTTTCATCTGGATTACCAGGGCACTTATTGTAAAATAAGACTATTTTAAACAACTGTTCAACGTCCTCTAGCACAGGCGGGATTTCAGATAAAAGCTGAGAGTGGGAAATTTCTTTTCCAAGAACTGTCACTTTCCAGGTTTTGTCATTTCTCAAGGTGAAAATGTGAGTAAAAACTGGCATTCTTAGTCCTCCAATCAAAGCAAATGAGGGTGTAGAGCCAAAGTTATATGAACCACCACCATCATCTCCTATCTCCAACAGTCCATATTTTGCACCAATTTGTCTGGTTTGTGTCAGGAAATCTGTTGTCTGTGGGGGTGAGAGCACAGAGCCTTGTGTCTCAAGTAGCTGCTGCGTACTTTCTACATCCTCCTGCTCCTGGGGCTGTTCAGTTGTGACTACATTTGCCAGCAAATCTAGAGAAGATACGTCATATGCCTCTTCTTGATCTGTGACCTTAAATGAGTAAGCACTAGGTATATAACAACACACAGATACTCGTTAAAATATTATATATATATATATATATATATATATTTTTTTTTAATTATTAATATTTTTATAATAATTATTAATATATTTTAATTATATATAATTATTATTATTAAAAAAACCAAAAGCACTCAAAAGGAAAATGCAGAGGTGAGCATAACAGGACTGATTAAGTATCAAGGTATTTGATAACTCGACTGAAATCAAAACCAAAAACAATCAACAGTTACCTTTTGTGTGCTTTTTACATTCTGCTGCTCTTGGGACTGCTCCGTTGTGGCTACATCTGCCAGCAAATCTAGAGGAGTGATTTCATATGGCCCTCGTGTTTCGAGTGGCTGCTCGGTACTTTCATCATTGGGTGGTTGTTCAGTTACCTGCTTTGATTTTCTCCTTTTCTTATGGGGTATGTGGGTCCCTTTCTTCCTGTAGGTCAGACCACGCCGTCTACCCATTCTGAAATTATTATACATTTTAATAATAAAAACCTACATGAAAAAGTAAGACGGGTTTGTCTAATTTTTCTAAAGCAATATATTCTGTAAAGCAGCCTCCTGACTATGCCACCTCAATAAGGTCTCTCTTAAATACATGTTACAAACAGTGTTTGCCTCTTAGGAAAATTAGTTGCTGGACCGAAAGTCCAGACATCTTGAAAAGTAGCTGGACTGAATGTCTGCCTGGTGGGAAAACTTCTCAGCCCGTTCTGAAAGTTGTCAGCCCCGGGCAGACGGCCAGCCTTTATTTCTAACACTGGTTACAAATTAACTACAGTAAAAGAAATAATAGACAAAATATGCAGTACTTATGACAGGATTGGTAAAAATGTCTCATTCAATTCTTTATATCCAATAAGTAACTTTCATTTATCATAAATGACCATTAACTCATCTAAGATAATTACGATAATTATAACTGATAACCAGGCAAGATATGTCAGGGAAGATTCTCCCTTCACCTGTGACATGCTAGCTGAATAGGTTATGCTGAATAGGTGTGGTGGGTCACCAGTTTTTCAGGTAGATACCATCAGGTAATTGAATGACCACTTTCACAATTGTGAAAAATTATTTGGGCTTACAAGTTGACTCTAACAGGAGTGTAATTACTTGGCTTTTAATAGAAGTGTAGTAACTCCCTGGTGAAGTCAAAATAAATTTACTAGCTACTATAGACAGTGTGAGTACAACTACCAGTAGTTGTAAATCCACTCTTAATAGAGCTGATGATATAAATTTAAGTTTTCATTCTGAGTATAAACTGCATGAAGAATAATAGATCTATTTACACGAACAATACAAATTATGTGCGTTAATTCATTTTAAACAATAAGAACTATCAGACCACCATTTTGAAAAAGTCTGATGAAAAGTCTATTAAAAACAGTTTTTTATGAAAAGGATAGATTCATTTTATACCAAAATGATGTATTGTAATGATGCACGTGCTTAACTAACCAGAAAAACATAAATTATGTGCATACATCACATTAAAATTAACAAAAAATGTCCCAAACTGACACCCAACTGCCTCTCACCACTTTATGGACCCACCATTTTGAATAAGTCCGATGAAAAGTTAGTCTATTTGAAACGATGTTTTTCATCGGAATGATTGATTCATTCGACACCAAAATGATGTATTGTAATGATGCACGTGCTTAACTAACCAGAAAAACATAAATTATGTGCATACATCGTGTTAAAATTTACAAAAAATGTCCAAAACTGTCACCCAACTGCATCTCACCAGGTTATGGACCCGCCATTTTGAAAAAGTCCGATGAAAAGTTGTCTATTTGAAACGATGTTTTTTATTTAAAGGACTGATTCATTTAATACCAAAAAGATGTATTGTAATGATGCACGTGCTTAACTAACCAGAAAGACATAAATTATGTTCATACATCACGCACTCAAGAAGAAAAAAGTCCTAAACATGGAGGTCCCGCTGAATCGGCCTCACCAGCTATAACCACGCTCGGCAGCACCTTGATTGGATAGTAAACGATTGTCGTAAAATCGCTAAATGATATTAAAACCGGGTGCATAAACTTGAAAACCACCTAGGACAACCTTAGACTGCCACATTAATCCAATACAATGCAAAAATAAACTATAACAAGTGGTTAAAGCCTTCAAACCGAATGTCGTAAAGTCCCCATATACCTCCATAGAGACAATAAAATAGGGTAAGCTGTCTATAGTCCGAAGGTTCATTGGTCCGAAAAGTGGTAACATTTTCATCGATTTTTTAATCAAGGGTTCATTGGTCCGAAGGTTCTATAGTGAACATTCGGACCAATGAACCTTCGGACTATTGAACCTTCGGACTATCGCTACGGCCCCCTTGAAACAAAGATGGGCGCTATTGAGGATCAGAGAGGCGATACCGCCTCCAAATATTGTACCACCAGCTGGAGCAAGCGCATTCGTATAGACCCCCACATACACAAAATAAGGGACACAGCCACCAGTTTTGTGCTTGACAAGCTGTAAAAATGCAATCAACAAGAATTTTTAAACTATTGCAAAAAATATATATGGTACAATCAAATTTAAGTTCTTCGTAAGGTAGGTCAAGCACAATTTCAAGGTCACAGTAAATTGCCAGTATATGACTTCCTATTCAAGTTCNGAAAGAAAAAAGTTTAAGATTCAAACGTACTTTGAATTGTCTTGTATTTATGTTGCATCCAAAGGTAAATTTCCATACGTAAACTCTACAGAAATTATATTTTAACTGTTTAGGCACGAATAAAATACACCTTAAAACTGACCAATATAATTGAAAGAATTGGTCTGTATATTTGTATTATATCAAGTTTCTTTTGTTTTGAACATTCTGAAAGAAAATGTTCGGCGCGTTGTTTCATTAAATCACTTTAACTAACTGTTAATTCCATATAACTAACTGAGCGAAATTCATAAAGAAAATCTACAACATGCTGTGTAAAAAATCAGTTCAAGTTATTATTAATTACATCGTAGATAACGATTGGTGGTCGTCACCGCACGGCGGAGAGAGACTGTAATATTCATTCAGCACAGCTTCCGCGGTGAAGGTTACCCGGTCGCAATAGACGCTAATCGCCGGTCGTCTCTTCCTTCGTCCACTCCTGTTTCCCTCCGCAAAAATGATTCTGGCTTTTCAGTATTATTTTTGAAAAAACGACATTAGTTTCTGGTTGCCAAAATTGTTTTTCGAAAGACGACACTGGTTTCTACATATCAGAATCGTTTTTTTTTTAAACGACAGTTTTCTGGGCATCAGATTTGTTTTTGAAAAATTCAATGACATTAAAATTTATACCTCAAACACCTTGCCCGGCCTCCATGGTAGAGGTTACTTGGTCGCGGTAAACATTCTCCGGTCACCCCTTCATCCATCCACTCTTGTTTCCTTTCGCAAAAAATGATCCTGGTTTCTCAGAATTGTTTTCGAAAAACGACACTAGTTTCTAGTTACCAGATTGATTTTTGAAAAGCGACACCAGTTTTTGGTTGCCAGAATCGTTTTTGATATACGAAACTAGATTCTTGTTGCCAGGTGCGTTTTTGAAAAACGAAACTAGTTTCTAGTTGCCAGTTTCGTTTTTAAAAACGAAACTGGAAACTAGTGCTAGACACTAATTTCAGCGCTTGAATAGGATAAATGGAAGCTGTGATATAGACGGATAATTAATTTTGCTTTATTCCACCAAAAATGGACACTTTTGGTGTAAATGATATATCCATACATGAACATATATGTGAAATGAAGAGATATTTTCTTATTACTTGAGACCATTTTTCAACAACACAACAATAAAGGTAAACAAGAACACAAAAATAGCAAATACTGACATTAAGCAACAACATAAACAGTCTGAACAGTGACTACAGTGAGTCATAACCAGTAGGTTTTCACACTGAAGATATACAATTTAAATTCATTAGTTTTGAATAGTTTTGAATAGTTTTTTAAAACTATTTCTAAGACAGTCAGATTTTCAGATTTTGGTGACAAAGCAGACAAGCTTATGAAAGTTAAATAGGCTAAACTCGTGATACACAGCATCCAAATAATAATAAGTATAGCCATATTTCTCGATTCCCAGATTTTAATACATTTGATTATCAAAGAACATGGAACCATAATTGTCACCTGTAGATAAAAAAGCACTATAAATGTACATAGTATTTCACTGATTAATTCATAATATCACTTGGATCACATGTCTATGTGTATTGCTAAGAATAGAGGTCAGTTCATTCTGGGAGTGCTGCACCCATTTGCAAAAGTATTAGGTAAGAGAGGTAAGATTTAAGGAATGCTATGTGAAATTTTTGTTGATGAAAACTGCCTGTGACAGACTTCATACCATTAATACTCCCATGTGTCTGTGACACTGTAAATTTAAAATACAAACATAACAATGTAATAAATCTTTAAAGCATGCATTATATACAACACTGTCTTTGACAAGAAAAACAATAAAATCAAACTGAATAGATAACAAATACAACCTTTAAAACTATCCATTGTTAGAATATAGCAGAACAAAACATTTATTACTGCCATATTAGAATACTTAATTTTTTTTTCAGATATAGAGACAATTATTAATACTCTGCTTCAATAGGGAAATATACTATTTGGACATTTATATAATTGATTTTAAACCTAACAGATACAGCAAAGAGAAAACATGGTGACATCAAATGGGATTATCTTAAAAAGACAAAGAGAGAAAATTTTGTATCAAAATAATCTTGGGTGATGAAAATCACATGGCCCAGAAATTCCATATTTCAGTGGAATATTCTGTGCAAAGAATTCCCCTTACCACACCCCACATGCCTTATGTGTACAATTCGTTATCAATAAATTGGGAAATTGGAAACATCTATAATTTGTATCAAATCTTTGACTCACAATTTAAAAATATTTTGTGCATATCAATGTAGAATCCTGCTGATGGTGGTTCACCAAATTCACAACCAATACTCTCAAAGTATAGAGATAAAATATAAAATATTGCCCACATTGCATCTTAGTGAGGACCATAGAATATTGCTGTCAATATTAGAATATGTCCATTTTATGAACATTAAAAACTTATGTATGATAAAAATATACATTTAAACACAACATAAAACTGGCAATGCCAGAGACATTACACTAGAGAGACAAAGAAAATTGGACCAAGTGTCCAAACAACAAAGTCAGTCTTTCATATGGCACTCCAAGAGATATACTGACTGCATAACAAACACCAGTTTGCCATTTCTAAATTTTAAACAGAAACGTAAAATATCTACCATGTCTTGTACAATACAATTAAAACAAGATGCTTTAAAGTAACCATATTAAGGCTCAATTTCAAATCTGCTGATGGACAGAAAAAATATTCCTTTTAAAAAAATACATGATGTTATTGTACTGCACCAGATCAAATCATCCTATGATGGTAATTTCTGTGCTAGATCTTTCTGTTCAACCTTATTCAGGGCACACTTCAAAGCAAACATGGTTGCTTTCTCAGGACCTTGTTTCTGCCTCCAATTTCTCAGCAACTGTATTTTCTGCTCCATTAAGTCATCAGGATGCCTGAAATATGAGTTGCACATATTACACACAAAAAAACAACTTATTTTAATTTTACTATATATCTATTCTATTACAAAAACATTTTAAAATTACAAAATACAGACAGAGACCGTTAGGCCATCAAATAAAAGACACTTTTAATTTTCAACTTTTTTCATGATAAAAAATCACAACAAAACTCTTTTTAAAGATAACTTTCTTTAACTTTAAGTAAGTTTCTTTTAATTTCTCCTAGTACCTATGTTGGACATTTTCTATTTCCACATTGGTCAGTCCCAGGGCTCTGGCCAGTGGCCATGTTGCTCGTTGTCCAAGCTCACCAGCAATCACATCAAACACTTCTGACCACTCCTCTGGGCTGGCAGGATGCACAAGGAGCTGTGATAAGAATGAGATTGTCACATTACTTAATATCTGTGGAATGATTAAAGATTTTCTGTTACTTCATTTTATATATCATATCATTTTTAAAGATACAATTTATTATCATTATAAAATGGAGAACTTAAATTGCCATAAGTCACTGATAAGTAAAACTATTAACGATTCATTAATATACATTAAATATGTAAAGGAATAGTTAGCAAGAAGGGAAAACCTTGTTGAAAGAGCTTGCATTCATCTTTCCCATCCTCTGCAGCTCCTCATTGATGTAGATTGTCGTGGTGGCAAAAGCTGTCTCTCCATACTGTACACCAGACGAGCTTTTAGAAAATGGTGGAAACTTGATCTTGCTAGCCAGCACTGGGGACCTGTGTGTGATTTCTATCACTGTGCTGAAACTGGTGTCCTTCAGCATAAATTGCGTGTTCTGTAGGACGTACTCTGCTGCCAATGGAGGGAAGTCACCATTGTGACAACAGACTAGTTCCTCCACTTTCTTACACTGGAAATAATTTATATTGATAAAGCATGCATGTGTAAATAAGAAAGTCTCTCAATATCTCAGTAACTGGTTTTTCAAATGTAAAGTTGCTTTTATCAGCTTATATTTTCATTATCATTATTTCTGTTTTCTTTTGTTTCTGTTTTCTTTCTTTTATTATCATTATTATTATTTTTTTTTGCAAAACATTCAAAAGCATTAAAATGGACAAGAATTACTGGAAGTGGGATTATCACATCTGAATGAGTCATTGGTTTTGCACAAGGTAAATTACTGACAATTTGTTACATCTTTTAAAGGCAATCTGTAATGTAATGTAATGTTAATGTAATGTAATGTCTCCTCTCACCTGGCGCAGTGAGAAGATGTGAGGTCTCCAGCCCTCTGGCAAATTCCTGTCATCCAGCTCCATTTCAAACTCACTGGTTTGCCCACTTGCTTTGGGGGTCAATTCAATCCTCTTTTGATCAAGAAGAACCCTATTTTCTCTGGCTTTCAAGTGCTAGAAAAAAAACATTAAAATTTTGTTGTATTGTATATCAGTATTTCTTTCAAAAAATATCCTTAACTTAAATGAAATTATAAAAACATTGAGGTATAAAGAACGCTTGTTAGAAAATGTTAATGTACTTTACTTGCTCCCATTGATAATTGGCAGTAACATCCCATTTTTCTTTTAATGTTTTTATTTTTGTCCTCATATAGTGTAAGAAAGAAAACAAAACCTGTTAAAACTGCCACATACCTCCAAGTAATCCTTGATTGCATACAATGTGTCACATAGGTAGAGCCTCAGTCTGACTTCTCTGTTGGGTTTATTCTTAACGGTCTTCTCCGAGAAGGAACCAAAGACCACTGCATCAATCACCATGTCTTTATCACTGCGCTTTCGACATGTGCAGAGGAACAGGGTAAAATGTGTGGTTTGTAAGTATATGTAACCATCACGCAGGGTGAAATACATGTCTTGGTGTACATTGTTCTCCTTGCTTTGGTATGGCACCTCTTTAAAGATGTACGGGGCTGTGGTTGACTCACTGCAGAGCACTCGGATGTCTTCCCATAGGTCACGATCTGCAATGCAATGTGGTATCTTGACTAGAACGTGCTTCTTAAACGACTTGTCGCCACACAGCTTGTATTCTACTATGGGAGATATAATTCTCTCGTCTGGGCTAACAGCAGACACAAATGGCCTTTGGTCTAGGATGACCCCATCTTGCACAGCAAATGTCTGTCCCTTGGGCACTGCCCCCCTTGGGATATGAAGCTCCACGGCAGACCCCTCTCTGACCAGCTGACCTCCAGATGATGTGAAGAAAGACATATTCTGATTGTCATTCAGTTTCTGCTGGGAACTAGAATTTGACTCAGAGTCTGCCTGCAGTAAAGGCTGGGCAAGATTGGCATTGTTGGTCTTGACATGCTTCTGGAGATTGGATGGAACATGGAAAACTTCATCTTCGAGTTCTTCAGCTGCTGCTGGTGGGTGGTCAAAAACCCGCGAAGTTGAGGGCTGATCTGGTGACATCCGGTTTCCATCCTCATCGAGCCGGGTAAACTGTTTCAGTTGGATTTGTGTTGTCAATGACGACATCTCATTCAGTTCTTTTCGGATCCCTTGTTCTTGAAGCCAGTTAGAGCCTTCAAACACCTTGGGTCTTACTTTCACCAAAGTTGCCTTTTTGATAAAGCCTTTTGTGAGGCTCTTCAGGGCCTCTTTTTTGTCAAAACCCTTAAGCTCGCTCATAGCATCATCTAAGAATACAGGGAGGGACGACGTGCTCTTGCATTCTCTCTTCAGCCCTGCAGGGATGGAAGTATGGTGATATAATGAAGCTGTTCTTCTCGAGAAATCAAAATGGGTGTCATCATGGACCTGCTTCACAGTGACCTCTATGTGAGGAGGAAAGAAAGACAAGGAGCTCATAGAGTGGGACAACTTCTTGAGTTTAGGTTTCTCCCCTGAGAGATGTGCCAGAAGATCTGCAGTTGACCTGGAAATGAGCCCTGGACTTTTCTGCTTCTTTTTGGCGGGTGATTTGCCTCTCTGTGGTGTGGTCTGTGTGTCCACTGTGTGTAGCATTGGCCAGGTCTGGGCAATGTCCCTGTGAGTGGGGTCTCGTTCCAATACATCTTGATACTAAGAACCAAAAGCAAAAAAAACAATCAACTCTTAAGTGAACTGAAGACTGGTTTACATATGAAAACTGCAGATATAGTAAATAGAATATTTTATATGGTGCACAGCTAGTATCCTTAATGGGATAATAACTCTTTGTATGAGATCTTTATTTCACAATAAAAACATTGTGAACAACTCATGGAAATATAATATATTCTGTTTTACCACAAAAATGGCAGTTATAGCTATTATTCTGATATCTGAACTTGTGTTTAGACCACGTGACCTCCATTGACGTCTATACTCTGTTATAATCTCTTAAGAGATTATTGAAAAAAAAAATGTTTTAGAAAAAAAAAAACAAAAAAAACAGGGACTACCATCGAATGTAAAAATGGATTCATTAACCATTGGTAAGTATGGGAAAATTGTTGTTTACTCCAGGAAAATTCATTTTTTGGCCATACGAAGAGTTATTATCCCTTTAAAGCAATCAATATGTTAAAATAGAAAATAATAGTAAATGGCATCTTATATGCATGTTACTTTTGGACATAACTTTAAAAAATTCATATACATCATGTCTCATTTTGAATAAAAAAAACTTTTTCATCTATTTTATTTTCAATTTTGTGTGTATGTCAACCATTGCACAATGACTAATACCAACAGCAATAGGTACCATTTATTTACTCACCCTGACAGCAATCTCTACATGTTGCTGTCTGGTCCTGTTCTTAAATCTGCGGTACACACAGCAGGCAATGAAGAACACAATGACCAGCACACCTATCACAACCACAATGATGATCACTGGGGTTTCCCAGCTCGATGCTCCAGCAGTGTGGTCCACAGATATTGTATCTAGAGAGAGAGAAAGGGCAATCAATTAACACGATATTACATAGCATTTTGATTAGACTGATAACAGACGAGTGGCTGGGGTTGAAGCACTATCTTGTGTGTTGTTCGTCCCTGTATAAGTCTTATCTACACTTATTTTGTGAGCTTTTGATTTTTTTTGACAGGCAGGGAATTATATATATATATATATATATATATATATATATATATATATATATATATATATATATATATATAAATATATATATATATATAGATTTATTCTCAATTGCTTCTTTCTTGAACATAAAGCTATATGGTAGATTTAAGAGCTTTAATTCTGAGTAATAAAATAATGTTTACTATCAGATAAGCCTACAGACTTTAATTTTTTCCCATCTTATAGGACAATTAAATTTTTCAAAACACTTCAGAGACTTTACCTTCAGTATGGGCTATAGGAGTTTTACGTGTGCTGGGTTTAGTGGGAAGGACCTCGTAGGGAGCCGCTGGAGAACCACCTCTTGCTGCCACCTGCAGGCTGCCTACAATATGCAGGAGGCGTAATGTATATCAATTATGATATTTCAAAGTGAAGTACATGTCAACTCACAATACATTTTTCATATACCAGTATTTTCAAAACTACAAGATGTCTTAAAACTGTTACATTGTTTCTGAATAAAACACACTAGGTGTTACATTGTTTAATACTTTTACTTTTACTTTTATTAATATAAGTATCTCTGACCAAAACAATTTTTATAATAGAATAATACATCAGTTGATTCTGTATGGCCCAAGGAGTCATGACACTTTACACTTGAAATCTTATCAGTCAAGAAGACACACGTCAAATAAGTATCAACAATTATATCTATACAACATGTTTGTGTTTGTTCAGCTGACATCGATGATAAACTACTGCAAGGAATAACCTGACAACAACAAGTGTGCATTGCTTGGCTACCTCGGCCATAAAACATCACTATATATCTCAAAGCCTGTAGCCATAAAAATATGCTGGTGGTGGGAATAATTACTTTATATTTATTCATGATAGTAAAATATGGATGGTAAGATTGGCAGAATCTAGGCCAACAGAGGTAGGCCTATTTAGCCTAGGAAATAATGTCAAATAAGACACTTACAGATCAAAACTGTTCATTAGCTTGGTAGTTGGATCATATATGATTATTTTAAAACACTAAGTGAAATTTAAAATATTTCAGCTTGTGTTTTATAATTATCATATATAAGACACAGGCTGTTATCCTCGTTTTTTTTATGCAACATTTTGGGCATAGGGGACATATTTTTGTATCAACCTATCAAACCATAGCAGATTTGTGAGTGATAACCCTTTTCTGACTTAAATTAGATTTATCATCTTTAAAACATTCACTGAAAAAACAAAATGAAAAAAAAAAGAAAAAAAAAAAAGAAAGGAAATACATACAAATACACATATATGTACAAAAAGACACCAGGTTTTCAACTTACCAATACACTTTGCATCTGTTGTGCTGGTACAAGACTGTGCCTTCAGTCCACTGCACTGAGAGCACGGAGTACAGGCACCTGTGTGCTTCTTGTCTGCATAAAACCCTGGGGGACAGGGCCGACACGGGGTCTCATCCTTAGGGTCACAGGGTAGAAGAAGACCAGTGCCTGGGGGACAGTGGAAGTGAGGGCTACACTGGTGACGCAGGGTGCGTTTTGTCTTTGCCTAGGAATGGATGGATGGCAGTTTTAGTAGAGGAATGTCCTTCATACATATCTTAAAATAACTTAACTCAGAAATTATAACATTACTCTGACAACATGTGTTTTCATGATTATGCAGAGATTCCCAATAACTTTACACAACAAAATACTGTTTAGATATTCAAAATCCTTCAATTTATGAAATGTGTTGTTTATTACCTTGTAATGGAGTTATGGAGCATGGATGCATTAATTTCTGAAATTGCATTCAAGTTACCTGTGCCGTCTCTTCTAGGCTAGCAGCCAGCACAAAATTCACACACACAGCAAGCACTAGGCTGGCTACAGCTACTTGAACACTGATCATTTTTCCATGGGTTCACATTACCTTCAGAGAGAAAAATAAAATACAAATTCAAAAATTTAATAAAAAATTGTGGAAAAAATGTACAGATTTTTTCAGCTTTAATTCTCTTAGGATTCTGAAGAATAGATATGCTAGAGTAAAGTAATGATATTTACTAGACAACATTTTCCCAATAAAATGTCCTTGTTTCAGTACCAGATTTTCAGACAATCATTTATTTATGTGTGTATGCTTGTTACAACACTCCATCCTAATAATACATCAGAGCCTAAGCAGAAACTTCATTTCAGCCTTATCACTATACTGCTTTATCAAATGAGTCAAAACCTCCAGTAAACTTTTTACCATATCTCCTTCCTTTCAGGTAATGTAAATACAATTACTATAGGCAACCAATGTACAGATCGCTAACCCTAATCTATCATTGTTTCCTGTCACAGTGTGCAAAGAGCAATTTTCAATGAATAATAAAGAGCTTGTTAGGTATATCATTTGGTTCCCTTGTTTTCTGTTGTGAAACATGACTGCAAAGAAAATGTTTAATCTTTTCCCCATTCAGAGCAATTTCAGATGAAAAGAACCACTCTGGGATTAATCCAATGCAATCGAAACTGAAAAATTTCCCCAATAATAATCCATTACTTTAACCCAATGCAATCATCAGCTGTGCATCGCTGACATGAAACATTGTGATACTGGATCAATTTTCTCCACGTTAAGATGACTTCATTCTGATAAACCTGCTTGCCTAATCACCTTTCAATAACAATGTCCTGCCAAGTAGAAAGAAATGGCCATCCTTAGGGCAAAGCACCTAGGGTGTATCACACCATCTCCAGATTAAACCATCCATAATGAATATAACTGTCTCCAAAACCATTACACTGACAACAGCTGTGTACAAGTAGTGCACGGTATGAACAGAGATTTATTCAACTATTGAGTGAACATGTGGGCGGGAGCATGTGCCCGGACATTCCAATTTGTGTTGATATTTGGACAGACTGATAAAGTGTCGGCAAATATATTACTGCATGAGCTGATAAAATGGGCAGAATTGGATAGGGATGTTATTTTGAGCAGTTTTAAAATGAATGTTTTTACCCCACTGGAATACATTGAACTGAACCATTGGGTTGAATAGAAAGCTCCCATCCTGTCAGGTCTTTAATTTCCAATAATGAATTATGAATAAGCTATGGATGAAAACATCTTCAGATCTCTTTGTGTCAGCTTTAAGGCTAAGTATTGATTTAACAAAGATATGTTGTTAAAAATCCAACTCTACAATTCTCTCATTATTTTTTGTCCTGAAATCACACACATGGCTGTTTCAGGTTACAGGTACCTTGAAAAGATATTCTACAGGTATGTTGTACACGTCCCAAGATTATATATAGCACAAACCTGCCTGCTTTTAAAGTTCATTCATTCCTCCTTGTCCTTAAACCACGTATGTCTAGTATAAGCAGAAACCAGGTGAATGTATGGCTTTTTGCTGTGGTATAAGAATACTTACTTCTTACTTGTTCCTAATAAATAAACAAATTGCACATTGGCTGTCAGCTGATCTATTGTAGCATTAACATGACTCTTTACAGACAGTCGCTACACTGTTTGCTATTATGTCACTCATATTAATCTCATGTGGCTATAAGGTGGACACAGGGACCAACAGTAGTCCATTGGTCATTATATGGATGAGTGGCATTTAATGAGTCAGCTAATGTCACCACCTGAACACATAAACAGAGGTAGAGAACAATGGCAGATGACTCACTTAGCATTGTGGACACTATTCTACCTGTGATTTAGAGTGGCAAAAGGTTTACCTTATATATCAGGACTTGTGGTCAACTTTTTTATATGGGTAGCAGCTTAAGTTTACCTTGTACTGAGGCTTGTGGTAAAGTTTTATACAGACAGCAGCTTCAGTACCAGGCATAGAGTAGTTTTTTGATACAGCACATTTCTGATGAGATTTTCAGTTTGGTAATATGTCTCAATTTAATACTGAAATCTAGTATCTGTGACTTTGAGTGCCAACAACTTTATCTGTGACTATGCAGGCTTTATACAGAAGTGTAGTAGCTTAAAAAACAGGGCAAAGGATGGTTTAACTTTGACTTGGTATCTTTATGAGATATTGATTCAGTAAGATGTTTTCAATACTAAGTTCGTATTTTTTTGCCTCCATGCCATTCATTGCATGTGGGCATCACATGATCTGTTGCTTCAATGTTTGGCCTTTGTGACATTTTTAATATATATTCCCCACAAAAATGAAAAAATTGTAAGGAAGTTGATACAGAAAAAAGGGCTCACAAAATTTCATATCACCCCACAGCAAAAGGTGAGATCGCATCTGGAGCAAATTAACAATATGTATATAAACCACATAATACATATGCGCCAAACTGATATCACAGTACATATCTGCAGGAGTCCCATTATTTCTGTGGCATGGCAAGCTCCTGGTTAACCTTGTGCACATATTTATACACACACTCTCTCTCTGGCACCTTGGCATTTAGAAAGGTTCAAAACAGTTATAGTAAACAAGCCAGTCATTTTCATATAAATCATATAATCAATGCAGTTCTGTGTATGGTGCGTTGAAGAACAAAGACTGCAGTCCCTCCATATTGAAAGAGACAGGTTGCTGATATCAGATCGTAAAATGTATCGGTAAAATAAAGGTACAGCTATCTGACCTAAATTTGATTAAAACACAAACATACTTGACTAGACTTCTACCTGTTGCTCTCTCGAACCACTTAAAAGGATCCTATTCACTTTAAATACAAGAATTTAAAAGAAACTCTTACCTCACCTCGCTTTGACCGGGAATTCTTTGTGAACATGGCATGTTCTGTGTAGTAGCCAGCAGGTAAATTGAGGGGAATCCCCTCCACTTCCTGCCACTGGAGTGATGTCATCAGGTATATATAGGTAGCTCCTCAGGTGAGTCATTTACTTTAGATACGGCACCTGGGCACCTTGAATGACTTACTGATCCACGTACAAAGAATCAAAATGAGGGCGAGGGAGAAGAGATGCAGTGTGTGGAAATGTACAGAGAGAGAGAGAGAGAGAGAGAGAGAGAGAGAGAGAGAGAGAGAGAAAGTGGGAGAAGGGGGGGAATGTTACTAATATAAAAGTAATACAAGAAAAATGGGTTCCAAATTGCAACCTTTTGATTTGCTAGAGAAGATTAGAAATTCATACGCTGACTTCAATTAAGTTTTTGTGAGCACATGCTATCAGTATACATTTGAATGCATTGTTCAATGCAGCCATGCTTAAGGAAAATAAATATTTTCACTTAAAAACCATTCAGGAGAAAAACGGTGCTATGTTGTAAACAATTACTTTATTTGCATTGTAAAAGAGTCTGAACATCAAACCATGCATTGGTTTATCTCTAAACATAATGTCCAATGTAGCTGCACAATGTACAGTGACAAAATGAAATATAAAATGTCATTAAAGTGTTCATCATTAAAGCTGTTACAAGCACTTTTCTCTCCTTAACTCTACAATAAAGCTGCACTTTCTACTGAACCAATAACAATTTAAAACTAACAAATAATTACGTACTTATTACAACCAACAAACATATATGTATACAGTGTATATATATTATATATATATTGCACAGATTAGAGTTAAATTGTAAAATCTCTCTAAGCAGTCATAACAGACAAAATATAAGACAGATTTCTGCACATTCACAATAACCAATATAGCATTGCAAACACTTTAAAGCATTAAAATGACCTATTTGTTATTAACAAACAGTTAAATTATAATCACATGACAATAACTGGCATGGAAAAAGATGCCTAATGTGGTTTTATGTTAGTTCAAGCTTATCTAAAATGATCATATCCAAGAAAAAAAGTGAAGCTCAGCTCCTAGCATCCTTCAGGAAGAATAACTTGGGTCCTTTTCGTCAGGTGGGTTATACATGTCAGTATCGAAACACTTAGGCTGGTCCTAACATGTTATTATGCAAGAAGGGATTTACTTCCTTTTGCAAGTTCGTTACGGGCTGTTTGGACCAATCAAAATTAATCCAGTTAACTGACCAAATCGAGGACTGGAGCTTCGTTTAAATGACTTTCTCATGTAAAAGCAGGGCTAGTACATTGTTAATCTCCCTAAGTATTTTAATACCGATATGTGTTATGCACATCGTGGACAAAGCCTCCTTATTAACCTTAACCTAAGACCTTAACCAACAAACAATTTAGACAAGAAATTAAGACAAATGAACTCACTTTTGAAATATCTGATAAATAACATTATCTTTGACATATTTATGTGTAAATTTGGTGATTGTGTTGGAAGCACAGTGTTATGAAAACAATAAATGTGAGCAATTAATATGGTGTTGTGCACCAGAAGTACATTGCAAATATTCCTCTATCTAGGTAAATCTACAGTTGAATGGTTCAGTTCTTATCATTAGTCTTTTTGCTGAGGGAGTTTTTACTAGCTTCTTATATGAACTAAATTGCAAATAAAAGTGGTTACATATCTGCTTTCTATAGCATACCTGTAATAGTTTTTTTATGTCATAGCCATTCACCTTTGTTTTTCTGTAAAATGATTAATTTATAAATAGTAAAAATAAATAACGATAAAATCATCACTGAGGTAAGCAGTCTTGGTTCAAAAAAAATTTTTTTTTTGACTTGACAACAATAACTGTTACACAAACAGCACCACCAGATATGCAATTTTCACATACTTTAACAAAAACGATATGTAATTTAAACATAACAGGATTCTTATGGTTACTCTTTTCAAATAAAAATCATTGGAAAAATAAAAAGATAAAGACTGAAGGATTTCAACAGGTAAATTTAACTGGTTTGCACTATATATATATTTCTTTGTTCTTCTAACTGTAAGTGAAACAACAAGATAACCAGCATTACCATACTATCACACGTATAACATGGGACTAACATTTCAACAGTACTTATGATGATGCTTGTGTTAAACAATCCAGAGATTTGACATACAATGTTAATATACTAGTATTTGGCATTCAACATATTATATAGGGGACTCTATAATCATGAGATATATGCATTCAAAACTAGAAAAATATTGCACCTTTACATAGAGGTTTGTAAAGCAAGTTGATACAAACATTGACTATATAATGTCAAAGACATTCTTAAAACTATTTTGGAAGTACCTTTGTACAATAATTTTCATATATATATTTATGTACAAGGTAAATGGTTTAGAACAAATAAGTAAAGGAAGATTGGTTTTGATAAGGGAAATATGTGCACTTGGTAGCCAGTATACAGGAAGGATTTCAAATGTCACAGGTATCAATGCCTTCTATATTACAACAAGAACACAAGATTACAATGTAAAAAATACCCCATATGTTTTACTTGGTATTCATACAGTTCATACTTGCAGATCGAATGTATCCATGTAATCTAAAAGGAAAAATACTCAGGAACTACCAGGTGCCCAATCATTTCATTTTGGTGCTCTATGTATGTGTATTAATGTATATGGATAGTTCTTTTGAACATGATCAATATGATCAGAAGTCTTTGCAAAAAGCTCTTATACTAAGTGAGGAGCTGGAAGTTTTGTTATATATATATATATATATATATATATATATATATATATATATATATATATATATATATATATATATATATATGCTGCACTACTATAACTGATTTTTCTTCATCTTTTTCCATTGTCGTGTTACATCAGCAGCATGTTTTTTTCTGCTAAACACAGCCAAAAAAAAATCAAATAAATCTTAAGAAATGGCACTTAAATTAAAGATTATAAGATTCATAACCTTAAATCTTAAACTCAGAGAGCAACATCTTCCCTCATGCAGTTTAACTTTTTGCTGGTGTGAAATTCAAAATATTACAGACCTCTTGAAACATGATGACTTCCAAAAATTGTTATGAATATCTCTTCCATGATAAGGAACAGTTATGAGATTTTGAAAAAAGTTCTCCTGTTCTTCAACACCCATTAAATCAACACCCATTAAATATTAACACACTGTATTCTGTACTTCCTTTTTGGCCCCATCAGTAAACCACCAACTTAAACTTGTCCCCAAAGTTTCCATGTAGCAGATGCATGAAACTTCACGACTGATATCTCCTCTTACCACTAGGGTGCATCTGTTGACTGAAGGAAAGGTGGGGGATATTGCATTGTCACATCACCAGATGGAGTTGTCTGTCAAGAGGTAACCATAGCATTGGTGTTTCCGTTGTTTTGAACCTGGGGTTTCATTAGTCCTGTAGCCACGGCCGCCTCTTCAATCTAGAGAATAAAGACTTTCTCAGTAACCTTATGATACAAATATTTGTGACAGGTGTGTCAACCTCTGCAAGCCCAATGATTTAAGATTTCATGAGGTTGTGTTTTTGATCCATAGAGAACAACACAATCAACACGTAATATATAAAAAGTTTAATTGATTATCTTTAGGTTGTAGAACCCTAGTCAAAAATTTCCACTCTGTTTCCTATTTGGCTTACAACAAAAATTGTCAATATTGCTGAAAACAAAATACTTCTTAAGTTCACAAGTTCTTGTTTTTGTTCTGCACAATTCTGCTAAATTACAGCAAATGTCATTCTTTGGAAAGTTAAGATTTCAGTTGTTTAATTTGCCTATCCTAAAAAATAACCCCACTCCTTCCCTTTATAAACATTATCTCTGAAGATTACCTGTTTTAAGTAGTCACTACAGTCTTGTTTGGCCTGCATCAAAAGGTCTGCCTGGCCTTTGAGAACTCTGATATTCCAGGCAAAACTCTCCATGGCTTTATTAAGCTTCCTCGCCCTCAGTCCTGCCTGTTGACAAAGCATGTTTAACTCCTCATGCATCTCCAGACCTGCCTTCTGACTGTCACGCAGCTGAAAATCCAAAATGAAATGCTCATAATGATTCATGTATATGTGACAGACACCACTGAAATCCAAGCAGATTTTCAATCCACCAAGTTGAGACTGAAATCACGAACTACCAAGGCACATTTAAAATCTGCCTGGCTTTCAATCTGGCCTGTGACATAAATATATAAGGTATGTGAGTCACCCCCTCCCCCCAAAAAAACATGTGAATTTTTCATATTGAATGTATGTAAATTGCATTATCTTACAAATGTACTCATATAAATAATATAATAAAATGAGTCATGCCCACCCAGGTGTATGTGGTTGTATGCTACTGCTATATCATTATTTTCATCTTTTCATTAGTTAAACAATCTATTTTGTTACACTAATATTAAAAGTCACTGTAAAATACTAGAGGGTACATGCAGTGAAAGAAATCATAACCAAGCACCAAAACGTATATGCAATTTTGTATTACCTGTTGACAGACCTCTACTGCATTTTCCACCAAATTTCTGCATTCTGCCACTAGCTGAAACAACAACAGGGGGCACAGTTAGTAACTCTCTTCCTTATAAGCCCATCTATCAATGACTCAGACCAAACAAGAACCATGCAGAAATATTTTGGACATCAAATCATGACTGAAAATGCATCATTTTCATAATATAGATACATCTGTGGTGCAATGTTATGCAGTAAACTTCGCCTCATTAAACAAGTACTGCCAATCTCATTTCAAAGTTTATCTGGCTACATAACAAAAAATAAACAGCAGCTAGAGACTCACCACATCAAAAGCAACCACTGCCTTCTTAATAATGTCAGGAATATTGCTGTGGTTCTCAATATATGGCCACTGAAATTCAATTATACATTCAATATTTAACTGATATTTTGTGATGAAAATAGTACCGAGTATGTAAAAACAGGTGTCTGTAAGAACAGGGGAACCTAGCAATGAATTTTAGAGGATTAGAAAGATATATCTAATAAGATATAAATATAAGTATATAGAAATATAAGTATCTGTCTGAATAAACAAATAATTAAATTATTGTATAAATGGGTGTTAAAGAACAGGAAAATTTATTTCAAAATCTCAGAATCAAAGACCTACCCCGTCTTTCTTAAGGATACATATGGATGCCTGGTCTGCAGAGCTCTGTATTCTGGAGGAGAGCACTCTGATACACTGTTTGAGGTTAGCTGTAGAAGCTTGACTGCAAGTTTCTTTGAAGGCCTCCAAGGCAATGAGGACACCATCCCGCAGGTCCGCAGCATCTGCAAGGCTCTGCACACCACTCTGGGAAGGCAATGAGTAAGCATTTTTAAGTTCAACTGATTATATTTCCTAAAATTTCATAGGCCAATACATACAAGAGGCAACATGGTAAAATGATAATAAAAATGTTAATGGTGAAATGTTATTTGAATCATTTGTGAGTTTTGTTTTCATTATTGTATACCAGTAGCCTTCTTTTACTTACCTTAAATGTGTCATCAATATTTTTCACCCCAGTGGTTTTCAGACTACAGTGATCACGCATTCGGCTTCTATTTTTCTTCACTGATGTTCCACGCTTGGAAGATTTCTGTCCAAATTAAGACAATAAGTAGGAAAATGGAGTTACTTGTCATCATTACAAAGATCAAAACTTACATATGAAATAATTTGGTAAAAAACATTCTCACTGTAAACTTTTTGCACTCACCCCTCCACCGCACTTGTCCGTAATTGCAATATGTACAAAAAGAGTGCAGTTTGGAATAACTTCACTGGTGTTGGAAAGTAGACGTATGTGCCGGTATCCTGAAAAACAAACAATACCGTTAATAGATATTCTGAAAGACCATAGAAAGTGACCATAGAAAGTTCACATTTCCCAAGTGAGCCACAAGAAATGCATCTGTCAACAAAATGACAAAAAAAAAAATAAATAATAAAATAAAAATTTAATTATGTGTTTGCTTGATTTCAATTTGGCATGTTTATAAGTCTTCATATGGGAGTTTACAGTCATATATTTTCCCAGATGCAATATCATAAACCAGACCCAATGGATGAAAGAAATCCAGGCAAAAATCTGAACCATAATAAGTTAACCAGAGTCACTGCCTGTGTGCTTACACCGCTCACCTGTCTGCATGCATTCAAATGGAATAGTATACTGTCCAATAAACTCATCCCCTATGAAGTCATCATCAAGGACCACAAACCTCACCAAAGCCAGCTCAGGAAGGTTCACTTGAAACTCAAAACTCTCATCAAACAGTGGGTTGTAACCTGGAAAACAAGGGTGAAGGGAAAGGATACAGTTTAACAATCAATCCATAAATGAAACAAATGTCACTTGAAATCATATTTCACATCAGCATTTTTATGAAATGGTGTGGTTATGCTCCTTAATTTTATAAGATTAAATTAAACAGGTTCTTTGAAAATTACAATAATTATTTCAGTTTTGTAAAATTCCTTGAATTATAAATATTCAAAACCATGAAAATTTGGTTGCTTTTTTAAACTATCTAATAGAAATTATACCACTATTTGCTGTAAAATAAGGACAAGACAGACATAACATGCGAATCAAGGGTAACATACCATTATGTGGAACAGTTTTGGTTCGCTCTTCTGCACAGTCAGCAGGAATACCGAATATTTCAATTAGCACATAGGGATCTGTAACATCCCCCTTTGCTCCAGAGCCTTTTGGCTTGGGAAATTGATGACCACTTATTACCTAAAACAAACAATAAATATATAAAAAATAAATAAAGTTATTTAGGAATTAACAAACTGCAAAGATAATGTGGTTATCTCCATAACTTTTTCTTATTACTGAAATGATTCACCACTAGCCTAACATGCCCCTTAGACCATATAAAGTGCATTCAGTCAGATCAATCAGCTCAATCAATCAATTCAAGCACATTAAAAACCCATCAGAGTGAACAAGAATCCAAAGATTTGTCATCTTTAAAACCAAGCCACATTTGTCTTCAGATTTAAGAAGCTGTCACTAGCTATTAGCCTTGCCAGGAGATAAGGAGGTACCTAGTTAGCTAGAGACAAGCAGTAATCAATGCCTCAACCACACAGCAATGCACTCACAACCCTTACATCATATCACACAGTGACTTGCTGATTCAGGATTTTGGATGGAGGTCGCCACTTTTTTTTTGTCTGTGTTCCTAACCTAAGTCACAGAATTTTCTGAGATAATAAATTGCAATTTGGACCAAGCACTTTTGTGGGACTCAAACAAGTCTCTTCTCCTTTTCTTGTATTTTGTAATTCCACTTCCAAAAAAGGACGCCTTAGTACATCCCTCTCCCCTATATCCACCTATGGACTCGTGCAATGTACATCAGAGTTCAATAAAGATCTCATGTGAAATTAAAAAATGCTTTGTGTCCTAATAATGCTTATTCTGATAAACATCATTGTTAGAACAATTACAACCATGATACAATCTTTAATAACAAAGGTGTCATACTGCTTTACTGTAATGGATAGTAACATTTTAACTGAATTCTCACATGGCATGCAATTACATTAAGATTGATAGTGTGTGCTATAAATAGTCATGTTGCTGTTACTTAACACCACTTAAAAGCTTGACTAGGAACTGCACTGAAGTGGATATGTACATTAATCTAAACCACACTCTAAAACCCATTTACTAGGAAGAAAATTATGAACATACTAAAACTTGGGTTTTCATTTTCAATCTAAACAATGTTGCCTCAAATTTAAACAGTAAATAATTACCATGTATGTACATAAGCAATTAAAAAAAAAATAAATGAGAAGAATGATTTTAATTTGTAGACTGTTCAGAATAAGTTTTGTCAATCCAAGCTAATGCGCACTAACTCCATGGTTGCTCTAGCCGAATGCAATCAAATTAAGCAAAACTCACTCTGAATGGTCCCTAAGCCACCATACACTTACTCTAATATGAAGAACCTGTGGGGGGACCCCTGGTATGACATCTCTGGTATTGGCACTGAAGTAGGCAATTTCTTCACGCATTATTGCAGGTTTAATGACATAACCACAGCCTCCATTTTGAGCAAATTTTCCATCATAAAGGTCCATCATTAGTCCTCCTGTTTGGTAGTTTAAAGCCACTGTCAATGAAAGAAATATCAACATCAACAATAATTTTCCTGGATAAATACTTGAATTCTTATTTAGTATGTACTGAATTCATTTCTATGTCCTTACAGTGAAAGGATTTATAAGTTAAATATTCCAGATTTCTCTATAAACACATAGATTCACCAACTAACACTTTTTTTATTTACATTTCCCTAGGTCACCTCAAAAATATTTCATACCAAACCATTTCATGTTAAATACAGTACACTTCTACAACTACCACACACTGTCACACCTACCATATCTAGATCCCACCCACTCACCAAACACAACAAGAACAAACTCTACATGCTCCACAAACATATTTACCCTCACAACAATCTGTCATATCTACAGAGCAATGTCACACCTACCACAATGTCACATCTACCACATCTACAGCACAATGTCACACCTAATACACTTGTGACTCCTCACATATCTAGAACACACCACCTAACCAAACACAACTAGCACAAACTGTACCTAGCTGACAGCCACAGTTCCACATGTCCTGTGGATTGTAGTTCCCAGAGTCCACTCTGGCACCATTGGGATAGACCCGAGACAGAAACCTCTTGTTGTGGTTCACAAACTCTTCTGGAAAACTATTGGCAAGACGCAGGGCAAAACTTTCGCTGAAGGAGCACAGTTCCCATACATCCTCTGAAGGAACAAAAACAGTGATTGTTGGGATAGCTGAATGGTACATAAAATATTTGTTTTCATACATTCAATGTATAGTTTGAAGCAGTGGAAATAAGGATTCATTATAAAGCTTTTTGTAAGTTAATAAATACATAATCAATTTTTGAACAATATTTTGAAATTATGCCATAATGCCTTATAGTTATACTGTGAACAAACTCAAAAGTCAATGTGCCTTATCAGAAATGCCAAATCAAAAGAATGAGTGATTCCTACGGTGTGCTAAAAAATTCTAAGGCTCTTTAATGTGCCCAGGTTTGCTTACGTTCATCTGCTGCCGTCTCAAAATCTGTAAACCTGACTGATTGACACCAAGACACCAGATCTGAGAGCTCCTTGGAAAGCAGGTACTTCCTTATAGCACCCTCTGGTGGCTGCAATCATATTGAGAAAAAACTAATACGTATATATTACTTTGCTGCAGTTGGCTACAACTGCAAAGTACTAGCTGCAATTACACAATATATGCACATACAAAAAGAAAAAGAAATACAGCTATAAATATGCAGTTCTTTTGCTTACCCCCCAAAAATTAAGAAAAACAGAAATACTGTCATAAAAAAAGGTGACATTACATGCGTCACCAACAGAGGATCAATAACTTTCTAAAAAAAATTAGTCTATTTCCTGTACTCAGTAATTGTTTGGAATGTGATGCATAGACTACATTTTATTTCTTTATCAGAGTAGAGAGAGAGAGAGAGAGAGAGAGAGAGAGAGAGAGGGAGGGAGGAGGGCAGGAGAGTAGGCATGACTTACTCTTTTATTATTTTTCTTCCTATTGTCAGTGGATTCAGCACCTTCATCCTCCTCCGTAACCCAGCCCTCAGAATTATCAGAGTCCAAGGGGAGTTTCTTGCACTAAATAATAATAATAATAATAATAATAAATAATAAAATAATAATAATTCATGCAATAAATTATACCCAGTATAAGTAAAACCAAATTTACCTAGTATAAATTTCTCTATATTTAATGACCCTGCATTGCGATGTAGTATATGGTATAGTGAACCAGTTATAACATTTCAAATATCTGCAAGATTCCAATTTAATTGGAAATATGTTGAGGAAAACCATGATATCCTACCCTTATCAGCAGCTGAAATACTATTGCTCTTAAGCATTTACAACAACCTCTTCATTAGAGATAATATTAAGTACCAGGTCTTGAAAGGAAAAGGGGAATGACTTGGAAATGCTTTACCCACAGCACAGCAGTTAGAGACCTGAACCCAGAGAAATGAGTTATTTGTGTGCAGTTTCCTCCATAAGTCACATCATATTACCAATCTCATTTCAAAAATAATTGCATGGAAATGTACAAAATGCCCCCCGAGTACCCAACTCCGGCAACTCTAAATTAAATATCACAACCTTGACATTATAGACCCCCAGAACTAAGAGCATCTTTTCCGTTCTCTTTTCAATGCATGCCTTTCCAATATCCATGGAAATAACCCCAAATCCTGAGTCACTGGTTAAGTGTGCACCCTGGGGGAATAAACCCATCACCTCAGTTGTTGACATTCAGCAGGTGTGTGCCCTGGAGAAGACAGGATGAAGAGAGGGACTACCCAAGTGGATTACTGTGCTCTACACTAGAAATAATTTTTTTGTGGGGCAGAAAAAATTGTTGGTTGTTTTGGTGCAGATTGAAGTGGTGCTAGCTGGCAGTTTCACGGTTTATAGGGACAACCAATTGAAAGAACTCGATTGACACCGCTGAAACTTGATAAAACATGCAGATTGAAAAATTCCAGTTATGTGTATACAATCTTATTTAAAATGATGGAAAATGAAATCACAGGACTGAGTTGTGAATGCCCTGGATGTGGGCATAAATCTTTGATAGGAGGACTAAATCAAATTGTAAATTTTTAATTAAATGTACCATAGCAATGGATATTTTCCATGGATATCTGTATCCATTACACCATGGTTTTTGAAGTCTCTACAAAACATGGCTTTTGAACACCAAAAAGTATAGGATATATTTTTTGCCAAAGGATACTTCTTGATATCCTTCATCTGCCAATTCACGTTATTGATATTGCATTTAAATCTGGTCTATCATACTGTCTATGGTAGTTGACCAACTATAATGCAGGTTCCTTCAACTATTAGATCTCACAAATAAAATATCTGTTTTGCAATTTTTGCTTCAATTTAAGTTCTCTGCACAACTTGCATGTGACCCCACTTGCCCTGTTGCCCAACAACAACTCAGGTGTGCAGTAATAACATGTAGTCCTATGGGAGGAAGAAAGTTAGAATTACAATGTTTTCTGATCATATGTTCATCATTAAGTCTGGGTCTTGACATATTTGCTCACACAAAGTTTTAATAAAATACTAAGAGGGGGAAAAGATATCACAAGAGAGCAGCACCAAATTATACTGTTCTGACCTCAGCATCCCTCTGAATCAATCTAGGACTTAGTGCATGTATGCTATATATCACTATGGACTTTCATTACATATACCAGGGTTCACAAACTGTTGCTGCAAATAAGGTCCATTACTCTTCCTCTGAACACAGTCGACAAGGGCAATGTTACGTTTAAAATCTAAATCGATGTTTTACCTCACCAACTGCAAATTTACAAGGGCAATAACCGGTGAGGGGTACTTGATGCCTTCCCATTGATCTGACACTAATAGTGTTAGCAAATTTTACACACAAAGGGCAGTGCAAACGAGACATTATCAGCACATGTCCTCCTGGGCCCTCCTTCTTTCTTGTTTGCATCATTATTGATTACAGAGACACTGTGTTGTCAATGTGAGAGAAAAAAAAGGAGTAGGAATCTATGAACTATAGTACCTTTCTCCCCATCATCAATCTAATACAAGTCAAATATCATCTTTCTCATCCAGACACCAAAATCTATGAAATTTCGAGTGCATTTTTTCGCATATACTTTTCTCTACATTCCCTACCCTATGTACCTTTATAAGGATTTTTCCCTTTAGTTCTTCTGGTGAAGGCAATTGTATAGCATTCTCATCCGTAGGTTTAGCATACAGTTTGTCTCCAAACACTGCCTTCATATAGTGCACCATGGCCTGCTGGAGCTTGATACAGCAGTGGTTTTCAATGGCAAGAATCACAGGGTACCTAGAGAAGCCAGAATGGGAGGGTATGAGTTGACAAAATAAAGAAAAAGTGTATGCAATATGATGCTGCAAGAAGTTAAAAAAATTGTAAAGCCTAAAAAATATGCATGGAAACCAAGAAATATCCCAAGGGTATCATTATGATAATGCACCTTTCACTCTTAAACCCCTCCAATCTTTACTTGGTAAAAAGAGTTTGCTTCAGATTTGGGTTCTTTCCGTATCATTGTACACAAACAATTAAGTACAGAGGGCAAACTCACACAACACCAATGCTGAGTACATTACAGCAATTGCAATTACATTAGAGCTCCAAGGACGGCATAAGGAATTGGATTCAGACGGTTAATTGTAAAATTCCATGACCTGATGCAATATCTCAGGACAAAAATCAGTAGGTGGTTAACAAAATCAATACACAGGCACTCTCACACCATCCCTTTTATCTAAGATCTAAAATGTAATAACTAGATAGGTCTTGGTCTGATTTGATCATCTAGTGCAGTCTTTACAAACTATTCACTGATCTTGATAACATGGCCAAGGACTATAATAAAGTTTATAGTTATATTAAAAGGAAACACCACATTCAAATGAAAAGGAGCATACTTTGCTTCATATCTGCAATTTGTGTCAAGTACATTTAATTTGCCATCTTTGCCTACTGAGAACAATTTTTTAATGGAATATTTCACCACAGCCATCTGATTCAAATTAATTTTTTAATGTACGGGTTTTACCCAACTTGGTATGTCAAAATAAAAAATATAGTACTAAAAACAGAGATCCACTCACTCTGATGCTTGGAAAGCATATTGGTTGATGGTATCTATCACAGATTTGAAGGAAACTTTGGAGGTGAGAGTATGGCCATGGTAGATCACTGGTTCATCATCGGGACCATCCCATGTGTCCACTGAAAAGAGAAATATAATAATATATTTATACACCACTTTCATTACTGGCATCTTTCACAATGACTATTATCCAACAATAATATCTATTTGAATATCAGTGCCTTTTAAAAATGACCATATAAGTTTATATTAATTTTTGCTTTTGATACCTTTTACAGTGATTATTACCAAACAAAACATGTTGTATTATAGAACATAAACTATCACTAAAATATGTAATAAGCAAACCACAGGGAGAAGACTTTTTGTCTCCCGAAAAAGTTGGAAATCTGCTGATTGTTGGAAAAATCTATTTAATGCCAATGATATTTTTGACTCCCAAAAAGACGGAAATCTGCTGATAATTGGAAAAATAGTTCTCTAATATGTGATCATATTTTACAGAAAGCATTTACCTTAATAGCACCATGAATATAAGCACTGTAGGCAGGCTCATTTAGTTATACAATTTGTTTACTGTCAGGTAATCATTATAATGGAAATAAAACAGTTTACTTACTGCTTTCAAATGTCATATCAATATATTTTCAGAGGAAAATTGCAGCACATTTGTAGTCATGATAAATGAGGTGTTTAAAATAGTGCGGCAAAAAACCTCCAAGGACGATCTAAATTGAGATTGATGGTTTCTTTGAATACACCTAGTTCAGTGCAGAAATGCCAACACCTATAAGTGGCACATGGATATTTGATCAACGGCAACTGAAGTGGTCCCATTTTAAATATTCTTCTCTCTTACCTTTAGAAGTTTCCTACCATAGCGTTTTTAATTATTTTTTTTGTTAAATTTATCCAAAAATATTCAATTTAAGCATATTCAGGAAATAACTGGATAAAAACATTTGATTGCCGTTTGCAATGGTGCATTTTAGAATGGAAGTTGATCTATTCTGCACTGTTACACAATTTCTGCTCAAAAGGCAGGTTTTCAGTTCAAAGTAACCATGCCTCAACAACAAAAAGTTTATAGAAAGAATAACATGAAGAAAACAGAGACCAGTGCACCAGAACCATTGTTAGCTATTTTGTTCTTTCTATGTTGTCAAGGCAGCATATCAGATACTTGTTATATATCTTAAAGTCAGGCAAAAATGCAACTAGAGAATGCTGTAAGCTTTACATAAATCCCTGACATTTTATAAGAAAAATAAGCTTCCGGAGGAAATCACTTCTCTACTTACACTCCAAGCATCTGCAACCCTTTTTTAATGCCCTTTCATATGCCTCTGTGCTAGAAGGGCCCTTAAGCTGATCTTCTAGCAAATATCTAAATTGAAGGGAAAAAAACTTAATGTAACAGTAAAAAAATGCAAGTGATTACATTAGTCTGCAGTTAAATAATATCCATAATCAAATAACACACTCATAATGGATATATTCAATTAGCATGAAAGGTAATGTGAAGAAAACTTGATTTTCAGGTAATTTTCTTGATTATTTTTAGCTTGTTATATATGTCTGATGGTTTAAGAGGATTCAATCTACAAATTGCCTTATTTTTGAGCATTAAATGTAATCACAGAAAAACTTTAATTCTACGGCAGCCTTTCAAGCAACTAGTAAAAGTACGATCCTGTCAGTTTAAATAAGAAATATACATTTGATACTTTTATGAACTTGAGATTGTGCCCGCATGCAACTGTTTTGGCAGAATAAAAAAAATAATGCAATTTCTGAGGCCTGATTTTGAAAAGTCGTAATTTTTGGGATATGTGTAGACTGCTTAAATTGGATAGCCAATTACACAAAGTCACAATGGAATATTGGTCTTTTTAATGAAGGCATTTGACATAGCTAAATCAGCTACTGTCACTACTGAGAGCAAAAACCATCCTCAACAAAATCACAATTTCCTCAAAGGGCTTATTTAAAAGACCTTTTTAAAACTGTTTAAAACCTTTTAAATTGTCACAGATTAAACTTTTCAATTTCAACACAAATTTTGAAAGCTACTGTACCTCAGAGCTAACATTATGGTATTGTGTCAGATATGTGATAGGTTATATCTCCCACATAGTTTTTTGAAGGATGATCTTTTGAACAGTCACAGAAAACATTGTTTTCATAGATAGGAAGTTCAAATAGTTGGGCAAAAGCTCCCGAAGGTAAAGCTGCTTTTAAAATGTGTATAGAAATTGAGAAATTTAATCTTTGACAATGAATTCATACATTATCAAGTTATGTTAAATTGATGGTATGAAGCTCTACAAATCACACACTTTTACAGAACCTTTAAGATCCTTTTTCAAATGCAGCTTAATCACCCAAGCCTTAGCAGGCTCAGGTTTTAGGCCAAAAATGACCTAGGTCTTTTGTGAAATGGTCCCCTAACTAATACTTACGTATTATGCGATGTTGCAATAAAATAATGGGACAAGGGGTGAGCCATGTCCTGACAAACTTTGCGATGTTCTGGGTCAAAGAGATCACAATCTTCTGATAACAAATATGCAGTAAAACCTGGAAAGCAATGCTACATAGTATACATACAAGAGTGAATGCTGTGGTTCCTTTTTATTTTTCTTCTCTTTTTTATCTATTATTAATTATTTTGTTCTTTTTTAACTGAAATTATTTATATGTTCTGCACAAAACAAAGATTCTGTCCTCCCTTAACATCAAACAAAATCAATCATTTATAAATCCATTTGTTTAAGGAAAAAAACAAACATTAAAGCCACATAAAGAACACAACATTATATCAATTACTAAAGAAGTCTTTTTTCCCTTTTATTTTCATTTGTTCTCTTTGAAATAATTATTTCACCAATGAAAAATAATGCAGTGTTGCAGTACAGTAGAAATCATAATGATATTTACCATCAACTGCAAGCTGTCCTTTCTGCCTGCCTTCTGGAGAGGGTTCATACTTTTCAACTATTCTTAAACAATCTTCTTTGGTTACTGTAGAAATCTGTAAAGAAGTGGATTTCTTCTTATTTATTTAAAAAAAAATCTTAGTAAACACACACACACATACACACAGGTGTACTTCAAGTTAAATGTGTCACATAAATTCAAACATCTCATCTCATCTCATCTAAGGGTACTTGTTATCTGTGATTTTCTCTCCAGAGCAAGCAAACAGAATTTAAAGCCAAATCATAACTGCAATCTAATAAGCTAACTGAGGCTTAAAGATATTATCTTCATAAATTGTACTCCCAAGAGAAAACAAAATACAACATAACTAGGTCTTGTCACTGTCTATGAGCACTTGAGTTTGAATCTGATTTTCAAAAAGTTGCACATTATCTCAATGAATGTTATAATACCATAATAAGTATGAAGTTGATCACAATATTGATCCATGTATGCACTTGAATGGTGCTATCCTACTGTGCTAGTATCATTCTGCATATAAACACCCACACCCATTCACAAATGCTTGTCCACAGAACAGACATAATTGAAACACACTAATCATATTTCATACATTCTCAAGGAACGCTTAACTGATGGTATGAAGCTCTACAAGATCATGAACTTGCTGATGACAAAAACATTATATAGTCAAATAACAACAATTTATATTATGTAAGTACTATGCAGTGCCAGTGTAAATAAAATGGCATTATTAATACTACATAAACAATGCTTTGTTTTGTCTATGCAAGAGAAAATACTGACATTTGAGTTATATCATATTTAGGATGATTGGAATACTTACACCTTGTTCAGCTTCCAGAAACAACATCAAGTCATCTATGGACATATATTCTGCATGGCTAGAGTATCTGGAACATATTAAATTCAAACTATCAAAATGTATCAATAGTGAAATAGAGATTAAATAATGTTGTTAAAAGAGAATATACCATAATAGATGCTCCTGCTTTTAAAAAGCACTCCTAGAACCCTTAAAACATGAAGAGAAGCCCCTGCTTAGAGAGAAGCCCCCTCTCCCATTTGACAGTGATGCATGATACATTGCTAGATAGATGCAGCAATACAGTAGACTAGTTTTGCATGTTTTAGGGATCATTCCCACAAACCCATCATATTAGCTGGATTGATCTAACTCTGCGGGGATCCCATTAAATCATATTCAGTGTAAATGGCTCAATTTGCCTGACACGCCTACTCAAACTGCTAGGGGGAAATAAATGAGATCAATTACCCCCTAGTTATTCAAAGGGGCGTGCTAGACAATTAAACTGATTACACTGAAAGCACTTTAGCGACAAGTCCTGCAGAGTTAAATGAATCCAGCTAGTATGATGGGTTTATGGGAATGCTGTCTAAGAAATGTTTGAAAAATGAAAGCCCCTGCTGGAATTCTCCACTTTAATATATTTTTTCACCTCCCTTGTGTGAGATATGGTAGACAAAGAGAGTATAATTACAAAAGATGGAACCTAAAAAAATTATTTGATCAGTCCTACAAGAGTGATGTGTGAACCAAATATTCTAACATATGTCTTATAACATTTGTTATACCAATTTGCCATAAATAGCAATATAAGGAACATATTTGACTAAAAATTCAAATTATAGTTGCAGCAAACCAAATATACAATATGCTTAAATAATACTGCATTTGTGTGGTAATGCAACTACAGTGAACTTTAACTCCTATCAAAAGAACAAGATATTCATTCCATTCAATCATTTGATCCTTTCATGTACTTTTGCACACTAAACATTCTTTTCAACCTCATTCAAACTGTGCTGGTTATTTTCTCAGCTTTAATTCATTTTTGGCACTGTTGTTTCTCAGCACTGTGGTAAGAGGGAAAAAAATCTAGAAATCGAGATGAATTAGTTTCCAGACTAAAAATACACTACTTTGTAAATTCAATCTGAACTGCTGTATGGAACAGTAGTAGCCCGAAGTACTTTTAAGTCCACTTTTAGCCATTACTGCATGACTTAGTTCACCCTTTTAGTAAACGCATAGCCAGAGCCACACAAGCAGATCACAGATCACATTCTGGTCCTAGTAAAGATGATTTTCACTCCATTAAAGACTAAACCAGAATATGTATATATATATATATATATAGAGAGAGATATTATAAATCAATAATAAACTGGAATCATAAAGGTTCATGCAAAAGGTAATACAATCAACTGGCTACTTTTATTTTCAATGTTTTGCTGACCTGGGCCCCATAACTTGAAAGCATTGTGAATTGCGACCAAGCGCATCTATTCCATAACACTGCATTTATTCGCCCCATATAATAGCCTCGAAATGGAAGTTGAAATCACTATCGCAATTCGCGATGCTTTCGAGCTACAGAGCCCTGTTCCCACTGACTATGCACCTGTCTCCTGGATAAATTAACACACTTTCTATCATATACCATCCACCCAAATACCACAATCTCTGCTTAGATTCTATCATTAAATTTACTGTCTGCTCTGCATTTCTGTTGTTATAACACTTCACTGCTTTAATTAACTCAGGTTGCAGAGTTGACAATGAAGATGCTCTAAGAGTCATATGCAGGATGTGATAAAAATGAATAACAAGCTAGGCAAGTGTCAAAAACATCAAAACTTGGGCTGATTTAATAAGGATGTATTTAAAAGACCAAGTGAAAAGTAAATGGCTGTTATCCTAAATTAGTTATTTTTAAGTGTTGGGAGAAGACATTTTTTAATTAAAGTTTGCTGAAAGTCATAATGCATATAAGCAACCAAAATTCTATCATACTATTTCAGGTGTAAAAATCCTAAATATCTCAGGTGTTTGAAACACTAAATCATTTGATTAATATGCCATCTGAGCTAATGCAGTCAACAAATGAAACTAGTTGACTATATTACTCACACAAGAACTTATATGATCAAACTACCACTGTTGATAAATTTTGGCTACAGAAGTGTATAAACAAGTTTGTGAGAGAAACATTGATTTCAGGCTTGCTGCTGTGGAGGGCTGTTAAGTCTGACTTCCTGGGATTAAGACCAAATAAAGAAGAAGAAACTTTATCAATATAAACCAAATCATACATGGCATGATCAATCTACAAACACAGGTGACTACATATAATAATACATAAAAGGACTAGTGGTATACTAGTCTTTCACCTTTCCTTCATCTCTGGTTCTCAAGTTGATGAAGATGTTTACGTATTCTTCTAACACATCTATCACAGAAATGGCCACCTGACAGTGCTGTATTTGATTACTACAACTCTGCTCCTTCTGAAGCACCTCTTTTGGTTCAAGCTACAGAAGACTTCAAAGTTTACTGATTCATTTGATGGCAGATATCAATTCATTTAACTTGTTCTTACACCCAATATGGTAGGCCCTAGCCTTGCCAGTGCCTTTGTGAATTTTTTTTTTGAAATCTAATTAAACATTTGATAGTTGGCACCTAAAGTTGCAATGTTCTGAAATTTATATGCACTTGCTAAAATAAGAAGGAAACTAGTAAAAAGATATGTCCATGTCTATTCACTATACCTCAATTACATTTTCCTGAAAGTTAACTACACCTTGCAAACATGCCAACATATAAAAATGTTAAGGCTATCAAAGTAATTATTTCTTCTTGAAACATATTATCACATATCTTGGATGTGCTAAGGATGAGCTAAATTCGTACAGTGCAGAAAGATTTTCTCTTGGAATCTCCAAATTAAGCATTAAAATTCCCAGCTGCTTCACTTGATAAAGAATTGAAAGAGAAGCCCCGTTAGATCTCCAGGGCCCATACTGTTCTGCAGGAGAAGGAAGGGAAAAAAAGATGTTAAGATGATTAAAAGAAACCTCTTTATTCCAGTCTTCTTCTTTCATAAGTGCACAAGTGAAATACCACAACCCTCTAAAGAGAGTTAATGTGCAACACATGCCAACCATGCAAACAGTCAAAAGTTTCGAAATGCCTTAAGAGCATTAAAACAATTAAAAAAAGTTTTATTAAGTTTGTTTAGTTGACAGTATAATTAATTTAAGAAGACTTACCTGACTAAGAGAAAATATACTTCAGGTCGTGTGACCATATCTTTGAAAAGTCGACTAAATTCGTCACTATTCAGCTGCACATTTTTGCCCTCTATTCTTGCCGTGCAAATTTCCTAGAATATAAAAGGTGAATGAAATACATCAGATTCTTTTATTGTTTACATTTTAAAGAATGTAAGGACTTCTCTCACAGAAACATAAAATCCAAGCCAATGTCTAAAGAAAACAAAACACAGCTACATTTGGCATGAGAAAAATGAACATTATTTTCTATCTATCTATCATAGATAGTTATGGGAGCTCTGCTCTTATTGAAAGGTGCTTGTTCTTCATGGGATTTTCCCATCAAAATGAATTTTCCAAAGATAAAGAGCAATTTTCTCCTACTCACAAATTATTGCACTTGGATTTGATGTTAAATTTCATTTTTAATTTAATACTTTAGTTTGAAATGACTGACCAAATTTTTTTAATGCGTGACCAGAACCCTTTATATTTTTATTAATATTATGCTTGTATGAGTCTTGGACTGCATTCCCACAGATTTTAGATAGTCTCACTAGATTACTGTCAGCTTAGCCGGCTTAAATGTCTGTCCCGCCTGCTAAAAGCTGTAAGGGGGTAATTAACTTCAGTGCGCGCTTGGCTGACAGCAATTTAGCGTGAACCCCCAGGGAGTTAGGTCGATCCAGATGAATCGATCTAAATCTGTGGGAATGCAGCCTTGGGCTTTACTGTAAGCTAGAAAGAAAGATGACTTAATGAGGAAATACAAAATTTCAGACCACATTACAGTCACAAACTAGACAAAAAGAGAAACGTACTTCCAAGTTTTTTTTTTTTTTTTTTTTTTTTTTTTTTAAATCATATAAATAGCAATTACTTGTATCCACAGTTTGACTTCATGGACATGAGTGCATATAAATAAGTTTTAGACTTAGGATGATAAACAATTTAATATCAATGGAAAGAGTGATAAAGAGATACATTTTGCACAAAACATGATATCAATTTTGTACCAATAACTAATCCATGAAAGAAAAGTCTCTGTTATGATGATATTAACATTTCTTATCAACAAACTAACTTTGCAGACTAATTTGAAGGGAGACTCAATCAACATTATAGCTTTTTCAGAGTCCTAAGCATTTCAGAAACTAATATTTTGATTGCACCACCTACACAATCTATTTTAAAATACCTTCCCATGCCTGTAACTCAGTCAAAACGAGTTGAAGAGATAATTCTTGGCACAATAACAAAAACAAGGAAGCATTCAAAAGTTCACCTTGTTTTCAGGATAAAATCTGTTGTAATACATGTCTTTTATCCAGAAACTTTCGGACGAATAAAAGTGCATTTTCTTGAGGTCATTGCATACTGGAATAACTCATCTATATATAAATGTAACTTTCATAAATCACTGCAGACGTCAACTTGTCATAACATGTTGATTTAAATGATCAGTGCCTTTTTATGGTTGGTTAATCAGACAAAAATGTATGTCATTTTGATGCCAATAATAAAAATATAAATAAATCAAATAAATCACTGCACAAATGAGCTTCTCACAGTTTCTTGACTCCATTAACCAAGAAGATATCATGGCTTATATAATCTGATCAATCTGTGGAAAACTGGTCTCAAAGCAGAGAACAGAGAAAATACATTATGTAAGTCTGGGTTCTGTTTTTTCTTTCAAGTTGGTACTGTTCCAAAGAAAATGTAAAAGATGTGAGGGCAATGACTATGTGTAACCTCTTAACCTTCCTAACAAACCTATAGCACCTCAGTCAATTCACAGCAGGAGGAAAACACATGTCTGATACCCATCTTAAAACCCATACCAGAAATACAACTCCCGACAGCCAATCGGAATCGCAAGTGAAAAAAAAGAAAGAAACTGATACTTTGAATGCCTCTACCAGAATCAACTGCATCAAACCAAAAAAGGTGGAAATAAAAAGAAAAAAAAATACTTGCTTCATATTTGAAAAGGTTTCTAGGTGTAACTAGAAGAACAACCAAGTCATACAAAAAAACAGTTCACCTAGGAAAATAATCATTCTTGTTCACATATTTCTACTCCCCTCGAGAGATCTTTTTTCAACTTCTCTTCAAGAAGAAAATCTAACACTGCTTGGCAAATGGTGATCGAAGTAACTGTGACGGTATACCACCTGCTGGTTGCTATTTCTTGTACTTTACCAACTTCTGTTCTCAATACTTAGTTAATGAAACAAAAACATGCTCCAACGTTCCATGACGCAAGTCACTGTCATTCCAACACTCTTCATGAAGAGTTAAGTGTGCAATCTTAGACAGGAATGAAAAAATGACTTTGAGCATAAAATGAAAACAAAAACTGTTCTTTCAAATCTTAACATTTTAGATCTTAAAAATAATTGCAAGAGATGTTATTTATCTTCAGAATTGCTTTAAAAAGATTGAGATGTATCAAAACATAAAGGCTTTTAATTGACAAACCAACAAAGGCAAATACATGACCTCCCTAGCTGAGGCAATACACATTTAGAACTCACCTTTATTTTTTGCTGAATCTTGGCAGTAGAAATATTGGAATCTAATTTTTTCATCAAATTGATGACTTCAAATTCGTCCAACACCCCTATGTTGTCTTGGTCTGCTGAACTGAATACCTCTTGTAACCATGTGTCAGAAGTTAAGGAAGAAAGAAATACATTTCTGCTATGCTCTCTCACTCCAGTGTTAAAGAAACAAAGATGCATCCACAGCTTACAGTCTAATCATACTAATTAAAAAAAGTTTTAATTACACAAAACATGCTGTTTCTAATATTTCTTTTTCATCATTTTACAATTCCTTATGTAACCTTTGACAACTTGCCAACTTCATCATATTAAATTTTAATTAAAAATGTCATAATAACCATTAATTGGGCACATAATTGATGTTACAGGACTGGATCCAGTGTATTCTTAGTTTCTGTGTGAGATGTTTTAAACAGATTTAACTGTTAGCTACACAAGCAAGAACGTACTAATACATTTTTTTAGTAATCAATAAATAAAAGAGTGCTGCAAATATTTGAGCATTCATAAAAAATAACAAGAGGTCAACAGACAACTCTTATTGATCTGACACACTGAAAGCTGCTAAATTCTAGGAGCCCAATTAAAAAAAAAAAAAAAAAAAACTCTGGGCAAAATATGCCTCAATGTGATGCTCAAATTCTGCTCCATCCTTACCGTAGGTGAGGCCTCCAAGCTCTATCTATGTGGAAAAGATGTGGTATAATAAATACATAAACTAAGGACCAATCTGGTGCCCTTTATCAATGTCTAATGCTAGTTTAAGTACGATAGGACTCGAAAACTCATTTTCTCAAAATTAAGACATGGTTTGCATCTGATAAACATGTTTGGCTCCATGCGACAGTCCTTTTTTGATATCATTTGTAATAATATTAGCATGCAGAAGACAAAACAACCCGCAACCCCCATTTAATAAATAAATGAATAATCCATTAACTCTCATAAAATAATCATTATGAATAAAATTGCTGACAACTGGAAATAATACAGATTGAGATATTAGTGAAAGTCAAATTTTAATGCTGACACAGAAAGTGGCAAAGTGTAGGATTTTAAACACACTTTAAGTAAACAACCCATCTCTTGTTGAACTAATCTAAGAAGTTATACTTTTTGGTGATATTTTTACAGATAAATGCCATGAATTAATATTGCAAAATATAATCAAATTTACTCCCTCCTGACAAACTTACAGGCCCATCAACCATCTAAACAGTTTTAAATCATTCAAAATCTGGAAGGCTGTGTGAGACTCGAGTTTTGTAAAACATCACTTAACATTGGGTTAAGGATGTTTTATTTTTCCCCTGATAGTTACAGAGATATGGCACCTATCAGAAAAGGAGAATCAAAGGTTGGTTAGCTAAGTTTAATGCTACAAAATCCTACATGGTGCAGTTTTAATACAAAATATATGTAAGGCATCACACTGAAGATAGGTTAAAATATTCTGACATACAACTGCTTTTCAGATGTTAAGAATCAATGAAGTATCCCTTTCTCAAACTTCAGGCCATTGATCTTAGAGGAGAACATACCACCATAAGATGTTCATTTTTTTCATTAAACCTACAAAGGTACCCTGGGTTTCAAAGTGCTAGTAATATTTATACTCCCTGCACAAACTACTAGAAATGGAAGAGGAACGCTTGTAAAAGGACTTCATGAACAATTTGAACTGCCCCCCCCCAATACATATATAAAAACACACAGAAGCTGAGTGGGCTTTGCTTGGCTTAGCCTGCTACACTCAAATAGTTGGCTCAAAGAACTCTCTGTTTTCACCATCATTCACACATAATTATAGTAAACAGTAAAAAATGTATGCTCAAGAAAGTCTTGGATAAAAAGCTATCTAACACTGTTTAACAAATAATTAACTCACTGGCAGTGGATTTTCCTCAATACGCTATTGTTCAACATTGCTAGTAGAAATTAGTTTCTAGGCGACTAGATGATTTAAAGCAACCTTCGTTTTTTATAGTAAAACAAAACTTCAATGACCCAAAAATAAAATTTGTCAGTTGGCTTAGCTAAGACTGTATGTGTACATATGGGAGTGCATGTGTGCGTTTGGGGGATATACTTCAAATTGTTTGAACATTATCCACACTTTATGTGAGAGAGAGGATGATCTGAGAAGATAATAATGGGAGATTACATCTAGATACATGTAAATGCCACACAAAAAGATATAGGGAGGAGGGTTATACTGTTAATCCAGATGTAATCTGCCTCTGTCTTTGCTGGAGACCACAAATCCAGATATTGATCCTGCCTATCTGTCATGAAAAAAACTCTAAGGAATCTGGAATATATTTATATTTTTCCCATTATTTTACAGAGCTTATTCTGGTCCTGGGTCCATTCAAGTATAAAACTTTCTAAAAAATATATCATACAGCTTTTTGAATGTTTCACTTATTTACATCAAACTATCATTATTGGTTTTATTCAGCTCAATAGGCATTTAGCAAATTGGTGAAAAAAAAAAGCCTGCGTGGTCTCAGAAAGTTACTTTTTGGATAAACACCTAAAAATTCTCTTTGGCTGCAAAAGTAAGTGGCTTATGCCAAAGTTGTCAAAGAAATCAATTGCTTTCTAAAGTAAAAATACTCATGAAATCAATTTTTTGACAGGGTGAAGTAACTGATATGTCTAACAAGTCAGCAATTATCGATTGTTACATTGTTACTGTTATCGTAACTGACAACCTTAATTTTCTCACTCTAATGCTTACTGTAAGTTATTTCAAAAGGATATCTGTCTCTCATTTCCTGACCATCTTCCAATGATTCTGGAGCTGGAAATAAAGAAAATAAGCAATCAATAGTGATGCAAGGTTAATATTCCCTTAAAACAAATGGTCAACTCTATTGATGATGGACAAATTGATGCAGTAGGGGGTGGTCAACAGTTTACTTATTCTTTAATAGAGATAACATAATGATATTATCTAAAATAAATAAATCAATAAATAAAGTCTCTGATGCAACAGATAAATACAGGTGATGGCAATATATGCAGACACAACTGTGTCAGTAGATAAAAAATTCAAATCACACAACTTAATTGATGAAATCAGTAATTCATGAAATCAGTTTTAGCTGACAGTACAAACGGGTAAAAATCATTCTTTGAGCACATAGACGGTAACAGAAAAACAGTAATGACCCCCACTGACACCCACCACTGATGCAATAGAGTACTGCTAGGGGCAATCAATAACTATTACATATGTTGCAGCTTGATATGCTAATCAATACTTCTTGACCGAAGGGTACTAGCCAGACACTCATTTTAAGTAGTGCAGTGACTGCCAGTGAAATATAGATTTCTTGTAAACAGACTGATTTATCATTTCTCCACATTTTGCCCTGCATGGTCCTCCCATCCTTAACCTATTGTGAAGTGACCAATGCTTGAAGTTACAGCTATGGAAGTGATCTAGATTTTCTAGAACCACCTATGCAATGATCTTTTTCTTCTCATACTCTTGATAATGCCCAATTATTAGGAAGTAATAAATCAAATCTCCAAATAAAGAAAGTAATTGTTGCTGTTTCAACACCCCTAATTTTTCTTTCTGACGACCCACCCACGCCTTGTTGTATTATGATTCGTATACATAATTTCTCCTGGACACCTTAAATAATGTCTTAAAACTTTTTAGGCAGGGTCTAATCCCAAGAGCTGCAGCAACAATGTTCACTTGCTTAATTTGTCCTAAAACATGATTTCTACATCCAATTTTCCATGCTACACCAACTTTCCCATGATCTGTGACCTTACCTGCAGAAAACCAGGCTTCCATTGGCGCATGTTCAAAGAAAACCTAGCAGGACAGACAGTCACAAGGTAGATTGGAGAACAGAACAGACTCATCATAAAGATGGGCAGATAAATGGAGAAATGGGAGAAACAAACAAACAGCCAGTCAGACAAAAAGCATAATTTACAAAAACTGGAGGGCATAAGGGAGGGTGGGGCTACTATGTAAATTTATATTAATGGACATGTTCAGAAAACTGTGAAAAAAAAATCTTTTTTTTTTTTTTTTTTGGGGGGGGGGACTATTAGGAGAAAGCAAGTTGCTCTAGTGTTGTGGAAAGAATACACCTTTACTATTGAATTATCTGTTCTTTATCAGAAAATCAGCAAATTACTGCTCAAAGCAATCCCAGGGGTCATAATTAAATGTAATGAGATAGTAGAAACACAAGAAAGGCAACTTGAAAAAAAAAATAGAAGAAGATTTACCAACTTATGATGCTCAGATATCTCTCATCATTCCCATCATTTAAATCAAAACTGGCGTCTCTATTATGTGTCCTATATTTAGGGAAATAGTTGCATTATGTCATTAATCCTGAGACAGATATCATTGGCACTACTTATGAAAGATTAATAACACTAAGTCTAATAAGAGCTGCTGTGGATATGATACCAGCTACAATACTGTGGTCCCATTGTACTAAAAAGGTGGGGATGATCATGTCCTAATAAAGATTTAAGACAAAAACACAAGGAAAATTTAATTAAAAACAATGATTATCATGCTTTCTGCACCCCAATATTCCACTATGGTCAATAACAGTTTTAACATTCATAAACTTACTGCAATCTCTGAGAACATTCTCTTTTCACAGCTTGCTAAAGTAATGAAAAACCAACATTACAACAGGTGAACTGACACTTGTAATTAAGCTGGTATCACCTGAGGACTGTAATCATATTGCAATCAACCCCTTAATAATTGATACTCTAGCATTAAAAGCTCGGTTCTATACCATTAAGAATTTCGATGTGATCAAGTGTGCTTTGATTGTCAAAAGCCTGCATTCGAAAGCATGCAATATTTAACTTTAAATAAAACCATGACCTTTTTTTAAAGAGTGTCAGAAGATGGGCATCTCTATGCAACCATTCACGTTTCATTTCTGCAGTTATGAATATGGTAAGCCCAGTGCAACAGCAAACATTGCATTTAATCCAATTGTTTTAAGAGGCTCTACAGGCCAAATCTGTCTCCTATGACTTAGAAATTATGGTAGTTTTTGTTTTGAAAAGACAAATTTTAACACTGATTCAAACATCTTCCCATTTCCAGACCTTTCTCTTCAATAACAAAAGAGTAAGGGGAAAAAGGTATCTGTCCATGATCAATAGCTCCTACTTTAGCTTTAAAAGATCTTCAATGGTGCTCAATTCACAATGTCCACATGACTGGGAAGTGGTTTGCTTTGGGGAGAGTGTTCAGGGAAGCAGGTATTCCTTAATTATCAGAACTTTCAGATAAACTAATTTTTTCATTGGTGAAAATATATGATAAAGTCAAAGAGACTTCCATTTTTTTAAATAAATATAAACCTGCAAGCATTAGCACATGCACCCAACAAAAAGTGCCTGAAAATAGATACTGAGACATAAATATACAATTAACTGCTCCCCCCTCTCCCCTTCATCCTACAGCAGACCTACACCATGGTGAATACTACCCAGACTAAACTATTCTAAAAGCCTGTTGTGAGCCAATGCAATTACCTTTGCATATTCTCTACAGGTACCTGCACGCATGACTTTAAAATAAAAAGGTGCTATGGTCTACCTGTATTTAAATCACACTCTCATTACTGGGGCAATAGAAACCACAGCCTCATTTTTCTTTAATTCATGTTCCCATAAAAGCTTTCAATTTGAGCTTCTTTGGCAAGTTGTGATGCCTGACATCTTGTTTAGGATGCAAGATCTACACATGCCTGTGTTAATGTGAACAGACTTGTTAACCTGCCAGGTTTTTCTTTATTTTTTGTGCAATCTGTTGTATGTAAACACAAATCACCATGTCCTATGTGTAGAAATTTAGGATATTTTGCTATTACATGACTTTTACTCATTCTTACTTATCCCACATCATATTAACACATTGCATAAACAACAAAATGACAACTGCAATCATGGACATTAACAGTAAGGTGCAATTAAATACAGGTTTTTCAAGGTAACTACTGCTCTTGATGAGTTTTGCATGGTATGGCAGATTAAACCAGGGCATTCTCTCAAATCAAACCCTGTAAAGTCCTCTATTGAGTCGAGCTGTTTCTAACATCCTGTGAACAGATAACCACAAAATTTGCACAAGTGTATAACAGAGAGTTTCTGTCGATTCATTTGACAGGCCAATGCACATGATAACATTTGTTAGAGTGAATGCTCTATTTGTCTTGCAGAATGAACTTGTACAGCTCCTTGATGTCTATGTACATACTGCTGAGGCAGTACACTCACTTCAGTTCAGGACGTGAATCTATCTGGCCATGCAAACCAACAATGTACACAGAAAGGATTGGTCTAAATTTGTATCTAACAGCCAAATATTTTCTCCATGAACAAGTTCTCCATCATAATTTTTTCTAGATTATTTTTCTTTTAACTACAGAAATGGTAAAGGCAAGGCAATGCTCTTATAAAACCTAATATTACTGCCCATTGGGCAAATATTGACAAATAGGATAGGTAATTGTATGCAAATTATGCGCTCTTTTTAAAGCAGAATGATGAAAAAGTTCCACCTTCAACTACAGGCAGAAGACATGTACATAGATAACAACACTTTACAAGTTCTAAATTACCAGCCTGTAAAATCAACAGTGAGTCAGATTTCATAACACCAAGTTTGCCATTGAGATATAATGTTCAATTCCTTATGCAGCAGCAAACAGATTTTGACAAAAAACTGTCCTGAATGCATCCCTTTCAAGCACCACTGACTGGGGCCATGGTTTTGATGCTCACCCATGTGGTATGAAGAGTGTCCAGTACTGTGCTTACCCCTATGAGCAAATTGTAATAGAGATACCTACCGTTAGGTTCTAGGTCCCAAGGAGATTATTTAAATCAAACCCTCAGACAAAATTTCAGATTTTCCTTTTCACTAATAAATTGGTGCTGATTTAGTTGTTTGTGATATCCAATGTCCAATACCAGACAAAACAAAGACAGCTGTGAATGAAAGAAAACTTCATAAAACATTTCTTACAGCAATATTATGATAATGTTTACATATTAGATATTTAGTTGCCCCAACACCAACAGAGTTTATGATTTTCAGTGGTTAAAACATTGTAAATCTGAGGGTTTTTCATCTAATCACATTCAAGGTCTTGCTGATTGGTCAAACAGCTCCTACAACCAAACTGATCTATATTTGACTAAATATGAAAAAGATGATTATTTCTGTAAGGGATAAGAAATCCCTGCCACAGTTAATTTTTCAGTTTGCACCAAGCTAATGAGGGTTCTCAGAGGTTAAAATTGGCCTCAAGGGGTAGCTAAAAAGACCATGAGATATGCAGTTAGATTCATCATTGTCTACTCAAGAGGTTTCCAAGTAATTGCTGTCGGCATTTTCAGTATCAAGTTGAGCATTTTCATTATTATGAATTTAGCTGCAATCATAAAGAAAGTCTGGATTGTAAATAATCTGTAAAATCTTCCAATCTGAATTATGTGGAAGAAAGGCAAACGCTTCAACTGAAATGGCAATAATTTCTAACTTGAAAATGAACTAAAAGAAAAGGACAAAATATCCAGGGCTTATAAGGATTACTGTGCAGCACATGAATAATCCCCCTTCAAGGATTCACTGAGTTGCTGAACTCCAAACTAATGCATGCTATTGTCCAATTAGTCTATCTTGTATTCTCATCAAAGAAATAAAATCAAGGTTTCATCCCCTAAATCTTACAAAAGATAAGTATTTCCTCAAAGTTATATCAGCTTTTGTAAAGAAGCGCAGATTAATTAGTTTTTCAAAGTAACAGCAGGAGAAAAAAAAAAGAATAAAATGTTACCTAGGCACTAGTAACTTCACCAAAATATATAAAACTGAAAAATGTTACCCAGAAAGGTTTTAACTAATTTGCAAATGACAATTAAACAAGTATAAGAACATGCTGTACTGTTTCAACAGATGGATAGATTGATTGTCAGTAAACGATCGAAAATGGCCAAACATTTTTTTGAAATTTCTTTGTATCATTTTCTTCATTTGCAATCAGATAAATCATGATGCTTCTACCTCCGAAACAGTGAGCTATTATAGTAGGAGGTATCATGTAAGTGAAATTTCAGAAAATGAGACCAGTGAATAATGGATAATCATATATCAACTGATGATCATTTGTAGCTTGTACAGTAGTTATGTTTTTCACCTGTCAAGTCAGGTATATACTTCATTTCAGTGACTGGCATCCAGATAAATTCTGGTAACAAGGAGATAGAAGATAACACAGACCAGTACAAAGAAGCAGTAATGGATAGACATCATATCTCACATCACATGCATTGAGAGCCATAATTCCTGTAGTACAACAACAGACATTACAGTGTTCTAAATGGCACTGATGACAACAGTCACGAAGAATGAATAACGCATTGCTAGGGGACTGATAGTCTACATTAGCAGTAAAGGTAAAGCCAATAATCAATCTTACTTACATTTATTGTTTTTCCCTGAAATGAGGCACGTAAGTCCTGCAACCCATATCCCTGCCTCATCTGGGGAGGCTGCAATGAGATCCAGGGAGTCGTAGTTGTCACCATATATGACAGAGAAGGCACACTCCTCTTGGTACATGCCCGCTATTTCTTTATTCCTGAGGACATCTGTGGTTTTACCACTCCGTACTTCCTTCATTGCCTCCAAACCAACTACAACAGACATGGAAACAGTATTTGAAGACATTGCTGGGATCTGCTGTCCTGGAAACCCTTTTTAACCTTTGTTATTCTTATTTAGGAGCTTTTGTTGAAAGTTGTTCTTAATTTATCACTTAAAGTGATAATAACTCTTCGTTTCTGCCAAAAAATGAATTTTCCTGGAGTAAACAACAATTTTCCCATACTTACCAATGGTTAATGAATCCATTTTTACATTCAAATTCAGTCCCTGGTTTTTTTCTAAAAAGTTTGGTTTTTTGTTAAAATCTCTTAAGAGATTTTAACAGAGTATAGCCATCAATGGAGGTCACGTGGTCTAAAGACAAGCTCACATATCAGAATAATAGCTATAACTGCTGTTTTTGTGGTAAAACAGAATATATTATATTTCTATGAGTTATTCACAATGTTTTTATTGTGAAATATAGATCTCATACGAAGAGTTATTATCCCTTTAAAGTAACATATAAAGTGAGACCAAATTCCCTGTAATGCACATAAATCACTACTTACAATTTCTTATACAACTCAAATTAAGTCTATATTCCAATGTATAAACCAAATTTATAACTGTGTCATCCAAAAAAAGCTATAAATCTACAACTTCTTCAAAGTTCTGATCATAAACTTGACCTTTTTGTTCATCCTCCATTTCGTAAAGTCTGCTAAATGACATAGTAATGAAAAAGCATTACTACTGCACACGCAGTACTATAATTATTCAAATCAGAGTTGGCAAAAAAGCCAGAGGGTTATCTTTAGTATTGAAAGAAAGCATAAAATATCAGTTCAAATAAATTTTTTAAAGGAAATTTGATATTACCTTTTTATTGAAAATTGAAAATTTTGCAAGTTATGCTTTTTGAAACTATAATATTATGGTGGGATTTACTTGGATATAGTGGCAATGATTTGTCAATTCAGCTCGCTTCAAATGTATTAAACAATTTCACCCTCCAAATTGACAAAAGAGAAAATCCTGTATTCGAAATAAAAGACAACATCAGGCCCATTACGCAAAAAGTAAAACATGGCTAATGTTTTACACAGACAGTTACTGAGCTATCCCAGTCACAAGTCTGATTTTTATTGTCTTCAATCCAAGAGCATCTTCTGACTACACTTTTTTTTTTGTAAAACAGGACCTTTAGGGTTGACTGATTCAGACAATAACTTAATCAACATTGAGTAAGATTGAAAGGTGACTTCCCAAAATTTTTTTTCGTGGAACAGAGTGAACATAGCTGTATTTAAAAAAAAAATCTTGCTTATTTTAAGAACAAATATCATAATAGTTCTTTATGTTTATGTCATTCAGAAAAAACATACAATAAGCATATACCCTAGAGGAGATATCTGGACAGGATGAATGAAGATAATTACAGAATCAAAACACCATCGGATGGTGCACAAATGACCCACCAGGGAAAACTGCTGAACAAGGAAATGAGGATTTACAAATAGCTTGCTTAAAAAAAAGATTCTCAGAATTGCATCCTTGCATACTGATATAAGTTTATTGCATGAATTTAATTAAAACTGCAATTTTCTGGGAGGAAAATCAATGCAAACATGTCAATTTGTTTCTTGGTAAAAATTCATTAGCATGGTTCCTAAAAAACTTAATTTAATTTGCTGGTTGCTGTCTTTTCTTTCCTTTAATGAATGTGAGCCAAGCTGCAGATAGTATTTAAAACATTGGTTTGGACAATGGCCATTAAGAATCAAAACATGAATGTTTTAAAACAGTTTATAGACATGCAACCTTTTGGATCTTTTTTAACAACTCCACATAAACCAAAGCCTCTGGATGTTGAGAGAAAGCTGCATGGACTTACTTCTTGCCTTATGGGGCTTCTTTGAACTTGGCTGCCAGCGCAATTCTGTCAAATCTGGATCAATACTGAAGTAGCGATGATACTGGCGGCTGTTGGAACGCACCTTGATCAGCTCACTGCCATTTTGCATGTAATTCAAACAGTCTTGAGCTGGAAGGGAAAGAGGATGTTTAGTTTTAAATTAGAGGATTTTTTTCATACCTTCAGAGGATTCCCTTTTTTTTTTCAATTCACATTCTCAAGTTTTTCTTCTTTAATAACCACTGTTAGGGGATTTTCTTTACAAAGGTCCATTGGAAATTGGTGTAATTTAATGTTATTAATGATAAAAAAAACATCACAGTTTTAAGCATAACTTTTTCTTGCAACTGAAAATGTTCTGCTTTCAGCCCATATAGTAGAGACTATCAAGAAACCGAAAATAGCTATTTCACTTAAAAACTGCTGATGTAACATCATCAGTAAAATGACCACACTTTTTCTGAAGGCAAATAGTGTTATGAACATACTGAGATAATATCATAATGATCATAACAAAAGCTTCATGTATTTGTTTTTAACATGATTTTCACTAGGGTATAAGTAATATAACCTTAACAGCATACTCTGCTGCCTTTCTTCAATATTTCCAACAAAATGAAACACTTATAATTTAAAACAAGAATTTGAGGAAACCCTTTTTTGTTCATAATGTAAAATATGGTATCTTGACCATCTTGTAGTGTCAACAATGTTTACAACACACATTATCTTCTAACCACACTGTTAAATTCCTCAGTAGCTGACAACCTCTCCACTTTAGATATAACTGAGATGTCAAATGTCACATAACCTTTCCAAGCTGTGACAGGTACAGATGCTACCTGTCACCTGAGAAGCTTTATGGTGCTTCTTTAACTATGACACGCACCACACTCACTGTTTACTGCTTTATTCATATCAACATGTATACATTTTCAAATAAATTTAAATATTGTAAAGATGCAAAGTAATAACATGAATCACCACAAATTTACTTTATATATTACATTCAATTTATTTCTAATGTAGATTTAAAAAGGACCAGTATTTAAAACAAATCAAAGAGTTATGCAGAACTAAACCCCCTGGCCACTATTTGCCTGTAAAATGACGCACCAAAAGTCACTTCACTTAGTCACTCAAATTCAGCTGGCTGCTCATCTTTATATTAATTTCAGGTCAACTTTGAAACTTTCCTTATATGTAGAAGACCCTGGTTTAATACTGCTTTTTAAATTTCATAGTAGCACACTCAGGCAGAGTCAATGACATAGGAGGCATAGGGCTATCTAAGAATTCAGGTATTTTTTTCTCTTATTCATGCAGTTTCAAGTGTTAGGTGTAGACAATCATGTAATATATGACCTTATAAGGAGCCACATCTTATTGTCACAATTTTTTATCTTAAAAAAAGCTTTTCCTTTTCCTTTTCTCCACCCTCTATCCCAATGCCAAGTTGCATATATCTATCGTCAACTGTGTTATTCATAGATCATTTTGAAAAATATCATGTATTCACTGAGAAAGGCAGATAAATATATTTTTTACATGGTAAGAAACATAAATAGCCTACCCATTTTTGGCACATGTATATCTGCATGCTTTCTGTTAGGCTTCACCGCTGATAGATACAAACACTTCACAGGAATCAGATTTAAGGAATTGTAAACTGCAAATTTCATAATTAAATAAATGTAATGCACCAATTCAACAGAGACATTTGTTTTTGCTTCCCTTAACACTGTTTCTGATAAATATTGCACTTTAAAGTCAGAGAACCTAAAAATAAAGCCATTCTCAACAAATGCATGGCATTACGCTATTATTAAAACCTCGCCTAATTTTAATGCAGATCAAATGAGGCAGACTGCCAGCCAGAAAACATTCTAGTCTGCAAATGGTGATTATAGGGCCTTTTCAAAGATGCCAAACATTCGCAAATTGAAGTCTGATTTATATTTCGTTGGTTACAAAGACAATAAGTACCATTAGGAGAGAAATGGATTTCAAACATAACACTTTTACCTGGATCCAATTAAAGCTACTGTAGAAATGTGAAAAATGTAAAAGGATATACTACGTCATTCTATGATATGTGCCTTTTTTGCTACAGAAAATGTTGAAGCACAGCTGTGCCATTGTTTTTATTAAAAAGATGACTCACATGCCAATAACTCAGGTGTACGTTTTCTCCACCAGCATCCACATTCATGCAAATTTAATTCCAATAACGTGACAGAGTATGTAAGATTGTAAGACTGTCTATCCACTGTGCACATCATAGCTTCCTGATCAATATTCAACATTTTTAAGTACACACACACACACACACACATGCATGTATGTATGCATTCACATACACACACACACACACACATGCATACATACACACACACACACACATGCATGTATGCATTCACACACACACACACACACACAGGGGAAAATGCCTCAATTTGAGCTCTTCTCACAAGAAACAAGTATTTAGGGACATTTAAAGGTAAAGGCTCTTTATCTTGAATTAAGTACTGAAAGAAAAAAGAAAAGAAAAGAAATTTAAAAAAAATGACTCCGTAATATACAACACATAATACCTAACCTACATCTAATTTTCTAATTACAGTAAAGATACATGTCTGTTCTCCATTTTCAAGTCCTTCAATTCATTTATCTATAAACCTGCAAACAGTTGTACCAATAAAATCCTGCACTATTTGTGTTTTTCAGTGCAATCTTGCTTGTAAAGTGTTTATAATTCTAAAAATACCCAAAATTCTCCAGCTGAATTACTCTCTCCTATGGCTGCCTGATCTGGTAGCTGAAAAGATTCTGTAGATAGCAGTGCACTGGGTTTGATATGGTTATCCAGAACAGGCACACATCCCTAAGGATAACCCACCCATTGATTCTAACAACCTGCAATTTATACTTATGAATGTTTGTACCACTTGTTTGTTTAAAACAGAGTTTCTAAATAAATAAATAAATGTTGTTTAAACAGTCTTATCATTGACCCAAACTCATAACCTCATTGCAAATGATGCATAACATGGGTAGCCCAAATTTGGTATAAGTCAAGTGATACTGATACAAGCTACTTGGATAGTGCATTAAATCATTAAAAAGAATCTTCAAACTGAGATCAGAAAAAAAAAAAGACCACCGAGTGCTCAGAAAAATAGATTTCCTTTTCATATCTTCAAATGAAACCACTTGGAGGAAGATACATTATTAGCTTGCCACTGAAGTACAGTCTGGCACTTAGTGTAAAATTGCCATTTTGGCTACTACAGATTATTGAAATGTATTTAGATTGTTAATACAAAGATTGAGATATAAAGGACAGGTAAAAAGAATATGAAAAATGTAAAACACCACATGGGCATTTTCTCTTGTATCTAACAGCTTTCAATATATCTATTAACCCTATCACCAAGAGCTATTACAATCATGATCTCTTACCAACAATCACCGTGAAGAATAATATCAATGAAACTTCCATTAGGCAGTTGCAAATTGTGTGTAATAATAGCCTGTTATAGGGCACATTCAACAAGGTTTAAACCAAAACTGTTTTAAGACTTACTGCAGGAATTAGACAAACATCTGTGTCAAGGTGGGAAGCCTATGTTAGTTATCCTTCTGTCATAGACTTCTGAACCACCAACCACCTATAGTTCATCGTACTGTTCTTTTAAAGTTCTATTGGATTACCTGACAGGTGCAAACAGTCTTCTTCCTAACATTGGTCTACAAATGGTTGAAACTGAAATAGTGCATTACAGAGCCATCACCTAAAATTAATTTTAGTGAAAATGGTTCTTTATACTAGTACTTATTTATTTATGATATAAACTATTAGATTTTAGCTGAATATAATATATTACATACAAACTGGATGAAAATGCAATTATATACAATAAACAATGTTTAGTTAAAATTATGAAGCTGTCTAGTATAAATATTCATCAGTCCTCTAAGTTTGAAGACAAAAGGTCAAATGATTTTCCACTTATCGTGTTATCACTGAAAGACAGTGAAAGTGTATGGTGACAAGGCAATGACAGACGCAGGTGACAGCTATATAGTACAGACACACACACCTGTGGCTGTATATAAAAAAATATATTGAAATAATTTCAAATGCCATAACAATACAAGATACTGAATGATAATGTTTACTACTGTTAACTAAACATGTCAAATACTAGTACTAGGTGTTCTGTTATTTGGTTTGGATTCATCAGTGATTATTGAACAATTCACAAGATCAATGAATGTATTTGTTTCAGGATATTACATAATAATCCTAGGATGTCACATGAAAGTCTTCAATGTCACGCTATATGTAATGTAATCCTTATGATGATATGATGATTCACTACTTACTGATATCAAAACAAACTAAACCATACAGTGTTCACTGTCACTCAAAAAAAAAATAAAAAGAAATAAAAAGAAATAAAAATAATAATAAAAAAAATAAAAATAAAAATAAAATAATAATAATAATAAATAAAAAAATGAAAAAATAAAAAATAAGGGCTCATTCAAATTGTAACTATTGGGGTCTATAGATGGGTCCAACTCTGCAAGGACTTGTGCTGAATGCAATCAGATTAGCAGATTAACATGCCTCTTTCCCAACATACCTGGGCTCCGTATCTCGAAAGGTTCGCTATGTTGCGCACGAGCGTTAGTGTCTCGATTCCATAACCGGTTCTATTTCGAGATACGGGGCCATGGAATCGAGACACTTGTGCATGTGCAAGTGAACGCATAGCGAACCTTTCGAGATACGGAGCCCTGTATAATCACCAGCCTTTCTGTATTCTACTCTACGTAGACAGATATTTCCAATGGGAATGAGCCCTTATTAGAAATTAATAGCTGTGAATTTACAAACCTGGACTTTGAGCCAAATCCTATAAAAGACAACTTCATAACATTTGTAAATTGTAGCAATAATGAAACTATTTACAGGCTTCTTTCAAAATTTTGAAGATTCTAACCATGAGACAAAACCACACTGATCAACATACTACGAAAACAATCCTGAGTTCTGTAGATTGCTTTTGTGTCATTCTAAGGAAGAATATTTATGAAAAGCTCAGGAAGGGGTGAAGGGAAGAGCAAGAAGACAAATACACTGTGCATGACTTCAGCAAACTTAAACAATTGACTATTCATGAGAGAGTAGTTCCACCTTCATGGATTTGTCTGGGGAAGTGGCAGGTGGAGATATGTACGCATGTTAATTGTTCGTCAACACCAATTATTAAAATGCACATGTAAGAAAGAATTCAAGAATGTGTATTTGAATTTTGCATGAAGCTGCAGTAACCTTGAGAGCATAACTGTCAATTTTCATCTAGGACTGAATTCAGTTATTTTATGGTTGCCAGTTCTGAACAAGGATTTGGTTTTAAATGTTGTGTCAAACTTGAGAGTAAGATTACTGGAAGATCACTCTCCCGCTGCTTTAAGATAAGGTTAAAGGGATATCAGCCAGTCAGCAGCTTATAAACTGATAGCAGGTAATCCAACTCTAAAAACCACACATACAGTTCATAATATGTTGTTCACATTGGGCTACATTTTGGAAATGAGAAATCCAACAAAAATATGTTTCCAGGTGATACCTTAACAGACTTTATTTTAGAGGGTTGCAGCAGACAAAAGTTGAGCACACTAAATAAAATCTGTAGTACTTGGGGGGGAAACAACAGAGACTGTAGCACAGTGCCCAGACAACTGTGATATGTATCAAGTGAGTTTAACCCTTGTGTATCTCAATTGACCTAACAGCCAGGACAGGCTACAGCTGCACTTGGCATCCAGAACCAAAATCAATGGAGCCGAACTAAATTAATCATAGTGTGGCAAGGCAGAAGATGTGGAGAGGGGATAGACAAACCGAGGAAGAGATCAAGACAGACATAAAGATGCAATAACTGTGCATGCTAGGCATGTTTTATTTCACCAGGGCAGCTGCAAACTATGCGGGCCTCTGTTCAATCAAAGGGACTCACTTTCTCTTATATTATGCACAAGTATTGATGTAATCAAACCCACACACACACATTATCACAGGCAAAAACATGCATTCGGATACCTATAGCCAAACATCAAATTTATGTCCCTGAAGGTCTAATATTTGAGAAACAAATGCAATCCATGACAGATTGTCATTAATTTGCTGTTAAAACTTCAGTGTAAGTCAAGCTCAATGTAAGTCCAAGTAGGTGGTACATAATCTTTTCAGCAAGTTGTTACAAATAAGCCATGCTTTTGGTAGCCCAGAGATTTGGTACAAAGTTAAATGTCAACTTCAATAGGGTTGATGGTCATCAGAATCTGTATGAGCCATTTGCACTACTTTGATCTTTCATTCTTTTTTCTTATCAACTCTTATCTTTAACAAAATCTCAAATCTTAAATGCAAAACAGATTGAAGCTTCACTTCAAAAAGATAATAAATATCAATTTATCAAATCATGTTGGGAAAGGGGCAGTAATGTAACAAACAAACACTGCACTCAAACAGAATTCTCTTTGTAAACTCTGAAATGACTTAACTGTCTTCAGATGCATGTCATCAACTGCCCATGCGCTGTCATCAATAACATCTTGTATATCCATCAATTTTCACATTGGTATTGCTTCTAATTTATTATTTTTATCACATATCTGCAATGGGAAGCAATATGTATGCCCCCTAACTTACAGGTGAATAAAGCTTATCAATTATAGAATTATCACATTTTTCTATATCTAATCCAGGGGTTAATAAAACTATTTCTGCATTATCTCTGTGGGCTAACAATAAAACCATAGGAAAGAGCATACCACTTGAGACACTACACTTGACATTTAATTAAAGCATTAAATGCACAGTCTGGATGATGTTATGCTTAAGTAAAAATAATGTCAATGCTTCTCATGATGACTTAATCTATCAACATGTCTTTAGTTATCATCTCTTGGATCAATAATAAAATATAAAGAAAGTCAGGACATGTAGAATATTTTGGTATATGAGTTCTCAAAATAAAATCTCTGATATATAGCAGTTTTTCTCTCTTTTTGCAGACAAAAAGTATCAAAACTTTTTTGAAAATAGCATTTTACACTCTTTTTGAAAAATATCACCACCATGTTTTAAGCACTATGTCATTTATTCAAAAGTCACTTATTCATCCTAAAATGGTTCACTGTGCATCATAAGGTTCAGAGCACTTATGGTCACTTACCTCTACATAGCCACAGGCATTTACAAGAAACATCAAGCCAGTTTCAAAAACACTTAAAAACACTCACAATGATGACAAGGAGGTATTTAAAACTTCACCTTCATATCATGTTTAGTATACCACTGGTAGTTGAACACTTTCCTTATAACAGCATGTCTTTTATCTATTGAAAACAGATCAATGATATTAAAAAAAATTGCTCCCACAATGAGAACAATGATAAAATCTCACATTGCATGTTTCATTTACATTGGTACACCCCAATTAAATGTTATCATTTCTGCACACATACCCTGGTATGACTGACTTCAGGTGTGTTTCCACACATTAGTGTCATGCATGGGAAAATCTTGTTTACTACAGGGCATCTTACTTTCTCCTATCTACATCCAATTATGTCCTCTTTGATGGTAAAGTTCACATAACCAATTTTACCACACCTTCAAAAACAACATATAACCTCAGGGGTGTTCTATTTATCTTTTCTAAGACATGCTTTCCCATGGGCAATGAACTTTTTACAATATTTCCACTGAAAACAGAATTATTTATAGTCAAGTCTTTTCCACTTAACTGAGAATTCAATGGATATTGTCACTTCAAGGCACTTGCTTAGACCAAGGAGCAATAAAGATAAAATAAATATCATTAAAAAGTATCATCAACTTTTAATAAATTGGTTTAATCAATATATAAACTCGTTATCTTTCACTTAACTTTTTTTAAAAAAGTGCTTTTCCTAAAAATATCCTACTTTCATATTAGTACTATTACTCTTTAATACTAGTTTAATACTGTACGCCTACCACTGCTGTTTACCTTGAATGCAGCCTAAGCCTAGCCAAGGTAGTCATTTATTTAATTAGGTGGATAATAGGACAGCGTTTCGCGGAGATTATATGGAAGTCATCTAATTACCACACCACACAAGTAATCAACAGGATATGGCTTGTATCTTCGTTCTTTTTCAAACTTACAATTTGCAATTTTTTTCTCAAACGGCATACTGGAGAAGGAAACGGTCTTCTTTCGCTGATGTCGGCGGCCCGCCGCATCCTTAATCAAACTACTCCTTCGAGGTAAGGGTGTCGCGTCTGTATCAGGTAACGGGCTGGCAGGGGCCTCTGTATCTGTACCGTTTGCATCTCGAGGAGTCTGCCCATTACTGTGAAATACATCATCCTTTTCGGACGTGGGGCTTTGGGACCCCTCCGACACCTCCGCCATGTTGACAAACTCACTTAAACTCTGCCACTCGAGGAAAGTTACTCTATTTCGGAAGGTCTGATTCAGGTTTGACGCAAATCATTATATCTTACGTCTAAACGTACAAAAAGTCATTTCCCTGCTTTGATATACATATTTGTGACAATCATCTCGTGCAAAGTCAAGGTTAGCGTGCCGAGCAGACGTTATTTATCTCTGAGGGGTGAACAAGGTTGGAAAAAAGATGAACCCGTCCAAAAATGCAGTGCATGTTGGGATATCTCAAAATGGCGCTGCCCAGGGAGTTTTGAACTTTGTTAAGAGTTAAACACATTTATAAGGAAGGAGAAACATAATTTTCTTGATAATCCAGGTAATTTCATGGGGTGTAAATTGTGCCTCGTGTTTTTATGTAAGTAAATAGAAGGTTAAATGTAGTAGTGGTGGTGAAACTGTTAATGTGTTTCACAGTAGACGATGAAAAGTGGCTTTGGGATTTGCTAAAGCCTAAATGTATTTTTTGTTTGGCAATATAGTATCTGAATAATAAACTGTTACTGACAGTTCATTAATCCTCCTGGTCTTCCAGGTTCAACATGTACCAAATACAATGTCATACTTGCCACTGATCATAGATGCTTTTTAGCGGCCACGGGAACACTTCAGTTTAGAACCACATCACAAACTAGCACGAAATTCACACTCCTGTTGACGATTTTCATATATAGCCTGGCCTCAAAAAGTGTGTTATGAAGACCAGCTGCACTCCTGGAGCTCTCAAATTTTGATCTTACCTCTCATCTCAACTCGCACAGTCCTGTAAAGTCAATGTTTTACATCAACAGAGCTGAGGTAATGTCCCTCTCCTTGTTTTCCAGTTAGGTCGTAGGTCAAATGATGCAATGTTTTTTCCCTAAAGAAAGCAATCTACTGTGCATGCTTTAATGTGTTAAAACAGCTTAGATATCAAAATTGTTAATAGGAGTGCAAATGCATGAATATTGTGCTAACTACAAATAACTTCAAAGAATCAATCAGCTTTTTATTTTTAATGCCCACTTTTAATGCCAGATATCACCTACTACAGATGCATTTTGGAGTTTTTGTTCAAGTTGTTTGTAATTCTCGTATAGTATGGTATACATCCATCGAATAGTTGGATATTGTATACATATACATTCTAGTGCTAGAAATGGCAATTAAAGATATGTTATGAAAATGAGCCAGAGTCTTATTTTCTATGTCTACATTTCCTGTAAAGCTACTTTTCTTTCCCATTTCAGACGTTAGAAATGATAAAACCCCTCTAATAAAACTTCCCATTTCTTCTGAATTATACAGGAAGACATGGCAGTCTTAAGTTACTGGACATGCCATTTAGAGCTAATTTTTTTTTTTTAATTGAGAAATGGTGTAAAACATTAAGTACAAGTGCAGGGAAGGGTCATCAGTGATTCGTGAGTAGGAAACTTCTTTTTTTTTTCAGAAATCTTGTTGGCAGGAAAATCCCAGATGGGGTGCCTCAGATCATTAATTAAAACATAAAACCATCTGATGAGCCACCAGAAGTTGATAACTGAATTGAGAAATATGCATTAAAGCACTGCCTTCAGCATTAACTTTGTTTTAATCATACCCCCCCCCCTTGAAAAATTATGAATTAAGATTTAAACCAAAACAGGGTTTAATCCCCCATTTCCTTACTCCTCAGATTTATTTTTAAAAAATATCTGTGGGTTGCATTAAAGTAAATTACATTCAGCATTTGACAAAATCAATTTGTAGTGAGGTTTTAAGATGAGTGTTTTTAGTGAGTGTCTATATTAAATATTTTTTTAAAAAAATATCCACTCTTCATCTAGATTGATGGTGTTATAGTAACAAGCATATATTGGCAATAAATTTTCAACCAAAATGTTTTAGGTTATTTTTTGTAAGTGGTTAATAGTTGAGAGGATAGAGTTGATAGAGATAAAATGATATCAAAAGACGCAACAACATAATGATAATTTTTTTCTTTATAGTTACCAGTTATATCCCAGTGACATAGGATGGCATTTCTCCTGGCTGACTTTTGACATTTTGGTTCAACATTTTGTTGATGCAGTCTTAGAGTTGTTGTTGATATTTTAATTGATTTAGAGAGTGTACCCATAAACCCATCTTACTAATTGGATCAATCTAACTCTGCAGCTTGAAAAACAAAAATAAAACATTAAGCTTGCAGTATCCTGTTAGAAACTGCCAAGTTAAAATACAGTATTTGAAGAGCACTTTACTTCTGCCTCATATTGATTACTAAAAAGGTAAAAACATGTTAAGATATAAATGAAGATCTTCCATTTTACCAAAAAAAAGTTACATCTAATTCCATTGAGGCTCATTGTGAACATGCCTGTTAGTTTTATCTACACTTGGTTCAATGTGTCTATTGTAAAACATTTTAAAATGGGATTGATTTAGCAAGCATAGTAGTCTGTATTCCATCATTTGCCTTTTTTTTCACATAATTACAATTCAAGGTTACCACTGCACACTGATGCGCCATTTTTCCAGCCATGTGTGTCCTTTTATCCTTTTTCTAACAGTTTGAATTGGAAGCTGAACTGTGCTGATGTTAAAAAAAGTAGCTCATAGTAAATCTCATGTTGACAGCATTGATCATTCTACTTCTCATTTCTAATTACTTTAGATCTATAAAAGGCTGAAAAAGAAAGCTCAGAAATGGCATCTATCTATAAATGGAAGACATCTGCTGCTGAGGCAGCATTAAAGCTGATCACAGCTAGTATATCCAACAGTTAAAAGATAAAAAAATATCGGTATTTTAGTTGAATATAAATCCATAGTACTCACTGGTGTGAAGCTTAGACATATGTGTTAAGTATGTCTTTCTATAATATCATAAAACGGGCACAATAGTTGAATTGATTGTACTTCTTATGATTTATCTTAGATTTTTAGGCCAGAGTAGATTGATTCTACGTTTAGACCAGTTTTTATGAAACAGTCTAAAAGTTAAGACCATACTTGAAACTTGTGTATCTCGCTTTTTATGAGCCAAGAATGTAATGCAAAAGTGAAGGCCTAGACAGTGGTGATTACTTACAGGTCAATGACTTTTTATCAGCAGTGTTATCAATACGTTCTATGATACATCTGCTCTGTGCAGTGCAACTGATGTGCAACACTGATTTGTCTGTGCTGCGTTTATCTGATCGTAATGTACACTGTGTGATATCTATGAGATATCCTCCTTGTTATTGCCTAATCAATTTTATTGGAACTGTTTGATGCTGTGCAATAAAAGTAGTGCTGCACACGATGTTTGAGAGAGTTTTAAGCTGGGCTATAATTCCAATTCGAAATACATGGTTAAGTGGTTGTGATTTAAAATCTTACGATAAATGTTGATCCATATTGATTTTGACTTTTTAGAAAATAAGAAATGTGTTACTTGTGATTTTTATCATAAATTGCTTTTTTTTTATGATGGAGTTTATAAAATGTAACATTTGAAAGCTTTTCAAAGGCATAAGGGAAATTATTGGTGACAAGTTTTCCATTAAAATGCATTAGCCATTTTGATCATGTTTTAATACTTTTCTAAATGTTCACCTTATATATTTAAAACACTTAAAACACTCTCTCAATTCAATTTGCATGACTTCTCATGGAGTTTAGTTTGGATGAATACTATTTGTCATCATAGCTTGAAACTATGGACCATTATTTTTATGTATAATCTCAAATTTCAATATTTGAAAATCACTGGAGTTTAAATGAACCAAAGCTTGGCATATGTTAAGTTTCTGTTTAATGATAATGACAATTTGACAAAATTTGCTTTATTAAAAAAGAAAATAAATGAATAAATAAGAAGAGAAAATGAGAAAGAAAGAAAAGGAACACCCCTTGCTTCAACATGTGTTTCTGTGATGAACATTATTAAGAGAACTGTTTTTGTCCATTCCAGCACCCATGGACAGCTGTCGCCATATCAACAGAGTGAAAGTATCTCAGGATCATTCTATTCTTAACCCTCAGAAATGGCTTTGTGCTGAGTGTGGGACTACAGAAAGTGTTTGGGTAAGTTCTTCTGTATATTTTAGGCCATATACTCATGCACACACAGATTTGTACTAGTATGCCGTTAGCACATACATGCACACACGTAAGGAAAGAGTGGAAGAGGTACAGCAAAATTAAACTAAATGACACATAAATGAATATATCTTCTGAATTATCTCCTCAAAGGTTTTTTTCTTCTTGTGCATAAAAAAAATACAAACTCTCACACCTACGTGCATGCATGAGATATACTCAAACATTTCTATCATTATAAAATAGTTTGGCATATTTTGTCTTTTTGTTAAACTGTATTCCATCTTGTCTTTTCAGGCTTGCTTGAGCTGCTCTCATGTAGCCTGTGGAAGATATATTGAGGAGCATGCATTTAAACATTACCAACAGACTAAGGTGATTGCTTATTTTAATAGTATCCTTTAACAGAGTTGTTCTCTTTTGATTTGTATCTGGCACCAGACCTGGTAAATAAATAACAAAGGCTTACTATGATTCTTTATTCTATTCCTCTTTTATTTTTTTTATAATTTCTTCTTATAATTTTGTTTTCGGGTGTAAAATGCTATCAGTGTTTTCTTAATACATTTTTATAATAATTGTCTTGTAAGCCTTTGGCCAACATTTTNGCTTGAGCTGCTCTCATGTAGCCTGTGGAAGATATATTGAGGAGCATGCATTTAAACATTACCAACAGACTAAGGTGATTGCTTATTTTAATAGTATCCTTTAACAGAGTTGTTCTCTTTTGATTTGTATCTGGCACCAGATCTGGTAAATAAATAACAAAGGCTTACTATGATGCTTTATTCTATTCCTCTTTTATTTTATTTTTTGAAAATGCTTTAAATTGTAGCATGTTGCATGATCATTGTCTGAGATTCTACCACTGCAGAATCAAATGTTTTTCATTTCCTTGCAGCACCCAATATCCATTGAAGTGAATGAACGATATGTTTATTGGTAAGCTACTGGCTATTATAGCTGCACAGGGTAAAAAGTCAATTTAGCTGGCTTGTAACACAAGTAATGTGGTTGAATAAATATCTTGACATATTGGCTGTCACTTATGTACAGGATTTGGACAAAGTTGTACGATACTGACAGCCAGGGATTCCACTAGATTTCTCGGAAGTCAGTTAGGACCATGACTGACAAAGAAATCAAAATCATGTATCAGAGTATTGGGGGGGGGGGGGGGTATTATAAAATTCTAGGATCACTTAAGGCTGTGCTAATGGAAACCAGGTGGAATGATGTGCACTTAAGAATCCGTTGATTATTTTTGTATATATTCAGCCTGGAGCAGATTTCAATACAAAATAATGGCTCTTCATGTGTAAGTACTGTTGTTAGGACTGGTGTTGCATGTTGTTGGTATTAGCTTGTTTTGAGAAATATACAAAACCAGGGTTCACTTTGAAAGAAAACATGATATTGATCTTGAAGTTTTGATAATTTAAGGAAGAATGAAGATTTAAGTGGCACTGATTGTTGACTAATACATTTTGGTTGCTATATTTATGTACACTATAAATATACTCTTATCAGTTTTATGTCACTTAAACTTCTCCAATAACACAGAAAATGCCATCATAAACACTTGGATGAATGTACAGAATGACAGACATATCAGACTATAGCTTTTTTTTTTCATTTATATAATTCTTTTATTGTTTCATAGCAGAAAAGCTGATGTACATTTAGAACTGGCCAGTGCATTTGCAGTTCTAGGTTTTATTCAAGTTCAAACTTCAGTTTAAAACTTTCAAACAAGGGAGTGACAGTGATATATTTTGCTCTCTTAACTGTGACAATCTGAAACGTCGAAAAAGCATTCTCCAGGGACATACTACTTATTAATATTATTTAAATCGCAACAGCCATGAAGGCTCAGAACCCTCAAGGGAAAAACATTGATATATGACACACAAAAAAGTTTCCTCAGCATCTAGCTTGTGTGTCAACAGAATGATGAGAGGAGGGATGAATTTGCTTAAAGGTCAGGACACTAAGTTTAATCTGAGACTTTGAGATAGCTTTACTGGTGACAGTTGTGATTAATTGAATTATCGTTCCATGAATATTTCCGGGAAACACACCATGGGTAGTATTTTTTTGATCAAATGAATTATGAGTGAAAGTTTTCATATATTCACTGGTGGAGGATAAAGCTTGTATTTATCATGTCATAGGTATTTCCATGAATTTCCTTGCAGTTGGTTTTCTTTTTAAATGAGAGGATGAGATTACCTGTCATACCGATTGAAATTAAGGTATAAGCTGTAGTATTGCAGGAATTCTGTGAATTCCCTGTAAATTAAGTAGGGGAGTAGCTCTAAAAATTTCTATTATAACTATTAATATAGAAAAAAGGTCTTTTGTGTAACTGCAAGTTAAAAAATTGTTATTTGGCATTGCATCTCATTTTAACAAATAAATTAAATTCCAAGAAAATTATAAAAGTGATTGTGAATTTTTTTACATTCTAACCCTGAATATTAGAACACATGTTATATCACTGTAGGTTATATAGCCAACAGTGTGATTGTCCAAAGAGAAAACGTAATGAGTGGCTATAATTACAATAAAATATTGCCATCAAAACTGCTCAGCCAGAACAATAGTAATTTTTTGATCCAAATTCACCTTGCTCCATACATGTATTTTGCGTTAGAGGCCCTTAGATTGGTATCATTGCAAATATCTCTACCTGAATTAAATTGTGTCAAACTCTTTGGGGGGAAAAAACAATTGGTGCTGTTATGTGTGGAAGCCTCTGAAAGCTGATTTGGCTTGGTTATAAGAGGTAAAACTTGCATTCATGACCAGTCTGTGTAAGATGTTCTTATCTTGTAATGAAGTCATCAATTGTTGCTGAAGATAAATGTAGACTGACAGTTATGTTTCATTACAACTATTTTAACCAAGATGAAATAAGTAATGCTTTATGCAGAGTAGTTGTCAAAGAAACTTGCATTGTAGTCAAAGGAGGCCTTTGTTTTATTGCATGTGCTTCCTGTTCCTCAGGGGCAGGTTATTATCAATCTTCATTGGTCACTGCTGCCAATACTTTGGGTCCCAAACTAGAAATTTATTTGTCTCTAAGACGGATTTGTTATCATCTTTTGTACTTTTAGTCAGTGATGATATCTATCTTGTTATTTTCTTTATGAGTATTTACAGACAACACAAACACGCACAAACACACGAAAGAGAGAGATAGACTAGACTACTAAACTGCTTTAATTTTCAGTGTATCGATAAAAAATTATTTTCAATTCAACAGTTTTTGAAGCTATAAATTTTTTGTTAAAGTAGCATCTCTTGTGAAATTATATTTGAACATATTTGGTGGTCATTTCAGTTATGTATGTGATGACTATGTCCTGAATGACAATCCTGCCGGGGACCTGAAACTGCTGCGTAGCACACTGAATGCTGTTACCACTCAGTCCTTTGAGGATGTGGAGAAGAGAGGAAGACGAATATTAAGGTCAAAATCTTTTGCTGGTTTTGAAAACAGGTGTGATACTGTTTCTTTTTGTTATTATTTACTTTTTGCTTTCTGTCTTAAGTATTTGAGCCTTTGATATGCTCTGACATGATAGATCGGCCCTTAGTATGGATTCTGTTGCCGTTTTTTTGTCTTTTTTATTTGACAGTTTTAAAATGAAATATTTATAAAATGTTTTACTGGTTTTAAGTTACTTTTAAGGTTTTCTAATTGTGGTTATTTCAGTTTATTGGTTTGCTGCTCTGATTCTCTTCATGTTTTGTCACTATATTTTTGACATCGTCAGGGTGAAGTATTTATTAAATACACAACATGTTCTAAGTGCACAGCAATGTTGCAACTTGTGATGCTAACTATGAGGACATTCACCTCAGTTTAAGTCAATAATTGTAGGTCATTTCATCTTATAGGGCTGCTGCAGCAAAAGTGAATGAAGTAGAGGATAGAAATTATACTGCTTTATGGCACAGAAGGTAGTCTGTCTGTCTCCAACTTATCTTTGTTACTTATTTCATATGTCACATGTCTAAGTGTCATAGTTTGCATCCAGAAGAATCAGATTATAAAATGGCAAGTTAGAATAGTTAACATGCAATTTATATGTCACATTGATGTATTTAAGGCAAAAATAGTCAACTTACAGTTAAATTGTGTTAGACACAATATTTTCATGTATTTAGCTAAAAGTCTGTGTGGTTGAATTTTGGATTTTTATAGAAGTTGTTTTTTTTTTTAACTTAATTGCAGTGCCAAATGTTAACACTGACACTTATACAAATCACTTATTTTTGCAGGGTAAATCTTCTGAGCAAAGTGTTTTATGCATGGAGAAGTTTAGTAATAAAAGATGTAATCAAAGTAAGTTATGTTAGATTTAACTTTAAATGCCCTTGGCAATTGTCTGATAACATGGACAGCATACTTGATTAACTGTCTCTGCTAAAAAAATAAGAAATAATAATGATATACATTAACATAATATAGTCTGCCAGAAGGTTATTATTGCAATATTTTCCAAGAAATTATATTGCATTAAAGAGTTTATAATCACTATCACTTGCTGTCAGATTTAAAAAATGTCATATATGCCACTGATGTCTTCTCACTTCATCTATGAATTACATGATCCTTTTCTGTGTTTCAAAACAGTCTGAACCCAAAGCACAAGAAGCATCCAAGTCAGGCCCTGTCCAGCAGGGACCATCTTCATCCTCATCCTCATCCTCATCTACTTCTTCCTTGCCACCAGGTGTCACTACAGTCACCTCCCCCACCAGGAAGAAACCTCCCATACTTCTCCCAGGGACCACAGGACTCAGGAATCTAGGCAACACTTGTTATATGAACTCTATATTACAAGTTCTAAGGTAGGGATGAAGTTGTGCTCTCCTCGTAGGTTTTCATGACAGACACTTGGTATGTGATAGCCACGTCAGATTCTATTTCTGTATTGCTCATTTGGAATTCTACTGGGACATTGCATCAATTGTTGTTGAACATCATTAGCCAGACAGGCAGTTGAATATTCTGTCCCCTATGTAATCATTCTCAATAAGTTTTGATATGACAAAAACTGAGTCTTTCTTTATTTTTCAATGTAGATTTACACTGACACAATATGATAAGGGCTTTTAACTGATAACTATTGACTCTCTGTCTGTTTTCTATCAGTCATGAGGGATGGAATGCAATATAAAAGGAAAAAAAGAAAATTTGACCAGAATGATGTGACAGATTTATATCTGGATTATCAAAATGTGTAGGCTGTATACAAAAGAAATGGATTTTTAATTCGGATGTGGAAAGAACAAAATTGATTAATTCTGACAATCCAATATCTTTTTGTTTAGTACATGCTTAAAAAAGAAACCCAAGTTATTTTAGATCAGTTCTTTACTTTTAGTGTGGTGTAGATCAAGTTTAAAAGAAATGAAAAAAAGGCATGGGTGAGCTACAATAGACTTATCACAGTGTTTGCCATTGATGGAAAGATTCCTGTGGAGAGTGCAGGGAAAGATGGCTTGATTTTTTATCACAAAGAAAACATTAAAGAAAATGTTTTCCCTCAGTATGTTGCAACAGCTTGAACTACATTAATGGCAGTTCTTGGAGACAAAAAAGCTATCAATTTACTTCAGCACTTTAAATTGATAGCTATTATTACATATACTGATATTACATTTGACTGAATTACTTCTAGAATTTATTTGATTTTCGTCATTGTTTTTCTTAATTTATTTTTTTATATTTTACAGTTTTTATTTAATTTAGAGTGTATTTTATGTTTTCAGTCACCTGGAAGGCTTTCGGGATTATTTCCTGTATTTAACTGGTGATTTTTCTCCTGGAAACACTCCACAGAGGGAGTGCAGAACACCTAAACATCCCAATTATATGAGACAAACCACTGTAGAATGTTTTCAGGTAATTCTTTATCTTTTTTACTTGGTAAATGTATAAAATGAATGTCCTTGTGTAAATGTTGTTTGACTAGCTTGTGTAAATGTTGATTGATTAGGATTAAAATTTGAGATGTTTTGATGATGTCTAACTTGAATCTTCACATAATTCAGACAAATTTTCTAGATCAAAAGTGCCTGAGTTATGTGGATCATTGCTGTATTTGTGAATATTTTGAGTATTTAGATGTTGGACTGACTTTTACCAAATAACATTGAATTTCAAGCCTAGGCAAAATACATGTTTTTACTTCACAATATTGATTTATTAGAAAATAAGAGTCATGATTTTTTCAGCACATCAATACGCCAAAGAAAAAGTCAGAAAGTGATCGAGGTGGGCTGAATGGAGGCAGTACAGAGGTGGCACCCAGTGGTACCTCAAAACTCCAAAACCAGGCCACAGACTCTAACCAACGCATGGTCACACGCTCTGAAGACTTGTAAGTACTAGTGCCCAGCAGCTGATGTGAGAATTAGCTTATTCATACCACATAATGCAACTATTAGGACAAAAAAGATTAACTCTAGCAACATATCATAGCAAGTTTCCAGATATATACAGTGAATGCTTGTGTTTAAAAGTGATTTTTTTTATTATGCACTTACATGGACGGTAATTAATTCAAGTGATGTGATACTGGAAATGTCTTAGCTATAAAAGATAAATGATTTGAAACTTTTGCTTTCTAAATCTTTACCTTTGCACTGATTTGTATGATATGGTTAGGGAAGCAGTAGCTGTCATAGCTATAAAAAGAGAAATAATATGAAATCTCTTTCCAGATCTCTGTCTGAGGAGCTCCATGCACTGTTCCGTGTGATATGGTCAGGGAAGTGGGTATTGGTCAGCCCACATGCAGTGTTACATGCAGTCTGGAACCACATACCCTCTTTCAAGGGCTTTGCTCAGCAAGATGCACAGGAGTTTCTGTGGTAAGCAGTCTGTGCCAAAAAACCTTTTAACCTACTGGTCCTCTGAGTCATTGGGTTCTAAGAATCCATTAGCCCAAAGCAGAAATAGTGAGCAGTAATTGAAAAAAGTTGGAAATTTCTACTGTTTTGGTGTCAGTGTCTAATGCTAATTGCCATTCAGCAAATGATAATATCTCAGACTGTAAGCATGGTGGGAAAATATTGCAGAAATAGATGTTAAGAGCATCTAAGGGAATCAAAATTTCAAATTGATACAGCAGTGTAAAAAAACAAGGACATTGGTATTTCATACTTGTGTATAAATGTAAGACATGTATACAATATACATGTATTACCCTTATACATTTTCATGCTCTCTTGAAATGGCTGTATATTTTCTTGCGCTCTTGATTTGCTTTAATGTTTGTAAATTTTAGCATTATGTCTTAACAGATTCATGTGTTCTGTTTACTTCTTTCTTGAAGGTTTTCACTGGCATTAATTTATTTGTTCATTCATTCATATATATATATATATATTTTTTTTTTTTCTATTTTTATATTTTCGTGACTCTAGTGAGCTATTGGACAAAGTCCAGAATGAGCTGCAAGCTTCTGTGTCAGCGAGCAGTGTCCGAGATGTGATAGCAGAGACATTCCAAGGAGAGCTGATAAGTGAGGTAAGTGATAATAACACCATGAGTCAGTTGCAAGCAAGGTGGATTTGATGTACACGTGTGAAGCACAGAGTCCAAGTCACGTACACCTTGTTGGTGAGTGTTGTATCTGACTTACACTGCAGTAGATGTTGAGAACAAAAGTCTCATGCTGGGTGTAACTCGTGTTCAGTAACTCTAAAAATTGTACTATAATGATGATGATGATGATGATGGTTATGATAAAACTTAACACAGCCTTTTGAGGGTTAATGCAGTGCATGTTTTACAATCAAATCTTTAATATTTTGATATATAGAATAAAAAATTTGATTATTATCCCATACTGTATTAAATACAATACCATATTACAGGTGAAATGTCTTGCATGTGGTCAGAAATCCCAGCGGTTTGAGCCCTTCATGGACCTGTCCCTGGATTTCCCTGACAGGTACCATGACCCCAAGTGTGCCGAGGCCCAGGAAAGCTGTCATATCACAGGTGAGGGACAGTTTGGTGCTTGGCACATGTCAGAATTACAGTTATTATTATTATTATTATGGTCTTGACAAATGGCATTTCATGGTTATGATGCATCTTCCTTTAATTATTATCTTAAGCAAACTTTGTTTTGACTTCTGTCACTTATGTTGTATATATTTGTATGTAGTAGATGTGATCTTATACATCAACCAGAACTTTTTGTACTTAATTATTATTATTTCTATGGTTTGACATATGTCAGATGTGTGTTTTATGCCCTAGATTGAATTTCCATGAGCTTGAGAATTAGTGAACACTTTGGTTGCTTATTTAGGTCATTTACATAGAAATATGCTTTGAAACTGAGATCCCCTTATTAAAAAATTGAATTTTAAAGTTTTGATCTTAAAACATTCACACTCTGAAGTTTATGTTGAGAATATATAATATGTTTTACTCGTTCTGATAATAATAATAATAATAATAATAATAATAATAATAATAATAATAATAATAATAATCACATCAAAATATATCATATGAGATACATGCAGAATCCCACTAGAAATAGAGAAAAAATAACAGTGCACACCTGATTGTCTCTTGATTTCACTTGTTAATTGCTTATTATTATATTCTTTCAGAAATGTTAGCCAAATTCACAGAGACTGAGAAGCTAGATGGGGAGATTTATTCATGTGAATACTGCAACAGTAAGTTGGGCCTCTCATTCCATTTGCTCAACATATTTTCTTTTCAAATTAAACTTAACTTTTAACCATTTAATTGCAGTGTCTTAGAAACAGTTATGTTAAATTAATTTTAAGGTCTATATATTTGGGATGACAAGTATGTCAAATTTTAGTTTTATCGCCAATGATGTCTGATTTTTCAGGCAAAAGAAGAAAAACAAGCAACAAAACTGTGATATACACTGAAGCTGAGAAGAGATTTCTTGTGAACAAATTACCACCAGTATTACGTTTACACCTGAAAAGATTTAGGTAAGTTCTGCTAAGGATTTCACAGCTGTGTTATGCACTTTAAGTTACAATAATTTTTTTAAAGACCAAATAAATTCCAAGTTTTTTTACAGCAGTATTTTTGTCTCTCAAAATGCCATCATTGAAAGAATCACCCATGTGGACTTCAACAAGTTACTATCGCTGTCTTGCTTTCTGTATTACAGGTGGTCAGGGAGAAACCATCGTGAGAAAATAATGACCCATGTGGACTTCAATGACGACCTCCGTATGGAGCCATTCTGTAACCCTGAGCAGTGTCTGGTGAACACGTACTACACTCTGTCTGCAGTGGTCATACATCACGGCAGGGGGTTTGGTTCAGGGCACTACACAGTCTATGTGTGGAATGACTCCACCCGTGAGTATTGGACTTTCGGTTTTAATCAGTGGCACATGATCTTTGCTGGGATTTTCCCACCTTTTTGTCTGATTTCATCTTTTTTTTTTTTTTTTGGGTGCAAGAAAGTTTAACTTAAGAAAATTGATTTGTGTGAAATATTCAGAATTGGAGGAAGTTGGGGATGGCTGGGGGGGGGGTATTTTTTCTTTCTCGCTGCATGACAGGCAAAGCAGTACAAGAAGTTATGAGATAAGCTGATGCTTATCCCTAATTTCTGATAGGCAGAAAATATTGGTGCAAACAGGACAAATGATATCTGACACATTTTGCTTCTTTTGTGTCTGTCATGATAAAGAGGAATCCATATATCTGACTTTGCATGTTGTTTACTAATTGAAAGATTTATAGTATGTCACCTCAAATTTCCAATGAAATAATTACTTGATGTGCTGGAAATTTCATGTTAGATTTGTAGTCTTGCCTGGATAGAGGCCTTTACAGTAATAAGATTAATATTTCCATTGTTTTTTAGGTGCCTGGTTCTTGGGTAATGATGCCAAGGTGGAACCCTGCATGATGACTGATGTGCTGAAGGCACAAGCCTATATACTGTTCTACACCCAGTCCGCGTCCCCCTCCTTGTCCAGTAAGCCAGAGGTACTGGCCACACCACTGGACAGTACATCGGAGGAAGAAGTGGACGATGAGATCACATTCAATTTTAGAGCTAACAGCCCTGAATGCACATTGCCAAACAAAAGGAGTCGAACTGAGAGTGAGAGCAAATATACTGTGGCTAAGAGGAAAAGGACTACTTCTACAAGCTGGTAGTTTTGGTGTTTTATGTGTTATTTGCTTTGCCTTGCTGGTTAAGGCAGTGAAAAAATAGTTTTTTCCAGTTTCCCAAGAAAAGAGTCACTTTGCCTGTGGCTGTTTTGAAAAGTGTTCTTTTTTTAAACGGACGGAGATAGGAGCTGCATTTTCATTCCCATCCATGCTCTGTTGAAAGTTGCAACAGGAACACGGGGTTTTTTTTTCTTGTCACTTGTGTGGAATTAATCAGTCATCTGGTATCACCTATTATAGAAAGTGAAAATGAAACCCTTATGCAAACTGTATGGCAGCTGTACAGATGCTGAACTCTAATGTTTCCAACTGACACACTATAAAATAGACTTCTTAGAAGTCTCTCACTTTTCCGAGCAATTTCCAAAAACACAGCTGCCTGGAAGTTGCCAAATTGTTTGTGTTTTTGTATGAATATACGTTTTGTGTGTAAATGTTTCACCATGTTATTTATAGGTGTTCCAGGCCACCTTGCAAGTTTGCTGTGATGATGTCTTGCTGGAAGAGACAGTAGTATAAGGAGCACAATAATGAAATGGTACTTAACACAACATGAAACTGCCTAAAGAACAATGGCATGTTATTTATGTGTTCAAAAGCCCATTCAAGTCTTACTCAGGATAAGTTGAGGCAGCTCAAAATGTAATTTAAATTCAAGTATGTGTGTAACTATGAGAGTGTTCTAGCAATTAGAATTTTTTGTTTTGCTTAATGAGGCATATGCCTGTGCAAATGTTGGCAATATTTCAATATTGTGGCATTTGTTGTCATATTGATTGTAAATGAAAAGCACAACAAATACCTATATCTTGTCTTCACCTTTCTCGCTGTTTGATTGATCTAAATTTTGAGTCCTCTTTTACCACTGTAGGTTTAGGTACATCAGTAAATTATTTAGTGATATAAAATGGCCTGAATACATTCAGGATATAAAGAATTAATGAGGAAGGTGTGGTGAGTCTTGTACAAGAGTGTGCAAAACAGAAATAATCATATCTTCTTCGAAAGGAATTAAGGAATTTTTAACCATCATATGCCAAGAGAACATATGTAACAAGCTTTAATTTATGTTAATTTTATTGATACAAATTTTAGAGCTTGAAGTTGTAGTTACTGATGTTAAGGTCATGAACTGACCTTTTGCATTTTATCACACCATTAAGAACCATATTTTATTTTAAATATGTTAAATAATGTGTATATATTTCTTGTAGAAAGAAATTTTATTTTTCATACAAGTGTGAATAAATTTGAAATGTTTTAAAGACATTTCTGTGTGCAACTTTAGAGCCATTTGAGATGATTTCTGAATAAGTGGAATGTAGATTGTGCAACCGGAGAGCGGGGGAGGGGGGAGATGGAAGTTAACCACGGATGCTTACCATTTTACTAAAGGCCAGTAATTGACCCATAGTTTACAAATACCCTGTTAAATGTTTTTAATTTCCCCACACCACATACACATGTAGCTGAAGTTATCTCTGCACGTTTCATACAATGATGCCAAAAAATTATCAGAAAGGCCCAACAGTATATTAATATTCATTATTACTTTATTATAGCAATAAGCATGTATACCATCAGTCAATTTCATTATAGGCAAAGCAATAAAATAAACTAATTTACTGCCAGTTACTTAAAGAATGTCATGAGAGTACAATTATCTAAATACTATATGGTTAAAGGGTACAAATTATTTAACAAAGAATGCAAATCTCCAAGGATGGAACCAGTCACTTAATGCTATACACACAGCATGAAAAATATCTGCCATGTACATATGTAAACTGATATCAATTTAACATGTGTAAAAACAATTTCTGTATATCAAATGAATGATATCAAAGATTTCTCAACCACTAATACTATGGCTAAAAACCTAATATAGGCCACGAGTCCATAAATAATGGCAAGAATCTGCAATGAAGTGTCTACATTTATCATTGAAGTCGGATATACTGTACTGAAAATAATAATTTGCAAGAGTATTATAAACAAATGGATAATACCAAGGAACTCCCCTCGAAAAAAAGGCAATTTTTTAGCCATGTAAACAGGTTGCTTTGCTAAATATATATATATAATAGAACAGATAACCTTGCTTGTTCAATATGGCCAATGACTTGCTTTTATACAAACCTCTTACATGACATCTTCCATTTTAACTTTTTTTTTTTAAACAACAGGAAAATATAATAGTTCCTACAGTATCTAATATCATTCATGGCCACAGTGTATAATGGCAACAAAATGCCATTTCTAATCAACCAATATCTATACTAATACTGAACAGATGAGACAGGATAGCAGCAAAACTGCTGCCACATTACAAATAACTATGGATATAAACAACATGATTATCTGAAAAAAAAAACTGTAATTAAATCAACGTAATATGTACATAATAATACAGTCTGGGCTATATAAGCATATAGTGTTACAATCAACTGGTGCCTGCAGGCCTTATCTTTGGTATTATAGTTTCAAATCACTGTTGACTAGATAACTTCCCACAACCAGCTATCAACTTTTGATTTGATTTTTGCACATTATCGATTAAGATATCTACATTGTACAGTACTGGAAATGTATAAAAGAGAGGGCAAGTATGGCCTACATACCAACACTGAAAACCATGTTTTGATCTTGCTTTTTTTCTTTACCATTTTGACATCGACCACTGAATGTCTTTCTTAACATCTGCTGCCTCCATTTACCCATGCAATTCACAGGCCTTCACTAATCTTAAAAATGTAGCAATCAAATTTACTTTGGGTCCGAGTACAGGAAGCAGATTCAGGTCTCAGATCAGTCTACCCAGTAATGCACACTACAGTTACTGCTGTTTTCTTTTTCTGATGGATTCTTGATATCCTTATTTTATTTTATTTATTTATTTTTTTTTTTTTGTAAAAAATAATTATTCAACTTATGACAATATCAAAGAACCAGATACATTTTACAGAGTCATAATCATGTTTGTCATAGGCAACCATTGAATATACCCATCTTTTGTAATTTAATATCTTAAATGATAGATTTGTGGCTGTTTACTTAATCAGTTTTCCATTTTACAGATTTTGAGGTCAATGTGTTTTTGGCAATTACAAATCTTACAAATCTTGACAAAAAAGTTGGTACTTTTAAGTCGCCTGGTTCTGTCTTCTTCAAGATCAGAACATGTAGGGTTTATGCTTTGATTCCAGAATGGTTGTGTTTGACATCAATTCCCTGAAACCCATGTGTATGTAAGGAGGCAGCCTCGTACGCCCTACGTCCTGCTTCACCTGAAACACCAGAACAGATTCCATCAGACACTCAATACAAATTTTCAGTGAGTCTACAACTAAAAAACACGTCTTGTCCATTCACACTTACATTTCACTGTTTTTGAGAGACAAAAAGAAAAGGATGATTTCTCTTTACCACGATATGGCTCAACCAGATATACAAGCTATATGCCAAAGTTTTTTTTTAATACTTAGGTACTTATTATTAACACTTGAAAAGTTAATATCAATATTTGTTTCTCTAGATATTGAAATGCTGTGGTATATTCTGACCAATTTTTCTTACCAAATGAAAATACTGCCTCTTTTGCACTTTTCTTGACAACAATAGAAGTATCAGTCTCACATACATAAACTAGCTGTTCTATAGTTTCTGAGGCCTAAAAGGAAACATGACAACCATTAAATAATGGAATACCTCTTTTCTTCACAAATATACATCAACTACTTGACTGCTGTAAAATACACATCACAAATATAAAATATACTGTATATTTTATATTTATTACTGCTCGTAGAGTTATCATGTAATGTATTAATCTATAATTCCCTTAAATATATTTACTGGGAGATATATATATATATATATATATATATATATATATATATATATATATATAGTATGCTCATACTTAGAGTTTATGCAAGCTTTCCAGGCATAAACAATGCAAAAAGGACCAATGAAATACTCACTCTAAGGGCTGACAGGGCCACACAGGCTCCACATCTGATATCTGCATTGTGATCTTCCAGTGCCTCAATGAAGACCTTCATCACCTGGTCACGTGACATGCGGTCAGACGACAGCCTTTGTAAGTAGGTCACTGTAATGGAAAACAAGACAATAAGCTTTCAAGTTATGAGATACTGAAGCAGTTTATCTTAGCGACAGGTCAACAAAATTTGAATCTTCATAACCTCCCATATCTAAATGTTTATACTGCTTATCCCCTTAAGTATGAAAAAAGCATGTGATAAATGGTTCACAGGTGATAAAATAAGGTGTTTTAAAATAACTCAATTAGATTATAAAATTCAAAAGGAAAATAAATTAGGATTTTCTGACATTTTTTATCCCATACCTGTTGTCTGCTTGATCTCTGAATTGTTTGATATGAGCAGGAGTGTAAGGAGCTTGATGCACTCAGTGGGAGGGACATCATACTGGAAGGCTTGGATTGTTTTGATCACCACATCTGGATCAGTAGAACGCAGCTTGCCACACATCCACACTGTGAACAAAAGGGGGCAGCACTGTTAGCCACAGAAAATTTCCTTTGACAAGTTTCAACAAGACAGGCTTATCCTTGAATATTCACTCCAGTTTTAAATTCAGTAGATATATTTTCTAAGAAACATTTCTTCCTGGTACTGTTCATAAAAAGACAGTTTACAAACGTTCTATTTAAAATTTTATTTTATCATTTATCTAACACAATCTTTTTTTCTGAAACAGCCCAGGCCAACGTCTACTTACATTCTGTTGCCAGGTCCTCTACATACTCTGCCACACTTGGCCTGCTGTCCTCACTGAAGAAACTCAGAAACTGGTGGAGTGTCACATTGGCATTGCTATCTGGATCATAGCTTGGCATGTCTAGGATCTTTGCTAATGTTTTTCTGAAGACTGTAAAAAATGATAAGAAACACACAATTAAATACCACTTAAATACCACATATAAAACATTATGAATTGAGTTTAATTTTGCTTTTATGTTAAAAGTGCATTAGTGGTTAAAAAATGGATAAGCTCTTACTGTGTGTCCAAACAAATGCTAAGTATGCAACTGAATCATTGCCTGATTTAAGTAAACTGCATTCACTTAAGAAAAAAGTTCCTCTTCGAAGCATATACCTTTGCTGGCTACAATATCAAACTTGTCTCGGATTCTCTCTCCATAGCTCCTCTCTAGCTGTGCCAGGAACCGCTCACTGTTCACGTACAGACCACTGTGATCTACAGACTTCTGCCAGAACTCTTTCAACCTGGGATTACTGGTCACTTCACTCATTACTGAAATCATGTATAATATATATTAGTAAATCATATAATTTATATGCTTTAAATAACAATGGTGTATTCCATAGTCAATTTCCACTGCTACCAGGATTTTTTTTTCTAAATTTACCTTGATATCTATAAATATTTTTTCTCCTAACTGAAAATTTACCCAATATCATCGTCTTCATTACAGATCAAATTTGCTCAATCTAAATTATATTTTATCCTTGCAGTGCATAATTTCTCACCATGTTTAAAACCCAAGAAAGATATATTTCAATCAAGTTCTAGAAAGACATCTGAAGCGAGAAAATCCAACCTCAGCTATGACTACTTATTTCAGAAAATTGAATTTCTATCGATTGAGCAAGAACATCTCCCAGTAATAAGTCCAATGTTATTCCACTTGGGACAGACCCAGGTTGTCCATGTAACACTCAGAAGACAGAATAAACAGTCAAAATCAATACTCCGAAGATGGTTTGGAAAAAAGATCTTGTCCTTACATATCACAGCTGTTTCGATCAAAATACTTGAACTAATCCAGATTTCTTTGGCAAAGAATAACTTTCCCAAACGAAACTTTTTTGGGGTAAAAGAAATCATTTGGAATATCTAAACTCAAAACTTATCAGAGGAGTGAAAACTTTTTTTGAAAAGATATAACCAAGAGACAGTGTTTTACACATAACAAAATGGGTCAGAATCTAGGGTCAAGTTCTCTATCAAACATTATGTTTGGGTTGGGTTAAATCACAAGATGCCAGAAGGCACCTCAGGTACATGACTTCCCCTGTAGATATATCAGATCTTTCACCCTTCACAGTACACTGACATGTCAAGAGTGGTAATGTTCACCTGAGATTTTTATTTCTGATAACAGCATGCCCTCACCTTTCTCTATGTTGGCCACATGTTTTCCTGCTTTGGCTATGTCGAGCAGCTTCTCTATGATTTTTCCCTGCATCTGAAGATGATCCAAGGAATACGTCTCCCGACATTTCAGTGGACCAAATTTTCCAAGGTTCTGAAAATGAAGAGATATATTTGCATAACCTTAGGTGATTAACAATGACTGTGAAATTAAATCGTAAGAGTCAGTTCTCTACTGCTTATCATGTAACTGATCTTACACCACATCATGATTTACAACTTTTTATTGAACAACATAAAATTCCACCTGTTTATTGAATTAATCTTTTTATTTAAACTGGAGACCTAGCACAGTGGTGTCAATCTCTGCTAGACTATACCCTTACATTGAACAGTCTGTCACAGTAGATGAGATGGAACATCAAGCACACATCCACTGCGTCATTTCCCGTACTAGCTGGCTCTGGACTAGTCCCTGCCCCAGCAAACTGTCTGTCCTCACTCAGCCTGTGAGCCAGAGACTCTATACCAGAGTCTGCCGTGGTGGTGGTCGACTCGGGACTAATCAGGGGTTTGTCCTCTAGACTACCTCTGCTGGACTTTCTGCTGGTACTCCTGAGGAGGCAGAAAGGGATAAATGGTTAATTTTGAAATATTATCTATTAGCAGTAGAGACTTCATTCTAGTTTTTATACATACAACTTATCTACCAAGTAAAGGCTTATATGTAAAGGCTTAATTTTAATTGTTGTAGATCAATATCAATTTATACTGTCATACTGGAACTGGCAATTCAGTTTCTTTCAATGTTAATCCAATTGAGAAAAGAAATCTCATAACCCAAGTCAAGTTTCAGATTTACTATGGGTCAACTTTTTAATTTTCAAATTTTCACATGTGCCTTGCTTATCCAAAAAGCATTCCCATAAAACTTGAAACACAGGGCGCCATTGTTCCAGACGTGTACCTTCTACTAGGGCTGTCCCAGTCCTCCTGATTGCCCTCTTCCTCCAGGTCTAGGAAGTCAAAGGCCTCCAAAGCACTCTCTATTGAGATACTGTGAACGCTGGGAGAGCGGGACCGACTCATTCGCTTCTGTTTCTAAATAGAACACAGCATGGGTGTTAGATATATAGTGCAAAGGGTTTACATAAGAAAAAAAAAGAATGATAAAAATTTTATATATTTATATAAATTTCTCTTCTTTGTATTAGAATAGTTCTACAGAAGCTGATTATGTGAAACAGTTAAATACAAGCTCATTTGGCTCATTTGAAAAAAGAAATGCAATACCCCCCGCCCATATTCCATTGTCACATTAAATGAGGCGGACAGTTCTACTGCATGATTTATTCTCTCTGAGAATAATTGACTCCCAGGGTGGCAATAAAGTCATCCCAATACTTAAATGAAGTATGATTTGATTGCTTGGTAAATGACCAGAATTTCTGTTACATTACTCATCTTCTACGCCCAAATTTAACTAGCAATTTTCAATACAGAAAGAAGGGCTAAAAATACATGTGAACATTCTTTATCAATCTTGAGAGCATTTTAATCAGATATTTGCAGAAAGATCAAAATTTTCACAGGGAAATCTATATCAGTGCTGTAGTTCAAAAGAACTTGCTGTGCAAACATTTTGCTTAAAATGTTTTGGTTTACTTGATTAGACAAAAAAGTGAATCATAATGATACAATTTTCTTTTCCATTCAGTCTGCTGGAAAGTGGAACAATTATTTCGATTTGAAAAATTACATGTGAGTCATATATCAGATTTCAGCCAACTTCACTAATGACATAAAAGCAATACAGTGAGACAGTTGAAGGATGAAATCTCAGCAGTGAAGCACATTTGAAACCAGATTAAAGACATTATCCCTTCAACTATTCCTAAGTCAGAAGACCGTTTAAGGAAAATGAATCTTTGTGTAAAATTTGATTTTTCACTAGGTTAGTCAAACTGTGAAAATCATCAATAATTACTATGTGAATTTAGTAGGCAAGAAATTACCAGAGCCCTGCCTATGGATTGTTATGAATTTTGACCTGGGTACCAGATACAAAGCTAGTATCTATGATATATATAATGTGTAATTATGAAATGTATATTAAACAACATTGTATAGCACTCACTGCTAGCATCTCCTCCAGTCTGCTAATCTGCTCCTCCAGGTGCCTTAAAGCTGGATACTGGCCCTGGTAATCCTCCAGTGTTGTCTTTATCGCATTCAATGCCTGCTCCAGAGTTCTTGGCACCTCTTCATGAGGGCTCAAATGCATACCCGTAGTTTCTGACAATAATCTCATATCAAAAAGTTTTGGTTTTGCCACCCTTTCGGTGCCCACGGGCTCCTGGGATGACAAAAATATCTCACTCTTAGGCCTGGGCCTGTCTTGTTTACTGCTGCCATCTTGTGAATGTTTCTCCTGATGACTAGAACGTCTTTTAATCTCAGTTTTTGAACTTGACGCCTCATCAAGTGGCAATTTTTTGTAGTCTGAAGTAGCAGGAGATGTTGGTTCACTGTGAACAACAACATCTCCACAGATTGAATGTCTGTTGCCAATTATTAATGAGTCATCGTGGGGCCTCATTTCTACAGGGACTGAGAAACGATTGGGCACAAATACCAAACTTCTGTCATGGCTACCTTCTCCCAAGAATTTGTTCTTTCCATATGCATTATCTCCAAGCCTGTTTAGTCTGTCTGTGGATACAAACTCAGACACTGGTCTTCCCACACGGCGTGTGGGGGAGGAAGATGAACTGCTACTGCTGCTGTTGGTACCAAGGCTGTGTTTGTCCTACAAAGGAAAATGTTTCCAAATTAAGAATTCTCTCTATGTCTTTGCTACAGTATTATACTGTTTAAGTTTTAATTAACAAAAGATTTTATTTATTGATGGAATTTCGATAGGTACGGATGGTTTTTAGTCAACCTAAATTATAGAAAAAAAAATTTCTAAAAATTAAAATCTGGTTTGTCGGGTAAGGATATTCTCTCTCTCTCTCTCTCTCACACACACACACACACACACACACACACACACACACACACACACACACTTGTTAATCTTACAGGAGAAAACCTCCAGTCTGTCAGCCTCCCATCATCTCCAGTGAGTACCATAACTGAGGAAGCCTTCTGAGCCCTGGCCGCATTGACATGCACCCTGGGCAGTCCACTCCAGCCACCACCTATATCTTCAGCACCATCTAGAGGACTGAAAACAAAGATGACAATATCATTAGAATGGTATTGGCATAGTATGGTATTGTATTTTAATTATTCAAATTGTATATGTAAGTGTTTAGTGCATTGAAATGTTTTATTATAGACTGCTCTTTATAAGAAATATGATTCTGTCATAAAACTATCGTAAGACATTTATGACATTGAAATTGATATAGGCCATCCTTAACAATACTCAATGAACTGAATGTCTTACCATGGATCTTTTTTTATTTATTAATATTGGGTTCAGCAGTTTAATTGAAATGACATTTTATGGAAAACATAATCTGCATTTAATCAAAACTAACTTTCAAATTAGTTTTCGATTATTGCCAATAACTTTAAAATCTCTTTGAAAGCAACTTCTGTTTCACCAACAAGTTAGCCTAAAGCAACTATAAACAATAAACCTATTACTTTAAAAGTGGAACAATGTCACACAGTAAAAAACAATATGATTATTACACGAGGAAAAAGCCCACTTTCAACTTCTGCCCTTATCTGTCAAATCTCTGACGTGAATCAAGAATCCCACTTTGTTTTCTACAATATTACAGGAAATGGATAAATCAATAGCAGTCTCTTCTTTCCACTTACTTCCAGCTGATGATAAGACTGAGTTTTAGAGAGCCAATCTGGTTGAGATTGACAGTCATCAATTGTGGGTTGGCTGCAAATAGGTCTTTGGTATCGCAGTGTTTTTCTCCCAGCAGTGTGTTACGTGACAAAGTGTGCACTTCCTCTGCCTACAATAATCAACATGTTGTGTGAATAATAAAATTGCAGCTGGCTTATGTGCCTACCATATATTTACTGGAATGAGGAAGAAGTGTGATTTATTAGAATGTGGGCAGTTTTTTAAAAGTATTTTGCTCTTATGTGAAGGCAGCAATTAATTTGCTTTCCAAATTTTCCTTTTCAAGCTCCACATAAAATTTACCTTTAACATTTAGTCAATTTTTTTTAACAGTTTGGTCATGTTCATCAACCACAAAATGAGAAAAAATTCCCTCATTTGCCTTTCTTAATTATCTTTGACATCAATTTTAATGAGCTTTGTTAAATGATGACAATAAATCTTGTACAGAACATTACTGATATACCAATAAAAATTCACGTAAATGTAATTACACTTCAAACGTATTGTTTGTTGTTCTTATCCAGCTCATATCCAACCTATACATTTAAATGAGCCTGACAGACCTACAAGTGTGCAGCTATGAGTGCCTCCATTAATATGTGATATCACGGGTGTCCATTATGAGACATCATGTGTGTGGAATGCACGTGCAGCCTACCTTAACAGTGAAAACATGCCCAAGCAAGCACTTGAACATGGTGTTCCCATGCTCCCACTTCTGCTGGCTACTCTTGTTGATCTTCCCCTTGGCCTTCCATTTCTGAGATCCATGCCTGATAGTGATATCAAACACATCCCCTGGGCACAGCCTGGCAAAGCCCACCATACCTGGAACACAATCGGGCAAGCTGCGTGACTATCTCAACATCTTGACAATAATTCCTCATAAATTTTAAACACCATTTACAATTCCCAGTTAAACAACAACTACAACAAAATGCTGTCACCAGTCACATTTTAGAACTTATAAATTATTTTGAGAAATTTGTCCATATATCTTATCGAGGAATTAATTCAATAGTGCAGACTGGATACTATTTTCTCATTTTTTTACCTTCAAAGTGTCTTTTCATACATAAGAGCTAGGTTTTGAATATAAATATCATATTTATACATTTCACTTTCATATATGCATTTTTCAAGAGTTACTCTTTGATATAAAGGAAAAATGCCTTCAGCTGATGTAAAGCTTCTTGTAATGCTTTTCCATAAGAGTACATTTACACTCTGAATAAAATGACATCATCATGCAATGCTAAATTGTTACTTTTGATGAAAGTTACAGATTGCAAAATATCCCAATAGGACTGGTTTGATTTCATCTCTACTTTCATCAGAATTTGCTTCTTTCTATTGCTTTATCAGTAGGACTCATCTTCTCACCTTTGATTCTACAATGAAAAGCTCCCATCACGCTTTCTAACTGGGCTTCAATTGCACACATATTCTGGAAAATAAAGAAGGAAAAAAGTTCACAAATGTTGTACACTCATTCAAAAAGAGATAAATGTTTGCTTTTCAAATCACCTTTTATCTCTTTGCCCTCTACACAAAAGTACTATTAAGTGACACATTATTCAACTGTAAAAGTTATGTTTCTCACACTGATGAGTCAACTTTTTCCCTCCTCTGATGCAGAAACATAATTACATTCCTCTTACTTATCTCCTGACACAAAACATGTACATATGCTGTATAACCTACAGCAACCAACACCAATATCCAGGTAAACTGTCAAGAGCAGGCACATAATGAACAAGACTGTGGATTATCATGTTTTCTTTTCTTCTGAATTTCCTGTGTGAAATCACACCTTTTCAATACAGTAATTACTCGATCTTTTCAATCAGGGAAAATTGTGAATTTCACAGATACTGTATTTCTTAAGTCATAGTTTTTTTAAAAATAACAACATTCCTATTGAGTGGTAGTAACAAAGTTGAAAAGCAGGCTATTCTACTCTTTGAAGTAAAAGCACCACAAATGATATACAGAAATATTAATTTTTATGATGTTAAAATAATGATTTTTGCCCATTGAAAAGATAAGACTCTTTGCCCAAATAACCATCAGACTTCTGTGTTGTTACCTGATTGCATTCTTTGAATCCCAGCTTGACATTGGCAAGATGCTCTTTCTGTTTACCAGGCGATGAGATAAAAGCACGTGCCATATGCCGTGCACCATCTCGCAGACGTAATTGCACATGATACTGTTCGTGAAGCTCTTCAATCTGTAACAATGAAAAATAAATAAAAGACCTGGAAGCAATGAGTGTGTGAAAACAAATAGGGGCTCATCATTTATTTATTAAAAATGCAGAATGACAGTCAAACTTGCAAGGCTTCATATTAAAGCCGAAGAATATGTTTTATCACAGAAATTATGAGCATTGTATTATTGTGACAGATAAATAGGAATAAGGGACAAAACAGAGACCTTGACAAATATGACCACATGAATACTTTCCAATTTTTTGAACAATAAAAGTGGAAAGGAAGTTTTCTAAATTGGAGGGACAATTAAAGGTATAAATATCAAAATTTAAACTGCAGATCTAATCAGTGTGTGTGTGTGTGTGTGTGTGTGTGTGTGTGTGTGCGCGCGCGCACACGCGCATTAGAGCACATATCTTCTACATGAAGGTAAAATCCTCATTATCTTGTTCTACAGCATATTATCCTTCCACTACTTTTGTAGTATAGTTTTTAAACATTAAATATAATTTATGATGACAAAAACGGCAAACCTATACTAACCACAAGTTCCTTCCAATGACTTAGATGTTTCACTGACAGATATTGTCTTAAGGACACCATTCCCCCCCCCTTTTTTTTTTTTTTTTTTTTTTTTGAAAATGTAACTTATAATTTGTATATATGTCTTTATATTATTTTCATATGGTGAATAAACAATACAAAAGCTTCAGGAATAAATATTTCACAATAATAATAATGTACTCTGCCCTTGAAATAAGAAAGGCCAAAAAAAAAAAAAAAAAAAAAAAAAAAACATACATTCCACAATTTAACAATTGTTAACACTCTGACTTTGTGTGACTTGTATCCATTTTTACAGTGACACAGAACAAGTGACAAGTCCCCAAGAGGAATAGGAAATATGCAAGCTCATGCAACTCCATACTTCAGTATGGTAATGTGTAAACAGCCACCCCAAGGCTACCGAGCCAGCGTGCATTCTACTCAGTAATACTGTATGACTCAGAGGGCACATTATACATCAACATAAAATTCAAAAGCTGGAACTAATGGAAAATCTGCGGGCCTGTATGCAAAGTACTAGGAGCGGATGCATCCTCAGTCTCAACAACACAATGTAATCTTAATTTATTATTCCTTTTTTTTTTCAAGTTATAACTTTTGGCTTGGAGATGTGTTATTGCTTCATGAATAAGTGATCATGTTATTGATTCTCACCTTTGCTAAATGGAATTCCAGCCTTTTCTTGTATCTTTCTGCTGATTTGATTTGCTGCAAATTAAATGAAATATGTAAGGAATATTGATTTGTCAAACATATGTCATTAGTTGTTACCTGACTTATACAGGGACCAATGGCAATGCCATGTATTTTACATAGAAGTTTCACTAAACTGCATCTAAAATTGCTCCAAAAAAAGGGCTAAATAAAACAAGCATGATGAAACCAAATGCAGAGTGTGGCATGAAATTATTCTCATCACGTAAAAAGAAATATTTCTATGGAATAGGCAGGTATGTTGTGGTAAACCAAAAGGGAAATACAGATAATTCAAGCCAAATCATCCATATCTTTTCTACATGCTGGAACAATCTCCCACACTCTCTGGTGCCTCTGAGGCAGGAGCACGAAGAAAATAAAGATATAATATTACAGCAGAGATGCATTTATCAAACCAGATGCTATCATTTAATGAAGGTGTTGCTCATAGAGGTGCCTGGCACTTCAGTGGAAGCTGTAACATTAACATGATATCCCCCCTCCCCCTCAACCCTTTTCCCCATATGAAAATATGGAACTTGTATGAGACAGGGAAAGATGTACACCTACAGACTCACTGCCACCAACAGAAAATGTAAAGACGAAAGGTGCATGCCAAGATCACTGAATACGCTGCTAAAATTGAAAAGTTGTTAATCAAGCAAAATCCAAATGGCAGTGATGCAAATGTAGAGAAACATGCATGGGAACACATAAAGGTCAGGTGATTGGGCTCATAATGCATGCTTATATATGTTCTTGACTTAAAATTCAAATGAAGAATGCTCCTTGGAATCAATGTGAACTTCACAATGGCCTATCTTAGTTGCGGTAGTTGACATAGATCTTTCCATTCAATCTCCATATTTAAAGCATATGTAAAGGTAGTTCTTGTGAAAAAACTGAAGACACAAGATAATGGCAGTACAACAACATCAATAATGGTTTTCAAACTGCTACGTCCATGCAAGCATTGTATCCTTAAGTGACAGATTTGAATGAATTAGAGTTAGTAGAATTTATGCAGCAAAAACAGTTATTAATATGTCCCCATGAACAATAACAAAAAAGAAAAAACAGTATGACCAACAAAAAGAAAGAAAAGAAAGTGATATAAGCAAGTAAAATGGACAATGAATGCCAATTACCTTGTCCATTTCATGAAGTTTTGCCTAGAAAAGAAAGTTGGCTCTTTAGGGTAGGTAAGACAAAAAAAAATAGATATAGAGAGTAATTCCGCATGGTTCTGGGCAATTTCTAAACTTCTTATCTGTAAGTACTTTGGGTAATAAAAGGAAAAAATGTCAATAGGTTATAAACATTTATACTCTGCATCTATTTTTTCCACATCCCAAATGACATTAAGATTCTTTGGACAAAAAAAAAAAAAAAAAAAAAAAAGAAGAAAGAAATTACCTAAATAACAAGCAGCATATACTGTATCCATTTTTAAACATTATTATTCAACACCTGATAATATTAGAAAATAAAAAAGATAAACTGAAACAGAAGGGTGGTCTTTTGTAGTACACTATTAAGTAAACAATTTGAATAAACAGGCATTTCTTGTTAACAACATAAAAAGGTCACAAAAATATTACAGGTGGAAATCTCGTGGTGAAATATTGGCAGGAACATCATGTTTCTTGACGAAAGCAACTTAAATTTCAGCTTTCAGGTCATAACCTGAACCTTGCATTAGGTCCCCTATTCTTATCAAGTTAAATCTTTCCCTCATTTCTTTTTTCCTGTCAAAATGAAAATTCTCTGTACATTATCTAGTATTTCCAAAAAATGGGTTTTCATGACACAGGATTCTTCGGCTTGTTTAATGGTGAGAAAAATGGAACCAGAAATGCAATGCAGTGAGACTATTAGCTTAGACCCTTATAAAATGCGTCTTGATTGCTTACTTTTCAGGGATCAATACTTCAGGAAAACTTCAAAGAGAAGATTATTGGAGCTTAGCAAGAATAGATAGTATGTCAATAACAACTGTGAAAATGAGTGATGAAAATTGCCATATTCATCATTTTATGTCACATGAACTGTGTAGCCTAGACCATTTCATGTGACAATTATAATGTTCAGTATGAAAAACTTATTCTAAGCAAAAATAATCAATTAAACGCAAAAAAACTTTCAACAAGAGTTTCAGTCATGCCAGATATCAGTTATATCCACCACATAACTTGTGTCAAAATTCTCACCACTATGAAAAAGAGGCATATTCAATTTTAATAATTTGATGAAACGCATTCACCAAATCCATGTATAGTAAATTAGCTGCATGTCACAAGAATTTCCCTTAGGTTGACATGAAGCAAAATCCCCAATGATTTCTTTTCCACATCTCTTGGTATCCATGGAATCAAATGAAGGTTAAATAATCATGACAGATGAGAGTAATACAAAAGCGGACTACTAACTGAGCTGCAGCTGCATCAGTTGGATTATTTTGCTCACCTGTGCAGAAGAGGAATTTGTGATTTCCTCAGACTTATTCCTCAAGGACTGGACATCTTCTTCTGTGGCTGCTATGCAATCACTGAAATGAAAAAAAAAATACTGGTAATAATCAAGAGACTAAAATAATGTGTAATGAGTCTGAGCAAATGTACCCCTNACCCCCTCTCCCCCTTTAAGGTTCCTTCAAACAATAAGGGTATATGACATGAATTCAACCAACCCCAAAATGCTAATGTTGACATTTTTGCCTGCATTTTAATATTTGTCTTGATTATATATTTTTTTCTTTTTTTCATTTCACAAAAGGCACATATTTATTTAATGCCAACTAACACTTTTGTCCTCAATTTGATGTTTGGCTGATATAAATTTTCATTTCACAAAAGGCACATATTTTTCAGCTTATCAGGGAAATCCTGGACAGACTATGAAAGATTTATGAACAACAGAACCAGGTGTTGGCTCTACATCTCGATCTGCTTTCTTCAAGGTCCATCCACACTTTCAATACAAAATGGGTCTCCAACATTTCCTTATTAAAAAAAAAATGACTGGGCCCCAGCCCAGCAAAAAGCCACCTGATTAAAGACTACATCTACATCTATTATTTTGCAAAGGTGACCTTTTGGTAAACAGGAGACAGACACAATCTGACTAGTACACAATCTAGGAGTAAACAGAATGTTATGGAACCCATTCCATCTTGTCAAGTGTGAACAGATATTCAGAGAGCCAACCTCAAACTTCATTTTCTAGAGTTCCTCAGGGGACTGGATTAATTTAGCCATGAAAAGGGCCAAAATCAATTTCACAGTGTGACAGACAATGGAGGCATTAGACATAATTCCTCTGCACATCATTTCACAAAGGAACTCATTTCCAAGACATGTAAGTCTTAAGAACAGAATTCTGAACATATAATTTCACTGCTGTTATTTCATAGATGAAGGAAGAGGTGCAAAATAAAATGAAATAAAATAAAATAAAAGAAATATTTCATTTCACTCTTAGAAAATATTCCACAAAAGATCTTTCCTCAAAATAAACGTCATGTCCTGTTTAGTTACTAAGACTCAACTTCATAATTAATATGTTTCAAGCAATCTTAAACATAAAAAAATGTCACACGATGATACCCTGATATCCATCAATAATATCTTACCGTAGACCTTTTCTGATGCTCTCAAAGATGACAACTGTCCTATTGGGTCTAGGCACTTTTGGCATGTTAGGTAGCTTTCGAAAACTCTGACTCAAATTTGTTGTGCTTTTAAAGATATGTTTCCGTTGCAGCCGCGGGCTGCGTAATGTCTCCCCCAGGACAGGCTGATTGAGCATGCCTGCGAACGAAATGCTCCGTTGTAGATTGCTGTCTGCCATCTTGTGGTGCGAGTCGTTTAATGCCATCACACTACCATAGTGCTTGTCGCGTTCATTTATCTTCAAATACATTGGTTATCGATGCTGGAAAATAGAGAAAGACAAAAATCAACCAAGATTAATGCCCTGATTCTAAGCTTATTATTTCACAGACGAAAAAAAATGAGGAAAAAATGGAAAGACGTTTTTTGCAATTTGACAATCACAAATGATGTAAATCCAATATAAGTAGCCTTCATGCATATTTTCATCGCAGTGGAGATCAGAAATTTAATCTCCAAGCATGACGTTCTGAAGATTATCTGTTATAGAAATCAGTAAACTCTGTGGATTTGGTCAATAATAGAAATCAGGAAATTTTCCTCAAGTTTTTCTGATAAATATTGCAGTAAAGCAAAATGTAAACAGCAGAATGTAAACATCACATGCTGCGGCTTGCTTTACCCGTATCTAATACTTAAGGAAGTAAGTAAGAGAGTAATGTGATATATGTATATTCATTACGTGTCTGATACAAAAAGCCAACCACTCATTGTGAAAGCATTTGGTGGAGTCATGTTACTTTATGTCTGCATGCTCATTTTATTATAATCAATTAAGGTAGCCTATAATTTCCTTTGTCAGCAGTAAACCACACTCTTTTTCAAGCAATAACCATCCTATGCATTATGTCACTTCATACCATTGAAAAGAAATGGCTACAAAACTTGAACTCATTTCCAGTAGCTAAAAATTTCTAAGTAAAAAATGTGAAAGTTCACCTGATTCTGATCTCTGCCTACAGCATCAAGAGCCAGATCTATTCTGGGAGCTCTAAGTTGCAAAATACAAGGACTGCCTTTTATATATACATAACAAACTCTGCCTCTTTACCTTAACGACTGCAGTTAGCCCTTGACTCATCAAATGAAACTCACTCACACAGGCTAACTGTTTTAATGTGGCCTCTTATCATCCAGGCCATAAAATAACGCCCAAGCTATCTTCCCCCTTTTTTTGCATGAATGATAATAATTCTGCAGCATCATTTGATAAAGCTAAATATGACATGAGGCATGTACATATGTTGAATGTAATAGGTTCTGCAGCCTTAATGGAGAAGGTCACAACACCCGAGGATTTAAAATACTTGACCATACTGCAGAAATCAATACTTCACTGCTTTAAAATGGTGTAATTCTATCAATATTTTGATAAACACTCCATGACCGAGACTAATTAACACTTAAAATGGATAAAAATGTTATTACTTCACCCATGGGGCTCACTGATTGCTTCAGTAATAAATTCTTAAATGGTAATCCCTTGTCAACTTTTTATGAAGAGCAGTGTTGAATATATATGAGTCTGGGCCATTTCACAAAAACTTTCATTTATTCATTTATGTTTTTATCTCTCTAACTGAACTTTTCCTTATGTCTTTTTAATTTAATTGGTAAATGTGGTAAACAATTTAAGGAAGGTAAAATGATATCACTGAAGGCAAAAATAATATGTGAAATGGCCTGACATATATTTTCAAATTTATATAAACCATTCTTAATGAGAAATCATTATTTTATGATACTATCCCCAGAACTTAAAGTTTAGACAGGAGGTATTTCTCTTCAATACTTGATTTGTTTCTAAGAGGAAGAACCAACTTATAACCAAGTAACTTAGTATTACTAGTAAATATTTGGTAGAAACACAGATACTTCAACCTGCTTTAATAATATTTTCCAAATTCATACCAAAACAAATATAAGTCTTGAAATAAAATTACCTGTTCAAAGCTAATTAGACAATGAATTGAACCCATCAATCGATCAGATTTATACAACAGTAGCTTGACAATGGTGACAGGCATTCTTGTGAATGTATCTTACCTTTGTCACGGTCCAGCACAGTCAACTAAAAATTTCATGCAACTTTCCTTTTACACCACTACCAGGAACATACTCCTCATATGACAGACACAATGTGAACAAAGCTATGTAAACAACTTCAAATTCCTCAATGTCAATCGAGTGACGTATCTAGATAGATCCTTGGTCAATCCCTTTCATAACATTGCAATAAATATCTCCATGGCAGAAGCAGCACAGGAGAGAACTGTACAGCACACATCCTTGATGATTAAGAGTGGCTACTCTGTAGGTAAAGTACAGTAATTAAATCACAAAATCCTTATGGCAGTCCAGGAAGTGTTTCCCTCTATGGCTCAAGAATGTGTGCCCGACCCCTCACTAACCATGTAATAATACCCATATCTCAGGTGATAAAGGGTGTTAGAGGAGAGAATAAGGTACACTGATGGTTACCAATGTGGCAGACGTGTAATTAGTGCAATTAAGAGTCTGGGCTGAAGGTCATAGGTCAGATTCCGTAACCCCATACCTTTAGGTCAGATAGCCTTTGTGAGTACACCAAAGGTGTGTGTCAAGAGCCTTAAAAGTTCAGTAGAATACCATATTTTATGGGGATATTTCTACTCCTTAAAATCAATGTAATACATACAGAAGTGGGCAATCAAAATTCCCTTTATAACACTTGATGGTTATTTAGCTTCGAGTAACTATTGGATCTTTACATAAAATAGTTTGAAGGTCAATCTGTCTCCAAATATTACGAAACCCGACCTATCTGATTATGAAAAAACATGCTGTGAAATCCAATAGACGTTGAGGGAAAATTCATTATTAATCTTAAAAGCCATCTACCTTTGACAGTTAAACCTGGTAGATAGCAGAGTCATAAGCCACATATTTCCTACTTTCCCTGATATATGATAAATGTTGCTATTTATAATTCTGAGTTATTCTCATTCATTTAAATAGCCCAACTTTCTCTAAAGGAAGCTCTCTCAAAGGGCCAGAGGAAGTTTCACAAAAGCCCTATTCAGTAAAAAATAAATTAGTCACATTTTGACCCAGGCTAAATCTGTATTAGTCCACTTAAAATCAGGATATATGAGGCCAGTTACACAAAGTAGCCTCATTATTTGGATCAATAAAATTTATTAATAGCCACATTTCTAGGCACCACAATAGATTTATCCTGGGATAAAGTTGACCAAAATGTTCTCTCCTAAACTTTGGACCAACTAAGGTTCTTTTGTGAAACTAGGCCTGCATCTTAGCCTGAAAACTTTTGTGCTAAGGTGAACATTTAATCCAATAATAAGATAATCCCCATAGTTAATCCAGAGTGCTAGGTTACCTGAAAACTGCACATTGAACAACAGGTGGGCAATGAAACATTGATGTCCCACAGAAGTTACCACATTGAACAGCAACATAACTGTACCAGGTTATTCAGCATCCACTTTCATAACATCTAACATGTACTAATGAGGCCCTAGACTGGGTGGTCAATATTTAATGAGCTTGAAGCCATGAATCGACCAATACACCAATACCGACCAACTTGTAGTCCGTGTATTCCTGGCTACTGGGCTGCGGCACCTGCAAACTATTTCTACCTGTTGCGATAACTGCTGCAGACTGTCAAACCCGTGAAGATATCCTCTGCATCATGTGCACTCCGAGCTTCCACAAGATAAGACTAGTAACAGATTCAGAGAATCCAGCAACTTTCAGGAAATCAAGCGATATTATACACTAGAAATAAACCCTCCACATGCTTAATTACATGAACACATGAAATATCAAAAATAGCTCATCTGGGTAATTATGAGCACTAATGGGTATCGCAGGCTCTGAAAAAAGATCACCAAAGATCAGGCCACTTTGCAATGTCTGCAATGATAGGTCTACCACAATCCAGGCCACAAGAATCTTGGAGCCAGATATAACAGGAAAAAAAATCAGTCATTAATTTTGATCATGCCCACAAACTTCCTCAAGCATTAATCTAAAACATGATATTTTGTACTTGAAATATAAGAAATGAAATATTCTAAGGGTGCTCATCACAAAATGTAAGTAAATATATTTTACTGTCTATGTCTACAGTGTGTGTTTTGTGTGTGTGTGCGCGCGTGTGTGTGGGGGGGGAGGAGGGGAGAGAAGACGTAAGCCAAACACTTCAGCTTAAACCAATGCCAACAATTTACCTGGGGAGAAACCTCACTGGGGTCAGCAGTATTTAACCCAGTGGGTGATATAGGAAAAGATCATCTTATCTTAAATGCCCACCTGTACACCAGCACCAAACACTACACACTCAGTGGGATTAGCCTTTACTTAGCACATGTATCTAGGAGCTTGCATATAGAAAGACTGGCATAACCCATTCCTGTAACCACACAACAAACCCCACTGAAAATATGGACTTTGTTCTTCTTTTAATAGCTCTGTTCTAACACACAGAGGACTGCCACACACACACTGCACAATATGTCCTATTGTACGTTCCTCTCCACCATAATCTCACAATAGTTGGGCATTATAATCTTATTGATTCCCAGAATAGAAATGGTGTATCTTCATAAGTGAGTGGTGCCATGATGGAGCAAATTCCCTACCTGATCAATCTTTCCCATCAGACAATTTACATAGTATAAACTGACCCTGGCACTGGCTGTTTGTGGGGACTGCAGCTTCCCATTATCTTGTCACTTTGGATTTATTCTCTTGAAATTGGTTTTCACTATCCTTACAACCTGGAAACTCAAATTAGCTCAAAATGACAACTTCCTGAAAAGATGCTCCTGTGAATTATGGTAACCAATAATTGATTTGATGCTGTGAATTGCCCATCATTGGATTGCTACAACTTATGAATAGGACACAAATAACAATATATCTGCAACCCATCAGGCTTTTCACTTACTAATCACTTGGAAGTCTTTCATCTAGAAATTGGTTTCACAATGGTAATAATTTGTCCCTATCTTTTTACACTAAAAACTTGCAACATCTTGATCTGAACTTCATTGTTAAGTATCTGCAAGCAACTCCATTCCGTCTCTGCAAGTGTGACACCTGCTTGAATTGTATCACTATACAATGAACACTTTAAATAATTGTTTGTGACATATCAATATCTTGTCTCCCAGAATTTCTAGTTTTCTGATACTTGTTACAGTGAAGAGTGGCCCTCAAAAAGATTGTAACCTCTCATCAACTCGTCAGAGCTGTGACAGGACCACATGCTCCAAACAATACCCACTGACAAACTGCACAAAGTAATAATTGTTAGTAACCTATCACTTCTAATCACAGTGAACTCACCCCATTCCCGACATGAGCAGGCTACAAATGAGACCAGACAACAGTAGCTTATAGTATCTCACCATCTTGCCATCTTCAATTTTCCTTTGTGTCTCCTCAGTATATGTCAAGGCATATTTCCAAGGAACTTGTGACGGGTTAACTTGGTGCACCATATGATTACAATTATTTTAACTCAGGAAGACATCTTATCCCTCTACTTCCCTGCACACCACCAATGTAATATTCAAGTAAGATAGCCAATATTGGGTTCCCACTTTCGCAAATTGTAACCACACAGTCTGCTGATTAAGTAGGCACACAAAGTCACATTATCACGACTTGACTGAAAATGAGACCAGAGTCCAGACCATTTAGTAGAAGTCTGGTCTCAATAAAATATGTCTGGCTGTGTTTCTAGTTCAGAGGAAACAGATAAGAATGCTGCAACAAATTAAAAATTACCCCCCCCCCTCCCCAAACATCTCATTTGAAAAGAAAAAAAATCAAAAAGCTAATCTCTATCAAGTACTTGTTCTATGGAAACTACCAAAACTCCACAAGGCCAGACCAGTAATTACAAGACACCAACTTGAATACTGTCCAAATCCCTGTCCAAGGATAGTACAGATGATTGTTGGATAACATTTATACCCCGTTCACACTACAGTTGCCAAAATGCGCATTTCTATAATTCGGATTTTTCGTAAGGAATCCAATTCGGTATTGCGTTCACACTCGCTAAGCGAATCCAACTCCCACGTTGAAAATTTCAGGTTTAACTTCCTGTTTTGAACACTCGCGCATGCGCCGCACAGGAAATCTTAAAATATCAACAAATATTTGTGACGACAAATGCAACTCAAAAGACATTCCAGCATTCTTGAGAAGTATAAGGTGGCAAAATAAGTTTGTTTCCTCATGTTGTAGTGAGTGGTGACCTCCAAATACGTTTGGTGCAATCGCTAAAGTAATAAACCAGCGTTCATAGATACCCGCACTTATCTGCACACATGCGCAGTAAGATCTGTACAGGTGTCGATTCCGGTAAGTTATCCGGATCGCGCTTAGAAATCCACCTCGCTTGCAGGATTTTGAAAATGCGCATTTTCAAAATCCTCTTGCGTTCACACTACTGCATTTATTCGAATTGTGACCTAATTCGCAACTTATCCGGATAACTGAGCGTAGTGTGAACGGGGTATTAGTCTAGTCAAACCCTTGTTATGATAAAGAAGCCTAGACCACCACAGAACTTAAACCTTACATAACAAGTCTAGTCAGTACTAAGGCTTCGTTCACATGCAAAGTCTATTTTCTAAAAATCTATCTTCTTAAAGTAACTTATAGTAACTGGCTCGCGCTGCCAGTAATTACGCCGCGGGATATTCAGGGCACAGACCGTGATCATAAGACATACCACAAATAGAAAATAGAATTTAGAAAATAGACATTGCATGTGAATGAAGCCTAAGACTAGGTTCCCAGCCCTAGATTGATCTAACAGGATCGGTCCATTTCCATGGGGTTTCTCACTAAATTGCTTTCAGCTTAAGTGACTTAGTTGTCTGGGACACCTACCAAAGCTGCTACACGACAGTTAATTAAGTACCCCCTATCAGCTTCAGTAGGGGTAACAGGCATCTAAGCCACTTAAGTTAATTGCAATTAAGTGAGAATCCCCTTGGAGATAGTTCAATCCAAAGTAAGTATGGGAATGGTCTCTAAGATCATAACAAGTCAATCTGACCAGCACTGACACAGACTTCAGTTGGGATGAAAGTACACCTGTCTTTGTAGGCCAGTCTGTCAGTCATTGTCAGGCCAGCCTGGACGAAACCAGTGCCCATTTTATCATTATGTATCATGATACAGTCTAGTCTGTGCCACACCAATGCAACACATCACACCATCAATAATGTCCTTTATACCCAACCTGCTGTCCATTGTTTGCTGGACACTGATGACCGCTGGTCTCCTCATGCACCAGACCCATAATAGTTAGTCCTGCTGGGAGTTCAAGTGACAACGATGGGTGAGAATGACATTTATAATCTGACAGCTAATAGATTCCATGACAGGTAAATAACTGAGACACCTGCAATGATACCTATCCTGTGTAGTTCTTCTTACCTGGTAACTTTCTATTCAAGTATTGATTGATGAATTTTGGACTTGTGTACAACCTAATTCTGACAATATCATCAACACCTGATGGAACAGACTCTCCAATAATGCCAACTGTAACTGTAGGTTTTCTCAATATGATACAATGGCTGTCTGGGCTCTGTTTATCAACCAGCTCTTACAGCCTTACTTGTTGAAATTAAACTGGTGAATAACTATGGAATACCTACAAAGTAAACACCCCACCCACTGGGAACTGATACAGGTCCTGTTGTCCAGAAGTCGTGTCCAATATCACTATTGTGTAGACACACACATACATATACAAACTCTCTTTCTAATAATGTGACTCACCCTCATGTACCCGTCCACTACTACCTTCAGCCTAACCTAAAGAGCTAACATTCACTAATCCATACCAGTGATTAAACCCTGGTGACGTAATGACACCAAGTCAGGAATCACAAAAGCAATTAAAATGACATCTAATTAACATCAAAATGGATTCCTGTCATGTTTTGGTAAAGACTCACTGCCGACCACAGGTAACTTCAATGAAATATGTAAATAGACTTACCTGACCTAAATACCAAATACACAGAACTCATTAGAGATAACTGCTTGTAATGTTAACACTTGCGTAATATCACTTTTAAATCTTTCATCTACTTCGTCATTAATAAACGCCACCTCCACTTTTCACAGGCAACTTTGTACCTTCTTTTTCATGAATTGTCCTTACAAAAACACCAAAGAACAACATCAACATTCCTTGTGTTTGCTTAACTGTATGCACTTTATTGAACTATTCAATAATCAATCACTTTTGTGACCAATGGTGCACTTAACTTTTCATACGTGCTGACACAGCTGCCCTTGCAACATTTAAAAGCCGCCATTAAAATATATATGTGGCAATTATGCCATATCTTTAATATATCTGTATACCATGAATACATAACATACCCAGCCTCCAGTAAAATATATATAAAGCCATTAAATGCCAAACAATGCTGTGGGCCTTTTATGCATATGTATTAATGGATTGAACATCAAGGTAACATAAAGGCTTGATTAAATGCTGGTATAAATTCATTCAAATAAGCACATTTACCCTGAACATTACATTATCATACTGAAATTTTTCCAGTGCATGGATATGACATTGGTTTCATTGATTTGTAGAAAGCTGACCTCAAGTTGAGGAAGAAAGAGGGTCACAAGTCTCTATGACGCATCCTTTCCTTTCAAACTCTGTAAGGAGATCAATGGACAACCTCACTCAACTAAGGATTCCATTTTCAAAAGTGATTTTCATTTCCCAATGATGAAATAACTTTTTCTCCTAATAAACCTAAATATGACAGCAAAGTCCATTCAGCCATATGGGAGATTCACATTTCAACTTTCATTGCTTATTTATGTAGTCATGGAAAACAGCACATTATAATAGTTACTACAACTGGTATTTCCTGTTATTTTTTCAACTGAACATAACACACTCTTCCATTTAGTTTTTGTCATGTAAACTTACTCCAACTGCAGCTGTTGACGGGTTTCCTGCCAGACAAATTATAACACTCCACCACGCCATCAGTACTGAAAGTGCCTCCAAACCCATCCACAAAAACCACCTTACAAACCTTAATTAAATTCCCAAATACTGTTCCAAGACGAGTGCAGCTTTTCCGTCAACTGAGCTGAACATTGATCGAAGGCACAAAGATGTTTTTTCAAACACCAGAAAGCCAAAGCTGGACTATAGCTGCAAGCTCCGTGCTAGCTGCTGCTGCTGCTGCTGCTGCCATGGCCATTAGCATAAGCCCAGTGGATGAGTCACGACCCAAGACCTTTCCAGTCCTGGTGCAGAGATGACATTCCAAAATAATTGCTATCCCTGGAGCTACTTGGAGTCTTCACTGCCTGACAAATGATTAAGCTCACATGCAGATGGCAGGAGACAAACGAGTGGCAGACATACATATATACATACAGCTGCTCAACATAAAAAGAAAATGCTGATTATTGCCCTTCCTTTTTGCTTGCAAGTTCACTTAAAGTTACAAAGATTTGTTGTTGTCAAAGCAGCCTTCAGAAACATGAGCAAACTTTGAAGGACAAGGTTGATATCTTTTATTGTATCTTCTCCAGTCAGAGTGGAGACATACCTGAACGTATACATGATGTCTTCTTATCTGATCATAAACTAAAGAATATTTGCAACCCTACTCCAGTTATTTCATTTTACAACCCATAATATACCGAGTGCAGGTGGCAATTTGCGTCGCATTTGGGACTCCGTAAAATAACAAAGCTTGTTTTCTGCTAGACAAATGTTACTTTGGAAAATATCATTATCATTAAATTGTTTTACTAAGTTGAACTTCAGTCAAAATAAAAGAAAAACACCCATCTGGTTAAACATTTCTAGGGACACATTTTCTTCTGGTTCTTGGTTCTTATGAACTGATTTTATGACTGAATGTCCATTCTCCTCTGGGGTCAAAAGGTTTGCATTAAGAGGAGATGCCTTATCTCCCTGAGTGAAGCAGACGCCCAACTTGAGTTAAATTTTAATCTATTAATGACACAGCTTGAACATGATCCGCCCCTTTGCCACTGCAGCAACAGTATTACAGAAATGGTTTCTAAATGATGGATGTTTCTCTGGCTTTGCCTTTCCAGCTTTAAAAGTGTCATAAATCAAACCCACACTTTTGGGTCTTTGATCTACATAAACCAGCATTTAAAACATTTCCATGCAAAATAAGCAGCCCAAGAATACACACAGCTTCTATCAAATTACAAGCATATTATTTGCACTAAGACCCAAATGTCAAGCAAATAGCACTTGGAATATTGATACAATTTGGTCAGCCTGTTATTATAAAATCGAATAAATCTATATTTTGAATGGGACTGCAGTGTTAAGAGTAGAATACAATATTCAGGTAATCAATTGCTTACAAATGGCTCAACTTCAATATCAATTGTGAACCCTAAACATGACCCTTAATACAGTGTGATAGAGGCACAGGTCCATCATTGTTCCCTGCCCTTCTCACGTGAACCCACCATAACAGATGAATAGCCAAGATATTCAACATAATTCTACACTTCTGCTCAGTAGGCATGAACAAAGATTTCTATCATTTGCCACCACAGAAAAAAAACATAACCCACAAGGTTGTTAAACTGTATTTGAGGTTGTCTTTTAGATTTCTGACAGCTGCTAGGGTTCTTGACTTGACAGTATTGCTTACAAGCTGTGACTGTCCTTCATTTTAGACATATAAATATTCTGCCAAAATAATATTCAGAAAAACTGACTATTTTCAGCCAATCTTCTATTGCCACAACTACCAACTTGGCCCTGTAACTCAATAAGTGCAGCACCTATAGAGAGGTTGTGAAGAAATAAAAGTGCCAGGCATTTAAGAAAGCTAGAAAACAAATGTTGAAAGAAAGGGTTCAATCGAATACCATAGTGATAAGAACACACAAAAATGCAACCCCTCTCAAACACCTAGAGATTTTACAAAGTTTTATATTTAAATGCCCTAATTGTTCGCTTTCCTTTACCAAATGACTGTCAAGAGGATGCGCATGCAACTACTTAAGGTCTAAAATTTTTTATCATCTCAAAATGTTCTTTTCTTGACACATCAATCCAAGTGGCTATTCACAATTAGCCATGGTCCAATAGGTTGTGGCATTTCTATCAAGAGATCAAACTTCTGAGCATTGTGTACTATTTGATCAGTGCATCCCTTTCTGTGGAGCGCTTCTAAATTTAACTCTTCCAATCTTCTAAGAGTATTACATTTAAACCATCAAGAGTTCTCAATCAGAAAGCTGATTTCTGCCAGTTTGCACAGGGACCTAATTCCTAAAGGAAATTCAATTTTACCTAAACTGCCACAGATCCCAATTCAATTACACCAGATCATATTTCTGTTGTGAAGTATATTAAACCAAATGCATACATTTGCCGGGCGGCTAAATAAACTGCTTTACCCTTTCTTGTGACATACTACTTGTGTTCTAATCACTAAAAGAATGGGGCCACTAAAAAAGAATTATGCCTGGCAAAGGATAGAATTCTTGACTCTGAACAAACAGACTGCACAAGAGTTTAAAATCAGCTGAGCTTTTCGAAACATAAGGATCCTTCACTAAATCAGAATCAAAGGCTCTTTCATCTACTCTTCTCTTTGTTCAATGTATGTCAAATATCTTGGCTCTGAAGCCGACTTTCATCATTGAAAGAATATAAGACATTAATATTACATCCGGCGTTAATTATATACAAAAGTAAACTGTTTCTAAATGGACTAAACATGTTTTCTACCCATGAGGTGTGTTGCCTCGATCCTTCAACAGGACCTTCCATGAGTGACTTCTCTACCTCTCTGATATTAAATATGTTTCTAAAGACTCTTTAGAACCAATTAACTTTTTTATCATCTTTATACTAAAGACAATGAAAAACCTATTTATTTATTAACAAATACTCTTTCAAAACAAAATCTTTAAGGAAGTTCACTAAATTCTATCTGACCCTCTGATAAGCAAAAAAGAGTTGCTGATAATCAATTTTTCGAGTGTACTCAGTAACATTAACGACAGGCACAACTGTAAACAAACAGGAACATAATTAGTAACATGATGGCAAGCTGAGACCTGTAGACTTAAACATACATCCCCATAATTTATCATAACAGCTTGAAATTGTAATAACACCAAACACTAATAACTATCCACAAAATTCTCATCAGAAAATGATTTAGAGAAAAGCTAAGGATACAAGCTAGACTATGAAGTCCGTTTAAGGTAAGTTTCAAACTAAAATCATGATCGTAAGTTGACACAAAAGGTAAGATACACTCAAAAATATTTATATATAAATGCCTTGTATAATTTGCTCCTTGTAGAACCAAGTATATTGCAATGCCATAACCTCTAAAAACCAAAGATTACTAAGAACACATTTTCCATCTGTCTTTTGACACTCTTGCTATAAAACCTAACAGAAGCAAATATTATATGAAATGACAATAGGTCATCTAAATTATTAGGAAATGCATAGTTGCAATATCTCTCATAGTAACCATGCATATATCTAATCACTAACAATGCACAGATAAATTCGTAATCTATGACCACAAATATATCAGTATCTGCTAGGCTCATTACACTGAGTGACCTGTGGCAGCTGGAGACATTTGAATCTGTTGTTCCAGGTGGAATGCATTCACCTGTATATCTTCGCACAGATGGAAATTTCCTTCCTATACTACATGGACAGGTGAAAAGTTCTCAGTCATCAAATAGGGCTGCCCATTCAGTAGGGATATCAATACCCCCTTACTCTATACACACACGAGCAGACTGAAGTAATTTCTTGTTTCATGTGACATGGTAAAAATCAATAATTTACAAAGACTCCTCATAAAAACATTTTAAATGTATGCCTAGTAGCAATTCAACAAAAAACTGTGTGCATCTCCATCAATGCATGGCATGGCATGGCAATGCATGCTATCTAACACAGCTAACTGCAATATCAAATGTAAAACTACTAGCTGCTACTGTAATAAGAACCATTTGGCACGTTTCCGTTCTTATAATGAAACAATATCCAACAATATACCGACGAATAACTAAAACATATAAAGCCATAATTTGCCATACCATAAAGAACCCAAGCGTGCCTCTTCAATGGCAACTTCATGAAACGCCTGATAATATCATCAAACAACAGCGCAGTACTTAGTAGTGGTACTAATATATTTTATTATGGGCATGCCTCTCAGTCTCATCTCAATCTGTTTAAAACGTCTATTTTAAAACGTATATTACAATGTACGCTATTTCCACGTACTAAAGTCACCGTAAACCTGTTGATAGTATTCACTCTCAATACTTACGCATCCCATCTTGGTTACCACGTGCGTAGAACCAGGTCGTAGTAAGCTGCTGTTTACACTTGATTCACAGCTTGTCTCCCTTGATCACTCATCCTTGTCACCAGCGAGTAGATTGATTAGATTTCACCCCTATCTTCAGAGGAAATATTCCTTAATAACACAATTCTAGATCATGATAAGCAAGACTTATAGTTCTAAATTTTCATACTGCAAATACAGAGATTTTTTACATTATAAAACCATAGTGTCAAGGGTTCTATTACAAAATATTCAATTGTGATTTATTCATAAATTAGGTATCCTGTCTACTAAAATCAACAGCCCGGAAGCAGGTGCGTGCTTTTGTAACGGAACGTATGATTGGTCATGTCAGGATATGCTATTATATGGAATCTGGCACGAAACTGCAATAATGTACACGGAGAAGATAAACGTTTACCGAATCAAAGTATAATGTGTCCAACATATTGAAGCTCCATATCAATTTATGTCAATATTCTATTTTTTACATTGGCTATTGGCATAAGTTTCATTTCGTCTATTCTTTGTTTTGCCAAACAATGTTACTTCCGGGAAATTCGATTTGAAGGCAAGGTGCCACAGTCCGAAGCTGTCGTTAAGAACATTATTGCAGCAATGTTTGGACTAGCTGAACACGGTATAAGTTGCACATGACATTCTGGCTGTATCAGTGGATCTTTTTAAAAGCTGTGGTTGTCTGGCATAACTGAAATCAAATAATGTTAAACACATCGAGTAGGGGCATTGAGTGCTGCTTTGTTAGAATCTTAGATTTCGCCTAGACACACAACTTCATAAGACAGTGATCAATTGATATCATTTGATATTTATTTTTATATTTGTTAATCAGTTTGATTATTGATCTGGTAATCAGATAGTTACATCTAATTTTTAAAATGTTCCTACGTGTTTTGTTTGTGTTATTATTTCGTCATGTGTTTCATTTAGTTATACAGTCACTTTATTATTTCTCAGAATTTTCTGATCTCCACTTACTTTCTTTTACTCTGACAGCAATGAATAACTCAGATGTGTCAGATTTATTGTAGACAGTGCATTTTTTCAGAGTACTCAGGCTTGACACAACCCCATCAGAATTGATGAGAAACCCTGGGTATGCAATGCATTATTTTATTTTAGGCAGTCATCAAGAGCCCATGACCCTGGGGTCCCCTGCCTCTAGTCCAGGGGGTCACCACCATCCTACACCATCACAGTTCTTACCTGGCTATCTGCTGGGAGATGCCTCTCCAATGCCTGCCTCGGTAGGTCATAGTTTGTTTTGTATTGATGCAGGGATTTTTTCCTTATTTTTTCTGTCTTTCCTTATCCTGGACACTCTATGATTATCAATGGTAGAAAGAATCCATTGCCAAGCATGTTCCACAGAAAATACCCAAACTCAGTCTAGAAAACTGCTCTCTAAAGTGGATTTCTGCTACTAAAGTGGATTTATGCTAGCTAGTGTCTGTAGTCACAAATTTAGGTGAATTTTAGAATTAAAAAAAAGCTTTAAAGCTGGCAAATCTTTAAGCTTTCTTAATATAATCTCGTGAAGCTACAAACTATTCACATTGAATATGAATCCACGGAAACTCAAACTATGACATATGTTCTTCCGCTCAGTTGCTATATCTTATTATCTCTAGTATACTGGTTTCTGTTTAAGCCTGCTGGGCCTAGACTATGGTCAACTACCAGTAGCAGCAGTCCACCTAAAACAACATCAAGAGCCTCTTCTTGGACAACCCCACTAAGTCCACATGGGGGACATACACCAAGAACTGACAGCAGGAATAGGTAGCTGTAATTTTTAAATAATAATAATAATATTAATAGTACTGATTTATTTATCTCTCTCTCCAGCTGTCCATCCTTAAGGATGATGACAGCTCCTCCTTTATTAGTTATTAGTTATTAGTGTGTCTTTTGATGACTGAATAGTCCAATTTGTGATTGACATGTCTTTCCACAAGTTCCACAGGTATACACAGGTCCTGCTGGTTGCTGTTGATTAGTTTGAGAATTGCATTTCTTGGGCTTTTCATGATCCAGCTAATATATAATGTATACACCAAAATTAATTTCTATCACAATTTCTTTAAATAAATCATAAAATCATAAAAGCATGTCAGGCGTAAGCTAGAAATATTTCTGCCAAAGTATATTTCTTCATTAATCTAGTAATGACCATGATATGATATTATGTATAAGATTTGTTGCTGTGTTTTACAGAGATATGGTAGGGCATCGCCCAAAAGATAAAACTGGGGCCCCACCAGTCCAAGGCCTGTTTGAAACATTTTCCACTCCATCAAGACCAAGTACAGATCCCAGAATGGTATGTTTAGGCTTAGTTGTCTTATTAAAAGTATTCTTTTTTACTTGTTTTCTAGAAAATGTGTGATATTTACTGTTTATTTTTATTTATTTTTTTATTTTTTTTTTTTTTGTGATTAGCTTTGGAGAATTCTATTATTGTAATTTCTTCAATCCTTGCTTCCTTTATGGTGGTAATTATTTTGAAGTAAGTTTTATTTATCATATCCTTTAGGTTGACTACAGTGCAGGTGCCCCCAGAACACCTTCTACATCTTTTGCTGCTAGAACTGCACATGAGTCTTCATTAGGTTGGTAACAGTGCTAACATTACAGTTCTGTCAGCCAAAATTCTCAGTTCATCTAGAAAATATATATATGCCATTATTAGTGTAGCCATATAAGTTTTACCAAATCCTATTAACTTTCCTCAAAGAAAGATGAGCAAGTAAGTTGAAAACAGTCTTTATATGTTAATTTTATTTTTAAATTCTATATTACTGTATGTGTGTTCTGTTTACTATATCATAATGTATACATACAGTAAGAATAAGGTTCTGCTACTACTTTGAAATTAGTGTCAATACATCACTTTAGTCTGTCTGTATCACCAGAGCCAAAGCGATTGTTTAGAGTGTTCATCTTGTGAAAACATGATCTTGTTCAATGTCAACCATGAATTTGATTATGAACTGTCTGAGCTTTATCCCCCTAGGTCTGCAGTCCAGTAGTTTATTCAGTCCGGGAAGTGCAACATCTTTTAATCAATCCAGAAAAACTCCCCCATCTCCAGCTCAGATAGATCCCTTCTATACACAGGGGTAAGTAACTCCTCCAGGGTGGCAGAATGTATAGCTCACAATAGGCACAGATCTATTCTTTATCTTGTTATTTTAAATGGAACGACACCTGGAAAGGTTATTGATAGATGAAATGCAAAGTTAACATTGAAATACGTTGATTTGGTTACTGTGTTTCTCACAGCACTGATAATTTGACTCACTCTGAAATTATTTTTTATATCTAAACATATTCAATTCTTATTGGTAAATATATAATCAAATGGCTAAAAAAATAAACTTGCATTTGCCTTTTTGTTATTAAATTCAACCTTCAAACTAAAACCATGTTATATTTTGCATAAAAATAGACAATGAAAGGATTTTGAGCAGATATCGGTACAGAGATTGCCATCACCATATGAGAGGAGTAGAGATCGGATGACCCATATCTTGTAAAATTTACTTTTTGAGCAATTTGTAATAGATAAGTTATTGATTGATTAATATATAAACAAATTAATTAATGTTATATTTCAGGGAAGCTATTCAACCAGAGGATGAATTAGATGAAACGTGGATAACAGTCTTTGGGTAACATTACGATTTCTAATTCTGATTTATACAAGGGCAGCTTTAACGAAATGTAATTGCACAAAATACTTATTAAAAATGAAGAACCAAAGTCCCTGAAAATGTGATATTTACTGTTTGTTTTCCAATGTAATTTAACTTGAGGGAATTCTATTATTATAATTTCATTGATAAACTGAGATTTAAAATAATTATGATTATAATATTTTATATCTCTGCTTTAATCAAATCACAGAACACTACATTCTGAGCACTGTTGTTAAGTGTGCTATTTTCAATGGTTTAAATTAACGGTTTATGTTGTTAATTTGCTATATATATTTAAAATGTTTTATATTTTTTAGTTTTCCACCAAACACAGCATCATTTATCCTGCAGCAGTTTTCTCAGTATGGCAATATAACCAGACATGTGGTGAGTAGAAAGAAGATTGATTTTTGAATAGATATAGGGAGGAAGTTCTTAACAAGATTTCTGCTTTGATAAAAACAATGAATCCGTGTTTTTGTTTTAACACATTTGCTTCATGCTCTTCGGGAAATTGAAAGATTAGCACTATTAGTGGTTGATCTTGTGGTTAGACAAACGACAAGAGGGAGGCCAAGAAATTGTTTTGATATTAATCTACAGTACCATTGATGTCTTTATCATAGATCTGAAGGTGCATGCTCTCTGCCCTCACATAGAACATATACTTTAATGCTAATATTGATATCATCAAGCATGCTTCCATTCAGATTGCAAATGAAGGCAATTGGATGCATATTCACTATCAGTCCAAGCTACAAGCCAAGAAAGCCCTCAGCAAGAATGGGAAGGTGTTTGGAAATATAATGGTTGGAGTTACACCATGTATAGATAAGGTTAGCATGGAAAAACCCTGGTTGTCTTAGGCAAATATGGTTATTAAATGATATGATCATGGTATTAAGATAATTATGTACTCATATATTTATTTATTTATTGCATAAATTGGATAATGTTGTGGGGTGAAAACAACATTCCTTTCAATAATTATACTTTTAATTTTGTGTCTCCTTTTGTGTTGGTTTTCATAATTTATTAGCTCATCATATTGTAGTTATGTTTTAACATTACTAAGATCATATTTTTCTTACAGAGTATAATGGATGGAGAGAAGGAAAACCGTGATATGTCCTCTACGCTTGACACATCCACCCAGAACACATCAGTTAGGGACAGCAGTAGTATGACCAAAGTAGGCATCAGACCCCTGACTGCAGCTTACCAGGCTGCTAGTGCAGATCATCAGGTAAAATACACTTCCTTTCTGGAATTTGCTTGCCCAGTTGTGCTTTTATTTATTTATTTATTTATTTATTTTTTGTTTGTTTTTTTTTCTGTACACATTTTTTTCCTGCTACCATTACCATGGCCTTTGTTACAGGCATCACTGTGCAATTTTTTTGCACTTACTTGAATAAAAGGTTTGAACTGGATAGTTTTAGGAAAATACATTGAATATAAAAAGTGAACAGGCCATTCAGTTGCTGTTGAATAGATTTATTGGATCTTGCTGCAAAGAAGACACTTGCAATTGACTGAATATTATTTTGAACACATAAATTAAGTAAACCAAACTGTACTATTTATGTAATAATATGAAAATTTTACTATTATATATTTATTAATTTTATATTTGAATGCTTTTTGGTGTGCTTTATTCTAATGTATTTTTTTTGCAGGTGGTCCAGTCTAGTAACACCCCAAGAAAAAGTAACAATGTTTTGTCAAAGGCCATGGACTACATGTTTGGATGGTGAAGGGGCTATTGATTGTAAGATCCACCAGTGATAAATATATGGACAGCATGATTATCTGTGAGAAATACTATATTTGATGTCCAGTCTTGTGCTGAAGAATATTGCCTTTATGTCACTTTTTTTAATTACATAGAAGTAGAGGGCTGACAGGAATTTTTATCTATATGAAAGGCATCATGAAATACAGCCTTTGCCATGTCATCTTTGATCTTAATTCTGCTCCTTTCATAGATTTTCACGTCCCAATTAAAAAAATTTTATGTAGTGTCCTTAGAGGAAAAACTGACCAGTGTTAATTGCTTTGAAATTCAAATTCTCTGAAGTGACCCTCCACATACACTGGGACACTTTAATGTGTTTTTTAACCTAATCAAAAGATAATCATAGGGTGATTTACACTAACAGGGATACAGAGTTCAGATAGGTGTTCTTTTAGGAATTAAAATTCTAATTGGAATTGTGTACATCATCTCTGCAATTAGTGATGAAATTGGTTAATGCCATGGATTGAAGAATTTCACAAATAAACGGTTACAAAGTAACACTGCATAGAAAAAGACAGAACCGTATAATTAGTTATGAAGTCTTTTAATGGATGTAAATGTTAATAAAATTCTCTATTTTTATAAAAAAAATTGACAATTCTTGTAGTTGTTCATTTGGTTTTCCACTTTAAAACAAAATGAAATACTTCATGTCTTTATTTCAATGATGATGATTTGCTGAGTACATAAGCTGCTCAATCGCATAATCATTATTTTATACAGCAAATCGTCTTGCAAGGGGAGTTCCCACTGGTTCTCAATTGAACCTAAAACTTTCAATATTATAAACATGATACCATTGACTTCTACAACCACAGGGAGGATTATTATCTAGGAGTAATAACTATTTCTGTAGTTGCATACCTCATATGTTTAAAAGACGACCTTTTTATCAATACACATTGCACATTTTACACCCCATTTCAGCTACACAACTCGTATAATAAAAACTCAAACACTAGTTCCTTAAATACATGCCAATGATTGTACATACTGTGCAATGGCAGTCACGTTTCTTCTTTGAGAAGTGCATAATCTTGGGAACAGTAAAGAACAATATTTGGCAAATTGCAGTTGTGTTCTGCATTAAGCAGAATACGCTAATCAATAATTATTAAGATTACATCAATAAATGCTTCTATCAGTTTACATATGATACATCTATATGTACTGATGGTATATATAAGTTGCTTGTTCGTTGCACTGTTAAAATGTAAAACCTGTTTTGAAGGACATTGAATAAGATCTACAAAAGCTGTGCCCTTACAGCCCATAGGCAACTATATATATCACTGCAAACCATGCCACTTATTTTGCAATGTCTGAGGAAGTCACCAGGCTCTGCATCAGTAAGCATGATCTTCAGTACTCTTCCTTCACACAATGTAAATGCACAAGCTTTCTGTCCAGCATTTTACTATATAATAAAGACAAAGACGCAAGATAAAGATATAAATATAGACACTCACCATTGCTACACTCCACACATTTGTATAATTGTAATACTTTTTCAAGAAAATTTACATCAATAGATTCAGTAATGTACATGACTATATAATACACTAAGCTAGTTCAATGAGAGGCCTTCATTTCAAGATAACCTTAAAATAAGACCATGGTAATAATTCTGCCTTCATAATAAAATTGTACAACAAATCAAATTCAAGTGTGAGATCTCTTCTGGGCATGATGCAGTTTTAAAGTCATCTGGTCCGTAAAAACTAACAATTAGATTAACACTGGCATAGGTAATTTAAAACTACTATAAGATGGATTCTTCATCTAATCTTTCATAAACAAGCACAAAGTACATCCTTACAGAATGAATTGCCCACAATGTAGTTTATTATTCATTTTGTGAAATGACGACATATTCCTACCAAAGTTGGCATTTTTGTAAAAAAATTTAAAAAAAAGTAGGCTTTGTAAAAACCCTTTTTAACTACATGACAAAGCATATTATTATCTCTTTATTGTAGGATATTGAAAAGAATTTTCACCTTCACTCCAACAATATTTTTACTTTCAGATTGAGCAGCACTATAATTAATTTATAAAAGCGCACAATAAAAGTACTGGCAGTGGTTTTAATGGAAAAGGTTGCTTGTACAACAAAAATGGTGTTTAGAGTAGGTAAAAGCAGCTGTTTGGTTCATAAAAACCCTGCATCTGGATGTATGGCACTATATTCAGAACCATACCTCGTTGCAGAGTCTGACTTCTATGCTATAATAGTTTCTCTGAAAATGCTTGAATATTACAATATTTTTCAAAGTTGACCAAGTTATTAGTGTTAATTTGTTCTATGCTTCTTAGGACTACTATCATTGTGAAAAAAGAGCACATTCATTTAATGTATAAATACTTCCACTTATGTTCCTTGTTCCATTCATCCCTTCAGATCATTCCATTTCAATGTGGAAAATCCCAAATGAAAATGTTTCAGGAGTGCCAATAACTTGTCAAGTGTAGCCCTTACGTTCATCGGTAGTCACCTGGAAAGTTCTTCATGCTCATAAAACTCAACAGATCCACCAGTGTTTTTGATCATTACAGCCCTTTAGATTATTCCTTCCATAAAACTTGTGTCTAAATTCTGAATAAGTGTGCGCACAAATGCCATCTCTTTCCGCGTGTTTTCAAATATCACTCTCGGGTCCTCAGACTCACAACGCAGGCAATTGGGGGCCATCACCATAGCCAGGTTGTTCACATCCATCTTGGTAATCTGAGCATTCTCTGAGGCAGCAAATACCTAGATCAAAGAATAAACAGAAGTAGATATATTATAAATGATTTTACCATGCATCTGATCAGTTTCAGAGGCAAAATGAGCCTGATTAATTTTTTAGATTGACTTACTTTCCATTCTGCCATGTCTCAACTTAAGCAGCATTTGACTGAGGTTAACTGCACTAATCACAAACATTAGAAGGGTCTTTTAACGATGACACTTGCCTTTATACCCTCCCCCCCCAACCCCCACCCCCGTAAAAAGAAAAAAATCTGAGCACATGAATGCGTGTCTGTGATTGGCCCAATAAAATTCAGTCAAACTTGCCACTGACGCCACAATCACACATTGCAAGAATTAAATGTGAAGAAACTGGCACACATCAGATTTGAGTTTAAGATAAGTACATCCCAAAAGAGCATATTGTGTAATTCTTATGAAGGTATTATATCACACTTTGCAGTTTTCAAAAATTATTAATCCGTCAAAAATGTAATAAAGCGCCTCTCAATAAGTCAAACTGATTATTCTTGCAATCAGTCATCTGATCTAGTAAGAGAAAAAACTCTGAGGTAGGAAAACATGTCAAGTCAAGATGAAAACATGACTAGAAAATTATTAAATAATAACTTATAAAAGCATAATGTTAAAGGGTATCCACTAACAGGAAGAGAGCTCACCTGTAAAAACCTGATAAGATAAGACAAGACTAGTCTGTTTATTTCCGGTAGGTTATGCACCAAAGCCACAGCCTCTTCTGGGTTTGCATAGTTATTGATACAGTCCTCATAGAACTCTGGGGGTATGACTGGCTCGTGGAGTTCCCTGTACCACAGCTTCAGGAGGGATGCCGGGACATGGGGGTCGGAGATCTCCCCGGGGGGTATCCACTGGTCAAACCGGACCTTAAGCTCATTCACTGCATCTATGTCACCAGGGACCCTGAAATGAGAGACAGCTGGCTGAGAAAACTGGAAGAATGGCTAGAGATTTAGTTCAAGGTAGGATGAGATGACTACAAGATACAGGCTCTCTGCCAATTTTTCAAGAAGTGCTCAAATACTTTTGAAAAAAATATATATTCTAAGAGAACCAAAATATCTAATTCTTCTCTGAGGCACAGATTTGAAATTGATAAGGACTTGAGACAGCAGTTTACCTACAATCTGTTCTATAACTATGAAGAGTTTCAGCTTAAAATATCTTTTTTACCTAAAAATTCCTTCCACTTGAGCACCATTTAATCTGAGCACCTCCTCGGACAGGGTGGTTTGTATCCAGGGAAGTTTTCTGTTGGGGTAACGGTCCTTCTGCATCAGCATTATGTCATCCAGGGTGTCCCCAAACATGGAGGGGTGGAATATGGATTTCTGAATAATTGTATTATGTTAAGATTTAGGTTTCATGGTGAAAACAACTCCACTGGTTTTAGCTGTAAATGGTTTTTCAGGGATGGTCTTAAGGACTTCAGAATATATGAATTGAAGTAAAGTTTTGGATATACCAGGAACACTCATTTTAATTAAACAGCTACAAATTCATTCTATCGTTATCATTCTTCATTTATCTGACATTATTTGTATCATCTTTCTTTTATCATTAATAATCAAGTATTTTTATTATATTATAATACACATGTTTTTGACCAATTTACAGGGCTGAATCTGAAAGCTGTCATCTCCATTTATAAATAAAACCAGTCATAACAAAGGATAATTGAATGAATTCCTAAGTATGAATTTTGCAGTTTATACAAACCTTGGCCTGTTCTATTTCGTCTATTGTGGGTTTGCGAAGTCCCTTTTTGGCACCAGATTTTGAAATGCGCTCTAAGCGCCGATTGCATATGCCCGCAAAGTGGCTGATGGGAATCTGGAAGTAAAAATTCTAGATATTTAAGTCCAAAAAAAATTCACTGGATGTTGCCTCATACTGTGGAGACAATGAAGACTTCTTTAAAACATCAACAAACTTCATTCACCACTACAACAACCACCAACATGATATATTCATATACTGGTACACACATTCAACCATATAGCAAATCATAATGTAATTTAAGATAATTTTCAGCAACTTACCCCCATGCAGCTGGTATCACAAGCTAAGTGTTTCTTAATGTAGCTCTCTAAGTAGTTGTGGAACTTGGCAGATGGAGGAAAGAAGGACAAACAGGTGGCAATCAACTCCCAGCCCAGCTGTAAGCTGTCTCTAAAAGATGATTCATACAACCATTACCAGGTTTTATATTATAATGGACATTTAAGTGAGTGGTTCACACATTCTGATTAATGGAAACTTAAAGGAACTTTCAATACCAATGTGTACAAAAGAGTAAATCTGAAACCTATGTGGTACTAGCACACTGCCCGATATTTTCTTTGGTATCCATCTATTTCAAATTAAAAAGACAGAGGCTACACTTAAGGTAAGTTCTTATTACTATCTACCATTATCAGTCTCTTAACCCTGTGTTAATTACGAAGTTACAATAGCCATCTCCAGCTCTACTGATCAAGTACAATAGTTTATCACATACTACACAAAAACTTATTCATTTAGAAAAAAGTTTCAAGAAGTCACAACATACTCTCTCCTGTTGTCTGTGGTCTGTCTGCAGAGCTGCATGTAGATCTCATCCCTGAGACTGATAATACTCCATCCCTTGGTGGTGATCTCCAAGGCTATCTGGGCCTGGGAACACCCCTTCCCCTTCTTATCCCCCATATAACTCTGGATCAGCTTGAACACATCCATAGCCTCCCTCTTAACCACCTTGTCATTGGTACGCAGCATGGGCTTCTGAATGGGATCCTGGCAGATAATAATAATAATAATAATAATAATAATAATAATAATAATAATAATAATCACTGTCAAAATAAAAATTATTATTACTATTAATTTTATCACCTTATAACTAGAATTATCTCTTATTTTGAACGACTTTGTATGGTATTGACTGAAATTACCATATCATATGAACAACTAACTTACAGCTTTTGTAACTCAAACAGATTTTATGGTTCCATATTCCCTGAGATATACAGGATATATCTGTTATAGCTTGTGAAAACTATGATGTAACCTTCTCAGTACTGACAGTCATTAATTTATCTTAACTGATCAAATTCTATTCACTTGGTGGATGCGTGTGTTAAATTTCTTCACTATATCTTCCAAAGCATCATCATTTCCAACCATTATTTTCCAAAGCATGTCACACTTACTTTGGACCATGACAGCAAGTTACTGAGGGGCATCTTCTTTCCAAACAGACCCTTCTTGTGTTTGTTCAGGTGTTTTTGAGCATAAGTCTCTATGTCGCTCTCAGAGTTGGGTTTCTTGGAGCCCACTCCGCCAGACTTTGAGGAGGGGATGGTACAGGATTTTCCCTGTAAGACAACATGATGGTATTGGTTTAAAATACCCAAGTTAACAGTAACACTCAATGACCATTTGTGCAATATAAAGGAAACTTAATATTTTACTTATCTGAATCTCACATGAATGGTAAAAATAAACAGAAGCCTTCTTAGCATTTTCCAAATAAAATCTAAAATATTAGAATTTAAAGTCAAGACAGACATTTTAAGTTTATTGAAAGGATCTTTATCATTCTTTGCAAAAACAATTTTTAATCACATATCTTTAAGTATGAAAATTGTAAAAGGATGATGATGAGAACAATAAATAAATAAATAAATAAATAAATAAATAAATAAATAAATAAATAAATAAATAAATAAATAAATAAATCACCTGTCTCTGCAAGGAGCCAGTAGGATCTGCCACATTGGCCTCAGACTGGGAGGCTACCACCATGGACTGTGGTCTCTGCTGGGCCAGCTCTGCCTGCAGTGACAAAGACTTCTCTAACACTGGAGGCATGGGGGATGCCTCCTGCTTCTCCACCAACTTCTTCCTCTTCAGGGAGGCATGCTGGGTCTCCATGGGCAGCTGGGGAGGCCCCACTGTCCGGAGACGCTGTTTTGGAGACGACTCGGAGAACACGCTACTTGCATCTGAATCTTCGTAATGAGCAGGATCGACTATACCTAATATGACAGATTTGAAATATAATGAACTTTTTGGTAATCTTCTTCAAGTTTAAAACAACCTCCATACTTAGCATGTAACTGTGGTTATCCTTTTTACACTATAACTTGTGATGAAAGATACATTCAAAATGTGTTGGGTAAATATTACAGAGGATACATGCATGACAATGAATACTTTTTATAAATTTTCTTTTCATTATACAAACACCATTGAATCATTATAAATTAACTACCTGGTTGTTGATAAGTTTTAACCTTACCTGAACTGGAATTATAACTGGAGCCCTGAGACCCCAGGGACCTCTCACTCCCAGGGGTGCCCTGTTTACTGCCATAGTCAGGAGGTGAACCACTGTGACCTTGTAGCTCAGACACCTGGTCTCCATTCCTCTCCTCCCTCTCTTCCTCCTCATCATCCTCTCCCTGGTCCAGACCAATCTGCTGCAGAAGTAGCAACTCCTTGGGGTCTGGCATGATCTGCATGGGGGGCAAGTTGGCATATTCCGCGTACTCCGGGTCTGAACTCAGCTGTCTCTGCATCCAGGGAGAGGAGGATGAAGTGGAGATTTCGATCTCACTTTGTTCCTGGTCCTCCTGTTGTTGGCTGACTTCTTCTTGCTGTTTCTGTAGCTGGTGGTGCCTCTGAACGTCTTGCTGGTAGTGAATAGCTGCAGCGTTTTCCTGTTGTAGATGCTGAGGCGACTGCCTGGCTCCAGTGGGTATTGGCCCTGCCCTCCACATAATAGGTGCCCCAGGCTGGTAAGCCCATACTGGCTGTACATAGCTGGGTTGACTTCTGGAGGAGCTAGAACTCTCCAACTGCTGCTGTTTCTTGTGTTGTAGTATTTGAGGGGGCTCCAGTACATGCACCCTGTCTTGTATACTGTGTAAATGCACTCCGCTCTGTTGCTGTTGATCCTGTATGTGATTCTGCAGCTGATGATCATATACATATTCATTGGCATTGCGTAGTGATCCATGTGATGAATGACTGTCGTGTACGTTACGTAATGATCCCTGTGAGGAATGACTATCTGATTGGTCACGCTGCTTCAGAGAAGTCTGTGAACTTTGGCTATCAGCACGCTCTAGTTTACGGTCCCTCTGAGAGGAATGGGATAAATCGCTATCTGATCTATCATGTCTGTAATAACCAACTTTGCGTTCAGCATCAGACCGCTTTTCTTTTTTAGAGCCTCTTCTTGAATCACTGTCCGACCGATCCATTTTATATCCTGATCGACTATCACTATCTGATTTATCCTTGATGGACCCGCTTCTGTTATCACTGTCTGACCTGTCGTGTCTTAGTCCACTCCTCTCACTGTCCGAGCGGTCAATCCTGTAACCCAGACCACTGCGGCTATCTCCACTGTCAGAGCGATTCAATTTATATCCAAGATTCCCATCCCTGAATTCACCACTACTGTCCAAAGAAGTCTGTGTGGTGGTCTGAACTATCTGAACCTGTGGAGAATAAGTTTCTAAGTACCTTTGAATTCTTTGCTCATCGTTCTCAAAGACCTGCTGGCTATAAATATCTTTAGGAGCAATGCCGCCCCCTACTAATGGGTGTTGTTCCAAATTTATACGTTTATAAGATAACTGGCCATCCCTACGTTGTGAGGGCACATAAGCAGGGTTGGTTCTTGGGAAGGCCCTGGCCTTGGGTTTATCTTTACTGGGACTTCCCAGCTCCGAGCCCACTTCCCTGCTGTCCAAGTCTTCCCTGGTAAAGCTATCCTCTTTGTTAAAGCTGTCTTGCTGCTCCTGTCGGCCGGGAGAGGTGGTCTCGTAAGAGCCCCGTCCACTGTCCTGCCTAGACAGGGGCATCCTCTCCACTGAGGACCGCATAAATTCATGCCTAGAGGGCGCTGGACTGGCAGTCACTGAGTGGGAATCAACAGATCCACGGGGAGAGTCGCGGGAGCGTCTTGGCAGGGGTGATTCCAGAGTCCTCTGTGGGGCATCCATAGAATCCCGACGCACATAAGGAATGGAGCTCTGTGATGTCTGACTTCCTCTTCTGTGGCCCAAGCGATCTCCATTGACGAACTGGTCCACTCTGTCAAAGCGTCCCGACCCACCAGACCCATGGCGACTAGGGTGCTGGAAATAAAACATATAGAATCATCAGTTTTAATTTTTTTGATATTATCAAAATAGTACACAAAAAAGTGTATAACATACTGAGGCTAATTCATACAAATTTTCTTTACAAAAAACACTGTATCACAAAAAGAGGTTAATTCAGTTCCAACCTATATTGAAATGAAAAACAAATTAGAGACAACAATTTAAAACAAGCCAATGGCTTAATGTCTTCCAACTTGACAAGACACTTGATCTCATTGGATTAAAATAGTAATTTCTGCCCCCAGCTGTTCCTGATATTCCACATCACTGATAATGCTTTTATGTCAAGTAAGGTCATGCCATTAATTACATTTTAATCCTTCTGATAGAACTGATTAGACAAATTAGTCACCATCAAATTCCTCCAGGACCTATCTGTTTATTTTAATACAGTAAATGTTATCAAAATTAGAAATGTTCTCAAATTAGATAAGAAAATTTTTCTTAATTGCCTATATTAAAAAAATTAAGGTTATTTTAAAAAAGCATATTTTCCCAAATTATATGTGTTGCATAAACGAATAAACATTTTCATAATAAATTTGTAACTAAAAAAAACACACTCGACATATATCTCCAACTCTTTATAGATACCAAAACATCCAATTCATTTTTCGCCAACAGCCAACAACAACAATGACACAAAAAGATTCCTTTCAAAACGATCATATAATCTGACACAATAGAATGAGTCAATGGCATGATGAAATGTGGGATCTCCCAAGAGAACAAGATGAGATCAGCTCTGAAAGCCCACGATGACAGGTGCGAGGCTGGCTGAACCAGAAATTACACATTTACATAACAAAGAGCCAATCAATGAAACCCTGACATATGAAAAAACACCAATTAATTACAGCTTTCAGATTTTCAATTGAATTATCACCACATTATGACTCATTTAATTCTAAGTACAAATTTACACACAATGTGTGCTAGCCAGTTAAAGACACACTTTATGTCAACTTAATAAACGCTGATCACTGGAGAAGAAATGTTTCATGGAAAACAATACTTCCTAAATATGGTCAATACATCTCGAAAATTTATCTGTCAATACTCAAATATTTTCTGAATAGAAGCGTAAAATGTCTTTTAGTCCCTAATGGTCAGAGACCCTGTTAGAAGGGGAAGACGGTATCAGGGGGGCACCTTTACCCCTGACATGAACTTAAAGTCATCAAAACCCAGGAAAGTTTAAAAACAATGTGGTTTCCAGTGACTGAGCAAGACATCAGTTTACAGAAGTCTGTGTTTGGACAAGCAAGCTTGGGAAATAAATTAGATCAACACGCCTTAGAATCCAGTCAATAACATAAACACCATCTAGTGTCCTGTCTGTATTCTTTGGTATTGTATGCTATCTCTCCAGTAGGCCACTGAATCAGGTGCACCAGACATGTGCTGGTATATCTAATCTATTATTGTGTCTGGCTTCCATTCCATTTTTTTCTGGTTAGTCACTAAATTAAAAATATTCATCTTTTCAATGGATTTTTTTTTTCATCAAACCTATTTTTTAGGAACCCAAATCTGCTAAATATTCCCAAAAAGACATAAGAAGCTAATCACATAATTGTAGTAAACATTATAAAGATTATAAATGATTTTACTGCAATAATGATCATCGCAACTCCTGAACCTCCATTACTTCATACCCATCGCATAGTAGGCAAACTTCACAAGGAAGTCTTCACAGGTTTTTTTTTTACCCCAAGGCATGGACTTTCAATAGAAGTAGACTCAATACTGAATTCAAATGCTATAATTTTAAGTTTCTATCTCCTTATTTAAGTTCCACACACTGATGATCTTTCTTCAAAACAGTACGCTGCACATGACACTATTCCCAATGTCCCTACAATATCCAAAAGAAACTCCTGTTGGGATTTTTTGGGTTAACACCCCTACTAATGGCAGAGATGGGAGAGATTAAAATACTTCTATACATGTGGCCAATATTTCTATTCATGTGACCAATATTGTCTGGAAATTCTTACATGCTTCCTTGATACTCTTGGACTGGCTTGAGAGTGTGTTGATCTGACAGAGCCCGAGCGGACATGATCTGGGAGAATCCGATCTCTTTTCTGAATAAGAAAAAAGGAAAATATTTTATAAAGACATTTGAAGAATTAGGTGTTTGCCTGTACACACATACACACCACACACACACTCACTCCATAAACTAATACTGATGGCATAACTGAAATATAATTAAGATATATCACTGCGTTACAAAGTAAAGATACCCAATGTGCTTGAATACCAGGGCCGTGAGTTTACATAGAAGTGTATGGAGCAACTCTGACTACATCAGACGCACCAACACATACATTTTGCTTTACTGAAAGGGCTAGATGATAAACTTAGTACACGAAATATTGTTGTACATATCAGTATTATCACAGGACTGAACACAAACTGGAGATTTATGTTGATATTAACTGTTGAAATATCATTACGCTGTTATTCAAATCATCTGTATGCTAAGTGGTATATTGAAGATGTAGCTTGTTATGTTGGGTTAAAATATCATTATTTTTAACAAAAAATAATTCGTTTCAAAAGAGACTTCACATGTTTTTTAACTACAAGGCAGGGCGTTTGACACTTTATACAATCAACGGACTGACTCATCCATGTGAAACTCTATGCTTCAAAGGGTACAACATGTTTAATCTTTTAAGAAACATTTTTTCCATCTTTACACAAAAGACAAAGAGAAACCCACTTCACTTCATCATTATTCCTATTATGCTATTCCTTGATCACATGACTGAAACATCAATGTGAAACATTTTGCCTCATGGCTTAAAGATTTTTCTTTTCTTTAAAAACGATTTCATCATCTTAACACGAGAGAATGAAAAACCCATTTCACTGCATCATAATTTTTCATTGTCTATATTACTTACTGGAGTACTGGGGGTCTGGGTGGCGATCTCACGTTTGGCAGGCTTCTTGTCATCCAGGTCATCTCGAACCTCGGTATTCTGTTTCAGAGTCTGGAAAACAATGCCAAAAGTTGTACTTTTAAATGCTTTAATAAATGTGAATGTTTTATTAAGAAATATAAACCAGAACAAGTCCCAAACATAAATCTTCTGACCAAGACGTGACAGATAATATAGCAAAATACTATCTTTTTCAAGACGCCTATTTAACCATTTTAAAAAAATAAACTTTTATTCAAAAATTCTAGAAACCTTATAATATGATTTCTTTCTAACCTCAGCTGAGTTAACAGTAAGGAATATGGGATTGGAAAAAAAATTGTTCTCTACTTTCTGAAATTCCAAGGCAAACACTTGTGGTGTTCTATCAAGGCAATCTGGTGTAATACCCAAAGCATGCTACGCCATGACTGCTCTGACCAAATACAGTATCTGCATACCTCATCGCCTCCTCCATACAGATTTATGTTACACGGCACAGGCAACATCATTTCTAAATGGTGATGTGGGCTTGCATATATGTCAGCATTTATAAGTACATATTTACGTAACCTTTTTTTTTTTTTACAAGAAAACCTAAGCTATACATTGTAGGGATTGTCAGTGCTAGAGCTCACTCATTTCAACTCTTTTTTGATACAGGCAAAAGCCGCAATATTATGAATCAATGACCCAAGTACAACATCTGCATGTCTATCATTTTTCTAATACCTTACTGGTAAGTAACCTATCAGAAAAGTATACATCAGAATACGAGAATCTATATCACAGATTCAGACAAGGCAGGTGTAAGTCTACATAATGGCAATAGTAGTCACAAGGCTTACATAGCATATAAACAATCCTCTTACGAAGGTGATTATTCATGGCTTATATAAGGTGTCTACAAACATCTCCCACTTGAAGTTGAGCAACATTACTTATCTGCCTGGTGCTTAGTTCTACAAAGAATGCCTGGCCATGGTCTACTATATCACTATTTCATTTCACAATCACCACAAGGCAACAGATAAATGCTCCTCAGAACACAGAACATGCAGTTACAACAAGACGATTGATAATTACAAATACGAAGCATCCGAGCCAACTATGCCGTCGGAGATTGGAGGAGGCTATCGAAGAAGTCTTCTTTCGTCTCATGCTGGCAGAATCGGTAGCTGACCAGGATAAAAGGCAAAATCCTTGACACTATCAACTTTATCCCTCAATCTCTTTGAGAAGCACATAAGACTCTGGGAAATCACTGCTTTCTATCTCATAACAACACCATTTCTATTAAAACACCAGGGGGACTACGATTATCAAATGATTTTTTATTCACGGATAATGCATTAGTCATGTTTCTATTGGCTCCTCTGAAGATCAGAGGATATTAATAATTGTACTCATGCTACCCGAGTTCCAATTAAGACAACTAGGAAGCCATACTGGTTATCTATCACCGAGAGCTCCCCAGGGGATCAGAAACAAAGGTCCCCGTCTTCAGTGCTTTTGTGACTCCCTAAACATCTGTGGTGATCAGTTCTCCACTCATTACCCTGACACAGTCTGTTTGGTTTCTATCTCACAAAACAAACATTAGGTTTATTGGGACAGTTACTTTACATGATTGTGTTCTTTATGGAGTGCTTCTCGGAGTTCAATTGTGATGAAGTGGAAACAATAACTATTCATTTCCCTGACATTGTCTCATGTCTAATAACAGTCGCAGGCACCCAAGCAATAGCCACCATCCTTTAATTGTGTAATTTTCTGAATATTGCATGTGTCTAATCAGGCTTCAGTGATCTCTAGTGTACAATTTATATCTTATACTACACTTTGGCAGGATTTAATGTTGATGAATAGCCTGGATCTTAGGCATGATAATATCATTAATCATATCAGTTTTATGTCCTATACAATTGTTTACGGGATTAACATGCAGATCCTCCAAATGGATTCACATGCAACAACAATAATATTGCCCAAGGCATACTGACATAATGACCAGTTACCTTTAACAACTACATACTTTATTTATATATTTTCTTTATCTTTCAATATGATTTGTGATCAGCGACCTAATTGCAGGTCGTCTAGATTACTCCCTATCATCACAAAATATATTTTACTAGTAATCATCAAACAGAGCAAAAATGTATGGTTGGCCTCATATTTTTAAAGGGGCAAAAATATCCCTAACATATAACATTCTCTGCTGCAACAGGAATGTTTAAATTTATTTCTCCTCATTTCTGTGTCTGTGAACATCCTTGCACGAGGACTGAAAAGGTCAACTCAGCCAGCACAGCACTGGGAACACCTTCAAGCTGAACTAATGGTCATTATGGAAAGGTGAAGCTTCACCTGGGGCTTCTGTAAGTCTGCCACAAGACCTAGGCTCTGACAGTGTCTTTTAATTAGATGGAAAAACAGGAAGAGGAAAGAAAATCAGCCTGCATATATATATATGTGTATGTGTGTATACACACACACACACACACACACACACACACACACACACACACACACACACACACACACACACACACACACACACACACACACACACACACACACACACACACACACACACACACACACACACCATTTGCTTTACTAGCTATGCCATGATAATGAATACTACATGGTAGAAAGGTAAAAGGAGAGAGAAAAAATCAGTAAATCACCACTTCATAAAATATTCTCCGTAAAACAAGAGAAAGAGGAGAACAGTTTTGTTACCAACAAGTTCAACAACTCTACTAAAATACAGACAGAGAAAGCATTTATTATGTTATTTACCTGCAACTTTGCCAAAGGAATAATATCACAATTCTGTGGCCTGTGCCAAACTGTCTTCTGTGTGGTTGCATTATAATAGTAGAATCTAGAAGTGTTCTGGTCAAACAGCTCCCACCACTGATTGTCATCGGTCTTCTTGCTGTAAGATGAGAATATATGGGTTTAGTAACAAACAAAATAGAAGCAAATCATGAATTTTGAACACTAACTAGGGTTAATCAATCTGCTTGTCATGAATTCTAAAATCTACATATGTTATATTGGCGGACCAATTGTCTTTTCCAGGCAGTCTTATAATAGCATGAAGTTTCAAAACTGACGCTATAAATGAAAAGAATTTTTAAAAACTTCATATGCTGACTAATATCTGGGTATTTCCAATGGCATATTACCCTTTTCTAGAACTGGAGGTGTGTCTCCCTGTATCCCTTCTACAGCAAAGACAACACCCCATTGGCATGCATGTGGCTACAGAGACAACATATACTGCCCAGCTAGCTATCCACAGACAAAAATCAGTGTATATCCCCTCACAAAACCACGGCCTTCGATGCCTAACCACTCTTGACCACTGGGGAGAAAAGGGGTCTATTCATTAGTAAATCTCAGTGTTAATTCTGAAAATTCCATTTCCTTTCATAAACAAGACTTTTGTAGCATTTCTGTTATTGTTGTTATATCACCTACTCAGGTCTGCAGATAGCATTGAGATATGCCTGATTCATTGACCATGGACAGCCTTCAACATTGTTTATGTTGTAAAGATTTATCCTGCTCCCAAAAATGGGCAGGTTTTCTTGCACAATCTTAGCATTGTTCCAGGCCAAAGGGCTGTTTCTCCGGTGAGGCGGATAGCGCTGATACTTTATGAAAACAGAATTTCATGAAACCGAAAACAACCTGACGATTCATGCTTATCCAGCTTCAAGGCATCCAATTATGAAGAATGACCCCCAGAAAAGAAGAATCAAAAGTTGCTGAATAAAGTGAGCTATTCTCCTGTTGATAAATTCCAACAGAAGAACCTAACCTTCCACTCAAGTGGAAAAAGATCAAAGGTAACGTGTCATGGTTCACCAAGCAATCATTTCAACTTGACCAATAAATTTTGATAGAGAGTCCCATTTAAAGACAATGTTTTGACAAATCTGTCTGGGGGATGAAAACAGAGCAGATCCTGAATGACAAAATATACTCTCTGGACCAACTGGCCTTTAATTAGACAAACCTGTTATGTTGACCAAGGTCAAGCCTTCATTTTTTTTTTTTTTTTACACACAGGGCCTATCATCTTACTGTTTATCTACAAAGATCACTATCCAGCCTATAGATTTACTACAAAAACTTGCAAAATGGTGTTATCCTAATGAAAAAATATTTGCCTGTGGCAGGTACGTCTTGCCCGCTATCTAAATATGGCATTACTGGACTTCAGATTTGCTTGTAATATCATTTTACCCAAGAATGGTTTGAAATTGAAAAGGGATCTTTTGCATTAACTTTATTCCTCCAACACCTTAATGTACAAGGGAATGCAGTCAAATGATGGACCTAAGTACCAATTACCTATTATTTAGTTAAAGCTGATAAACTTTGTATTATTTTGGAATCGTAAAAATGCAAGGGACTCTGTCTTAGTGCTGTTAATATGTCTTTATAAAAGTGGCATGTAAAAAGACTCTGGAGGCAGAATAATGGTTTTATTGTTATAGATGAATTAAACCTATCCACTCTGACCTGTTAAAGCAAATAAGCAACTTACAGCATCCAAACCATTTAAGACAGTGACTGGCAGGAGCTGTTGTTTTTAACAAGAAAAACTGACAAAGAATACCAAATCAATACGGCAATTACTTGCAATTTTTGAAACACATCACTTTTCCTCATATCTTATACCACATTTCAATGATTTATCTTATTCAGACAACCATAACTCTGTTATATCTTACACAAAGTCATCTAACTTTTCAAAACTTTTGAATTAACATCTTTTTAAGTATAACTAACAAAACCTTGTTCTTTTTTCTGAGAGGGGGGGGGGGATTTAAGAATTTATGTAATTCAAATTTAATGGGTAATTACCATAGTCTAAGCAGTGTCTACCAGACTAATGATGTGTTTCTAATAGGGTTTCAGTCTGCTGAAAAGACAGGGTGGGAGTTCTATCAAAACTAACTGACAGTATCATTAGAGAGTTTCCGGTGCAGTTGGGATACGACGGCTAGATTGTTACGTATGTGCAAATGTATCTAGTAACGCGCTACTCTTTTCTCGTTCCGGTAAAGTTCCAGAATGCTGGCGCTTCCCGCCCCGCTCATTCCAATATAATTAACAATATACGGCCCCTTAGCCATCTATTTCCAAGGTGGAGATTCTTTTTTTATGAAAAAGGAGACATATATTACCCAAAAGTGCAATTTTTCCCCGACAAATATGGCGGTTAGTAAGATCAACCCCCGACTACGTGCCTGATAAACCAAAACTAGCGATTCCTCTCTCTTAAAAAGTCGAAATTTGCATGAACGCGTACACTTGAACTATTGTAAAAAAGTAAATAAGGCATATAAATTAGCAAACATAACCTTTAATAACTAGTTTCAATAATCTTCCGCACTGGCTAGATAGGAGCGCTTGTATTCCGCAGACTAGATTGGACGACGGTATATGAATGCGGTGAACGTCACAAGTGCGCACAAACCGATGACGTATTAATCTAGCCGGCGTATCTCACCGGCAACGGAAACTCTCTATTACTTCTGTCCATTGCTCTCATTTCTTTCTTCCCAGGAGAATTTCCCTCCAGACAACATATAGACTCCAGAGTTAATTTTGGCCACATCATAAACCAATAACAGGTATGGAATAAGTAGAAATATTTTGCACTTAAGGAAACGAACAGACCATGTGACTGACTCCACAAAGACATGATGGAAACTCAGAAGGTATTGCAGCCTCAAGAGCCTGTTAAAATCTAGATAATTGCAGGCCATACCAAGATGATGCAGGAGTCTTGCAGCAGGACCCAAGATTTTAAAGAGATTCCATGGCTACTGGGACTACATCAGGCATTTCAGCCACTTTCCTTCATCAATATTTATTTGAACAACCACAGTTCGTATTGAAATAAATAAAAAAAGAGGAAACATACTGATGGCTAAAAAATTATACTTCAGAGGGGTGAGTTTGAAATTAATGCCCCAATTAATTCCCAAATATTATCAAAATAGCTTCACTGTAACTTGGTATTGGGCCGCAAACCGGCACGTTTTTGCCATGGCTGCTCAACAAGAAAATTAAGAATCAGTGCTTCCTACAAGCATCTTACACATAAAAATAGGAACATTTATATCCATTCCATTTACCTCTTAAGCCCCCAAAAAGCCATCAACTTCAATTGAATTCCTGATCCTTTAATATCACAAGTGTCATATGCGCAATCAATATCTATAAAATTTCTAATATGTTCATATCAAGTTGCTGAATAAATAACACACCTGGGAGGACACTAGTATACATGGGTGGCCTAACCTGGGAATGTAGTATACCTTTTGCTTTCCACTCACAAAGTTTTCAATACAATCTGTTTATTTCTATAGTGAACTCAGAATAACCCCAGCTGGACAAAATGACTCACTCACAGGACTTTATATATTAAGTTTAAGTTGAATCCCTAGTTTGATTTTAGTTTAATTGTCCAAACACTGTTTTTGTTTTCAGGAAATTTGCTTCAGAGCTTTAAAAGCGTAGGTAAGAGGTTAGCATGTGAAACATACTTTGGGGAATTGCAGAAGTGAATCTAGTTTCAGAACATGAAAGGATGGTTAACCTCATTCACATTTATATAAATATACAAGGTAATAAAATCCAAAATGTGAGATCACAAAGAATGAGAAATGTTTTCCTTGCTTGTTCTCTTACCCATTCTAAATATTATTTAAAAAAATCTAACTTTAATATATACACAATCAGTGTTTAAAACACCAACTGGCCCCAGGCCAACATGTTTCTAGCCAAGCCAACAAACTGTACTTTACAGACCCTAAGGGCTGAATAGTAATATTATGTATATTTTATTCTGGCAAGTCTAGAAGGCCACCAAATAAGAACTCTCACACAGCATTATTTCAGGTATATTCTAAAACTGTGATAAAAGAAATCTCTACCTATGAAACATGAAAATTGAAATAAACTTCAACCATGGAGAGCTCTTTGACATTCTATTTGGTAGTAACAAAGAACATTTATCTACAGAAAATAAAAACATCTGGGCGTATTCCTATCTGATTACTGAAGTTTCTGGCCATTCTGAAGGCCATAATGTGCACCATATAACTACACATCTCGTAGAACTATCAACAGATGTGCCCCATTAACCTACAGAGGAGGTACAACTCTGTCAGCTGGCCCAACACTATGACCAATGAACACATACCTGGGGCAGGTAAATACCGCATATTAACGAACACCACTTTTCTCCCTACAACTCCAGCACAAATACCACACATGTGAACGTGAGTGCATGCGCATATGTAATATAACCTTTGGAACCAGACAAGACATACAAAAGTGTATTTTCATTACATTCCTGACAGAGAAATCTGACAGGTGTAGCTTGTATATTTTCAGCTCTTTTTTTTTCTGGTAGATGTAAAATAATGTGCACACTACTAGTAAGCTATCCAATGGGGTGATGATTATGGTAATACTGAAAGAAAGCATCATCTTGTATAGATCCATAGCTCATACCACAGCGGATGTAGAGAACAAAAGACCCAGATGCACTGTATCTCTCGTACACCCACGACAAGCATGTAGGCACATTAAACCATGTTTAGAGCTTTTGTTCTCAACATGGAAGAAGTCATGTACACTACTCTACAGCATGTGACATCCACTCGTGTTTCACACTCAAGACACAGTTTAACACACACACACCCGCTGACTTGCAGTATATCTATTACCTGATGAATATTATGTGCAACTACTCTGCTAACTTGATCATATATTTTTTTTTATGTAATACTATACAACACCCAATAAAGTTACCACCTCTGTGGCTCACATAAAGTGAAAATTTTACGTGAAATCTAATACTAAAATGCCACCTAATTTCTTTTCACACAGAAATACAGGTGTGCA